CGAATTCGTTTAAATTTTTTCAAATTCTGAATGAAAATTTAATTTTTATTAAATTAATTTAATATGGAATTCAACCAGTAAGATGACTTAAATGAATAACAGCGAAGAGACAAAAAAAATGAAAATATAATCTATAAGATTTTACTCGATAAATTTATTATTTAGCTATGTAAATGCTGTAACTGCCATTAATAAATTTAAATATATTTCTCATAATTAAAGATTAATTAAAGATTTCTTTAATTTCTTTAATTTCTTTTCAAGTCACTTTGGTGCTTAATTCCGGCCTTCCGGCGTAGTCTAGTATTCAAGTTGCAATTTCTTCTACAGTAATCCTCCACTGTTTAATTTCACTTACACTACTGCAGAAATAAATAAACGTTTTTTCCCTCAGACGAGAAAACAATTGTTTGACCTATTATTATATTAATAGCTTTATATAAAATATGAATCCTTAGCCATCTTCCTTTTTCTTCCTCTTCTAACAGCATTCAGCATTTCTAGTTTTTAGTTTGCTCGACTACAGAAAATTTCAGAAATTTCAGTGTCCTAGCCGGAAAGAAGGAATAAAAATGATGGCTTCTACCAGTAAGATGACTTAAATGTGAAAAAAGATTATTTTATCTATCTCAATGGCAGGTTTATACGTGACGAGGAATAGTGCAGTCCACAACGCTATAATTCACTGGAAGCAATATCTCTAACAAAGGAAAAATGTTGTGGAACGTCTTTACGAAATATAATAGGGTTTGAAATTTGCGATATTAATTTAAATAATAATGTAAGAATCATAAAAGAAAAAAAATAGTGAATGAAAAATAACATCCAATGTAAATATAATATGAAAATGACCGCGCCAAATTACAGATTAAAGAGGCTTATAGCAACGATCGAAACCATATAACTAAAATGAGATTGGACGTACTACAGATCATCAAAGAGTTTTACAGTGTTTGCTAATCAGATTGGATATTAAGTGGCCGAACCTCTTAGGTCTTTTATTGTGAAATGAGCCGAATGGCTACTATTGCTTGTTAAGAAATATGTTAATGATCACTTAATGAAGGTGAAGAGCCGCATTTATTGCCATTATATAAACAAATTATAAAGTCCATATACGATGGATAAACGAATGCTGGATTTGAGCAGATGGGCATCTTGTCTTTATTATTATTACTACAGAATTATTCCTAATCAAATATACTCTCCATAACTTCCATAATCCGGATAGAGCTGAAGATCCGTATGCGATTAGTTCTCTGGTGAAAAAGCCTCATCTTAATAATCTCGATTTCTAATTTGTTAAACTTGTTGACCACTTATAGGAGAAAACTTTAGAGGCAAAATTACAGATTGATGTTCCATATCACTTTTTCTTCTGCTGGGAATAAAGGATGCGCCAAGATGCCCGAGAAATGGCAAAAGTGCTAGATGGATAGAGTTAGCCAAACCAGAAATAATGATGGCCACTGGGAAGATTTTCATAAAAACGTATTTTTTCTGTTTTTTCAAAGAAATACTAATTCGAAAAAAATTTTTTTGAAGACTCCTCACCACTATTGGTTAAACTCGCCCCGCTGGCTTGTCGCACCGGACAAACATTCCAGAGAGTCCCTTGGCGATAGAAGCACATGTGAATCGCCAGCACCAGCCGGATTTTTGGACAGGTTTACTCCTGCGGGGAATAGAAAAGAACCTCAGCATCGGCGCTCCGAATTGGGCAACAATCTAGAGCCATTCTAATCCTTAAGAAAAATATTTGAAAATTTAGAAAAAAGAGATCTTCGTTTCTATGATATGCACTTGAAATCCTCCAATGTTTTATATTTTTCTTATAATATTTTAAATCGTCGTTATTTTCGTTTATTTTAAAAATATTCTATGATTTTTTAATTTTCTCGCTTGCGATGTGAGAATTTATAAATTGATATGGTAATGGTTTGCGTCAAAAATTGAAACTGGATCGACCTGGCCAATGAAGACCTCAAAAGATGACTCAATCAGCAGAGATTCTGAATACATAGGCAGCTCAGTGATATACCGGCCCAGGCGGTAGAAAAAACTCTGCGCCTTTTAGCAAAAGTCTTGTAGCCAGCGAAGTTAGCCTAACCAGTAGTGGCGTAGCAGAGCTTTTGTGAAAGAAGAAGAAAGACGATCATAGTAGAAAGTTTCACAACTTCCTCAACAACATTATAAATGCATCATGTGAAAAGACTAAATTTTAATTTCCAAAGGAGATATTTTAAATATTTTACGTTTTTTTAATGATATTTTCCATAAATCGCAAAAATTTTCTCTATTTCAAACTTTTATTTATTGTTTTGCACTTTTTAACCGATTACCAAAATCAAAACCTTGCAAAATGCTCGTTTCTCGCTATAGTGGACTTCCTATAAGCAGTCTGGAAGGAGATAAGCACCAAGCACCGTAGGGCCGCATCGCGCTTTTGGCAGGTCCATGAAGATTCAAGGGAGCGGAAGGGAGGATACCGCCGGATTGATTCGCTACCCGCAATTTTCCTACGCTTTACTCACCTCCAGTCACCTCTACTCGGCAGAACAACACAATCAAAGCAAATCAGACTCACAATTTAAAACATGACTAAAACAACGAAACTCTCTAAAAATTAATGACTAGCAAATTATAACTACTAAATTTAATCAACTTGGCACCAAATAAATTCATACTTGGAAATTAAGCTGATTTTTAGTAATGTTTGATGAAGCCGATGAATAGTACAATTACTGTTAAAGGGAAAGTTTTAAGAGCAGAAGCTGTTTTCGACATTTCATAAGCGATCTTACGAGTGGTATTTCCATAATTTTGGAAGATGGCGAATGTCGGTTGGTTGTTATTTATTTGTAATTTATCGAGATTTTCCCACAGAATTTTCGAAATTTGTATTGTATTGTTCATGCAAATATTTGGATGTATTCGAATCGAAAATGTAGGCAGTTACCGTTCTTCTCGTGATGCTCGGTGCGTCCGTGCAGGTGCACTTAGGTGAATGCACCAAGCGCGGCGCAGCGAGCATGCACGCGCTTTAGGCGTGGGATAGGTAGCTCCTTGCTGTTTTCCATTGTCCACCTTTCGCAGCTATACAACAAAATTGTGTGCGCTGCAGCTGGTGACATGCGGTGCTTGGTGCTTGCGTTGCGGTGATGTCGCAGCGATTCCTTAGGAGCTTCATGCATTTCTTCTTTTGTTTCGAGTGTTCAGTGGAGTGGATCCAAGGTATTTGAAGTGTAACTTCCTCAACCGCAGTGGACTGATAAAGATGGGTATTAGGTATCTGCTTAGTAGAGCGAAGAATTTAGCTGAACCCGATTTTTTTACCATTACATTATTTATCGTCTCTTGCCTCTCTTCTTCGCTGTTAAAGGACTTCATCTTCAACATATTAAAGATCTGTGCTGTGGATTGACTTGCACTCCTCTTCTCTTAGCGTTTTATCATCAGTTCTTATTTCTGTCAATTCCCCATACGTAGACCTATGCCAATGTACACTTATAAAATTCCTTTATGAGTCAGAGGATCTCCGGAAAACCGGTCGCACTAATCGAAAGCATCTGTAAATTCAATAAAAAAAAAAAGTAAATTAACAGTTCATGATTAACGATATGATTTTCCAATATCTTCCTTAACTTGAATTAAAATTTTTAGAGTGCAAGCGTAAGTTTAAGTTTATTCAAGACGAAAATTTTCCCAATGATATTTTCCCAATGATGTTTGGTAGATTTGTCGATATTTGCCACAGTATGAAGATTGCTTTGCTTCGGTCATTTGATATTTTCTTTTTTCCATATCAGAAAATATGTCCAGTGAAAGTGTGAATCATAAAAGCGAAATCGAACGAAATTTGACGATTTCAGAGTATTACAGAATAGTAGGGTACATGCAAAGTCCGTCTTCTCTGGAGAGTTTATTGATCTTCTCAACGATGGAGATTATTTATTACTGGCGATTTGTAGTTAGAAACATGTACGCTATATTATATAGATGATATTAGATGTCGAAATTCTGTCCACCATGCGAAGCATTTTGCCCTAGCAGGCACATTATCTCGAGTATTTTCATTTCCCGAATTATGCGAAATTCTTTAGGTTGTTGCAAAAGACGAAATAGTTTTCTATCATCGTATACTTGAATCCTTCTTCCTATTCAAGGCAATATCACTTCAGTAACGGCGTGTGGCTGTTATTGCATGACTTCGAAGCTTCAGAATCTCTTAACATGAATGTTTTGATAGCTTTTTGATAACTTCTTATAACTCCTATTTCAAAAATAGCATATTTCCAAGTAGTATGTCTTACTACTTGGTATATCCTAGCGGATTCTTCCGATTCCTTAAGACACGAGTTGAGTTTAATTGGGTTGGGATTATTATATTTAAAAATTAATATCAAATTGCCTGAGTCGGCCATTCCAGAGGTGTCGTTCATCATAATTTGCTTTATCTTTTTTAATTCAAAAATATCATTATTTTCAGTTATTTTACCTAATGTAATCAAAAGATTTTGGGCGATATATTTCTTCCGATGCATTGTCAGATTTTTGCATATCTTAGCTCAAACCTATGTTCTGTGAAGACTGCCCAGTTTTAGCACAGCAAAGCGATAGGAATACATATTTAGTATTAATATTCCAACGACAATTGACCAGAATAAATCATTTTTATTAAGTCCTTTCTGTTTTTATGTCAGTGAAGGGGTTTTCTCCCTTCGATAATTTACTAAACTGTTTCCAGTATTATAAGTCAATATGCTTTGTCCATTCCACTTATTCATTATTACTGTTACATATTCGTTACATCTTTATTTCATTGCCAATGGTAATAATCGTAATTTTACTGCGAGTTGAATAACCAACCAATATCAAAAGATGTTGAGAACCAGTGAGTATGGGCTGTTAGAAGAGAGTCCTCGCCATTACTGTTAAACTTGCTCCGCTGCCACTGGACAATTACACTGGACAAATATCCAGGGAGTTTCCTGGCGGTTAGAAATCCAAAGTGTTAGAAGAAGAAGAATTTGTTTCAATCGATTTTTTTCTACATTATTTTATTGAAAAATTAATGAAAAATTTCAGGTGGATTGTTTGTGATTGGTGCAAAACGCACAGCATTTGGTAAATTTGGTGGAATTCTCAAAGATAAAACGGCAACTGATTTAGCAGAAATAGCAGCTCGAGCTGCTTTACAAGAAGCTGCGATTAAACCGGAAAATGTCGATCATGTTGTTTTTGGTTGGTTTTTTTCAAAGTTTTTCGAAAATTTTATTCTTATTTTTGAAATAAAAGTTTATTACTTATTTACAAATATTAATTGATGTTTGCTGTACTTTATTTACTTCGCTATTCTATGATATTAATTTACATATTTCGAACATTAATATTACGATATTTTCATTAGACATTTAATAATTCTTTTGATCATATCGTACAAACTATAGTCGAAAATTTTATATATCTTATATATATATATATATATTTTATTTATATATCTGATTGGTAAAAAAGACCTAAGGACGGTCTCCAAACATTAGTTTATATTTGGTACTTTATGAAAACTCGTTAAATTCAATGTTGCCCACAGTTATTGCCAAGTTATTCTTTGCAATTTTATATTTTGTAGAATTGCCAATGTGTTAAAATTATTAATATAATGGGAGTAGTTGACTCTAAGTCGAAGTAACAGTTAAATATTAGGAGAAATAAAGTGACAGGAAGTTAAAGGGATTAATGACAGAAGAATACAAAGGAATATAAGCTTTAGGTATGACAAGGAGACGTTTAATGGCGTATAATATCTCGCTTTTTATTTTACATCCTTAAATCCTTATTTCATCTTTGAGGAGTTTTTCACAGAATATTACAGGTTAAATTAAGCAGGATTTTTTTCAAAGGAAGCAAATATTTCAAATTTACTGATTAAATGATTAAATTGGTGGATCTGACAATAACTTAAATAATAAAACCAAGTTTTTTTTTCCATTGGAGCTCTTCAAAATAAAGAAATCGAATTTTCAATTTTATTTTGTTTAATATTTTATTTTGAGGAGTTTTTAATGAAGGAATCATCTGTTTCGCTGAAAAACACTTTTTATGGGAGCGTAAAAAAAATAAGGCATTTTTTCGAATGAGATGAGTTCTCTTCAGGTAATACAATTCAGTCATCTCGAGATGCTAGTTATTTAGCTCGTCATGTTGCTTTAAGAATTGGTCTTCCACATTCGATACCGGCTGTAACAATCAATAGACTTTGTGGTTCGGGCTTTCAATCCATCATAGATGCCTGTCTCGTAATTTTTTAATTCGTTTTAAAATTTTAAATTTTAAAATTTTAAAAAAATAAGTGACAAAACTTCATTATTTTTGCATAAATTTCGTTTTATAGCAAATAAAATGTGGTGATTCTAAAATTGTCCTTACTGGAGGAACCGAAAGTATGAGTCAGGCTCCCTTTATCGTACGAAATGTTCGATTTGGTACAACTTTTGGTGCTGATTATATGGTGTGTTATCGAATTTTTTTTAATTTTAAAAATTAATCGTTTATACAATGCAAAAACATAAAGATGAAAGAATTATTTGATTGATAGATGATAATTTATAAATTTAACCATGATACGCTATCTTTTACCTCAAACATAACTGATACGTTCGTTTGCATACATTTGCAATTGCGAATCGCCAATAGATGACGAAATAATTTCTGTCATCCAGCTTAAAGCCAATAAGACTCCGGAAGAAGATGGTCTTCGAGTTGAACTTTTCAAATGTTGTCCATTCCATCGTCCTTTATGATGCATCCTTAACAAACTCGTAAGGAAAAAAGAAATATTAAATGCAATATTAAACAACGTGTCAGCAATTGCAGTGAAAAATCGGACTCAGGATTAATATAGATAAAACGAAAGATTCTTCGTCTTATATGCAAAAAAGCTGATAAAATATCACTTTTTATAAACTCATTGCCGGTTCAGGAAGTGCCTGATTTATACCTTGGATCCACTCTAATATCGAATGACCAGACAAAAGATGATATTACAGCTCCGATCACGGCAGCTAGAAATGCGTTCTTCCGGTTGATGACATCTTTATGGAACCTTCGTGAAATCACCATAAAAACAAAAGTCCGCATCTATATTGCCGTGATCCGTTCGATCTTACTATATGGTTCTGAGACATGGCCAATGAGAGTGGAGGATATCAAGAAGTTATCTTTCTTTGATCACTCTTGTCTAAGGTATATTTTATGGGTTTGCCGAGTGGATAAAATCTCACACGATCCCATTTATCTTCGTTCAGATCACCATCACAGAGCGTTACCTTCGCTGGTTTGAACATCACCACAAGAGTTGACACATGTTTCGTTACCTGCTAAATCTTGTGGGGTCAAAAGCCAGATGAACCAATCGAGAGACTGATACAGTCAGGAAAGATTTTGAGCGTATAGGTGGACCAGCAAAATATGGATTTAGACAATGGAAAAAAGAATGGTTACTATACCGTCGACGATGATATCAGATCGCACTGCTTGGAAACTCCTTACCTTGTAGCCAGTGGCGCCAGCCTAACCAGTAATGATGAGAACTGTTAGAAAGATTTATTTAGTGAACATTTATTAAATATTCATATTTATCTTTATTTTAAAAAGAAATATTAAGAAATATTAATTTTAATTTCCATCTTCTTTTTTTAAATACCTGTACCTCATTTTTCCACTCGAAGTAATGTAATTCAGTGAATCGGTGAATAAAGTTCCTTCTTAATTTTTAAAGTTTTTTTCTTTGTTTCTTTTTGTGAACGTTAACGGAAAGAAAAAAGGTTCAATTTTTTATTATTCAAATGTCTTACTTTATAAATTTAATTTAATCAATTCTGATTTGTTCTGATTAGTTTGAAGATTCACTTTGGCAAGGCCTTACTGATGAATTCATAAAAATGCCTATGGCAATTACGGCTGAAAACCTTGGAGTATTATATAAATTGACTCGAAATGATGTAGATGAATTCGCGAATAGATCTCAGACTCGGTGGAGGCTCGGTAATATTTTATTATTCTATTACTATTATTGTCTCTATTATTTTATTATTGTTTGGTAATTTTTCTTTTTTTTTTTAAGAGTCCTCACCATAACTGGTTAAACTTCGCTTCGCTGGCTTGTCGCACTAGACAATATGCCAGGGAGTCTTTTGGCAATAAAAATACAGGTGAGTCGCCAACACCACCTGGATTTTTGGATAGGTTTACTCCTGCGAACCTCATCTTTTTGGTAATAATATGGTGATTTATTATTTTTGGTTATTTTCGAATTAGTCTACGAATAAACAAATTTTTTTCAGCAAATAATGCGGAATATTTCAAAGCTGAAATAACTCCAATTATATTCAAAGCAAAAGAGGGCGATTTTGTTTTTGATGTCGATGAACATCCTAGAGAAACAACGATTGAAAGTTTGGCTAAGTTGAAGTCAATTTTTAAGAAAGATGGACTTGTCACAGCAGGAAATGCTTCGGTAATAATTATATACCAGAGATTGCCGTTGTTTATTGTGGATTTAATTGATAAAGTTATCAAAAATTCTCTTTTTATATTTTTACTTTTTTAGTTTTCTAATGGTTGTTGTCTATTTAAATCTTTTAAGGGGATTTGTGATGGTGCGTCGTCGGTTATTGTTGCGAATGAAGGTTCAATCAGTGCACTTCATTTGACACCATTAGCTCGAATTGTGGCGTGGGATGTTATCGGTTGTGATCCTTCGATTATGGGTATAGGACCGGTATATGCGATTCGCAATATCCTAAAGAAAACTGGATTGGGATTGGCAAACATAGATTTAATTGAGGTGCATTCTTAATTCATCTTCATTTATTTTTTTAGTCCATTTTCCTTATGTGTATTTGATCCTTATTTCATTTGTCGGTTTTCATGTGGTTTGGATCTGCTAAGTTCCATTCTTACTTCTCTCAAACAAAGCGATTTTAAGCTCATTTTCGATTAAATGGTTTAGATAAATGAAGCTTTCGCTGCTCAAACAATTGCTGTACAAAAAGAACTAGGAATCGAAAATGACCAGTTGAATGTTAATGGTGGTGCCATCGCTTTAGGCCATCCATTGGCCGCATCGGGATCAAGGATTATTGCTCATCTTTGTCATGAATTGAAGTACATTTTTGTGCTTTTGGATTAACTAACAAATGACGTTTCAACTTTTATAGATATAATTGATGTGATGAGATAAGTCTGTAATATTATATCATTTAGTCGTCGGAATGCAAAATATGCAGTTGGTGCTGCTTGTATTGGCGGAGGCCAAGGAATTGCAATATTACTGGAACATATTTAATCTATGATGATATTGCGTTCAAATTATGCTGTGGAAAGCTATAAAGAATTTTACCTTTAATGGTTTTAAAATTTTTTTAATCTTCATTTGTCGAAATTATTGGTCGTTAATTTTTATCCTATTTTTATTTTTAGTACTTGATGCAAAAAAAAGTAATTGAGTTTGCATTAACTGTATCAGCAAATATGGCATTATGCGTGAAAAGATTTTGTCAAGATAATGCATAAACTAATTTTGCCCTTGAATATTTTCTCTTAATTATGAACAAAGATAGATCTTTGGCATCCTCAGTCAAAAAATAGAATTTACAACTTTGAAAAAATATGAAAATTTTTGGAAAAATCAATATTGTTTCTCTATAAACTTATCGCACTTCAAATTTCCCGCAAAATTGCTAAACGAAAGATACAAATCGAACAATCTCCATAGTTTAACGATAGCGCAATGATTGATGATAGTTGCTGAAGAAAATCAAGGCCGATTTATCTTTTTGGTTTAGTTTTCAGAAATATTGCTTCGACTCTATATTTATATAAAGATATTTGTGCCATTTGGCGATATTTTTAATTAAAATAAATAAGTGCGTAAATAATGGTCCAATTAAAATTCGTTTTTTTCTAAATATAAAATTCCAAAGTGAATGTACATTAGAGAATTCGGTTTAAAATTGAAAACTATTTATTATATGGTTAATAGGTCAGTTGATCACAACTGTAAGATTATTATGTATTTCTATCTTTCATAATAGTGACTTGTTTTCTTGGAATAACCGCATCAACTGCACATCAGGTTTATCGGTTTTCTATTAGAATTGAGTTTGTAGGGCATAATCCCACGAAATTCGGAAGATTTTAAATATATTTTTTCATTGAGGTATCGGATGGACTAGTGGTTATTGTTTAGGTTATGATTCCAAGCATCATAATTTGCTCCCTATCTTCGATAAAAGTCTTTACGAAATTGGGCTTCTTATTCTACTTTTATAATTCTTAAAATTCTATTACGAAGTGATTCAGTAGTAAAGTTATCAAAACAAACTAATGGAGTTTAGCTTGAAATGGTGAATGCTAAACATTCACGCCCTTTTTGTAATTCTTTTTTTCAGGTCGAGCGGAAAATTGAAGTTGCTTTTTGGATGCGCTAAGCTGCTTAGTGAAAAAGTAAAAAATTATAAAAATTTGAGTCCATAAAAGATATTCTAATTTATAAATTCTTGAGCATTAGTTTAATGCAAAATAAAATGATAGTGGAAGACGAAATTTTTACGAAGAGAAATCAAACCGAAGCAGAAAATAAAGTCGGCCGTTGAGACGCAATCGTTCGTTATGTGATTGGAAATTATATTTGCAGTAAAGAAATTTTTTCAATGTTCTCTCCATTCCACAACGGAATTTTCTTAATTCGGTTCGTTTTTTCCTCGCCTTACAAATTGATTATTCTCATTTTCCAAGCGTGGTTTCTCCTGGAAAAAATTATTTTTTGAATGGAATGAAACGTTGCTGAATGTCCAAATGAAAGTTTCGTATGCTAGAAAATAACTCATTTAAAGTTTTGCTGCATTGATTATTAGCATAAAACCTACCCCAGAGAGTCACTTGCAGGTGTGAGCCATCACTATCACGCATATTAAAATGAATTATAATGTACTGATTGGCTAATTATCATAATTGAATTATCATATATATCACAAAATATATGAAATGATTGATTTATGTTCTCAACCCTCAATGTTAAATTTTATCTAAGGCCCAGTGAAGCCAGTTAGCTATTAATTGCTAGTTTCTTTTCATTCTTATTTGTAATATTGTAATATTTTGCAGTTATGTTAGTTATGAAGCAAAAAAAAATATCGCTGAAATAGAGATTCTCATGAAATATCGATAAAATCTTACGAAAATTTCTCAACGATAACTGCGGATAATTTTTTATCAGATCAATCGAAGCATTTTTAAAAATTTTTTTTTATTGTCAAATATCATTCAGTTAGTCGCTAGCAGTTGAACTTATTTTTCAGTTTTTTTATTTTGAAACTAGATTATTCAAAAATTTTCCATTTATTTCTTTCTAAAAATTCTTTTTTAAATCTTAAACGGATAATTCGAAAGAATCGAAAAAAAAAATTTTGCTGGAAATTTTGTTATTCGATATTAAAAATGAAATTCTTTTTACCTTTTTCACTCACTCTGGAATTATTTTGAGGAAGGAATTCTGGGATATCTAAACTTTTATACCTTGTAACATCTGGTTTGGTTGCCTTTATTAATTGTTAAAGTGAGGTCATTTTGCCAAAGGGCCAAAGATATAGTTAGGAACGAAACACGCGCTGGCTTTCACTTTAAATAACTGGTTTATTGCCTTTAAGAATCAAAGATCGTGAAGTGACCGATTCCTGCTCGCATATTTTAGTACCATTTCATTTCACTAAATAAATTGGTTAAAAATTGATCAAGAGAATTTTATTGCATAAAATCTTAAAGTGGGTAACCAAAAAAATTTATTAAAGTTACTGACTCTAAAAAATTTCGATTTTCATTCGCAGTGCGGCATCATTTTATTTATGTTTATTCCATATTAATTCTCTGGAAAATAAGTTTATTAGATGTATTTATTAAGTGCAAAAAATTGAATTCCATTAAATTTAAATTTCATCGCCAAAATTGTCATATAGCAGATCAGATTTTTTTAAAAAGAATCAAATATTTTCAGCATTTTTGGAATTTTGATAAATAAATAATAAATTTTAATAAATAAATAATGCTTCGTGCATCTGCGAGCATCAGATCCTTACGTTCGCTGTAATATATTGGAATTATATATTTTTCCCTTAAATCTTGGATGTTGAGTCATGGTTGTTATTCAGCATTTCTGGTTAGACTAGCTCGAATGGCCATTAGTAGAGTTAGAAATTTTATTCACACAGTCATTTAGCGATAGAACTACGGAAAGCTGGATTTTGTGATGTGCTTACTTCCCTCGACACTCGACTACCCTGCCTTCTAGTCATGGACAGTTACACTTTAAACCCGTATTTGATCGCTCCAGCATTCAACAAATACCAAAATTCTGAATTCCCGATTTTTCCGTTTAACAAAAAGAAAATTTTATTTTGCTAATAGAACCGAGCGAATTTTGTTTAACACCAAACAGTTTTTTACTAACTTTATTTATAACGTAAAGTAATGTGTAAGGCACTTTTTATTTTCAATTTTTTTAAAGTTGCAAATAGCATTTAATTTGATTGATTAATTCGAAATGAATTTATGATTTCTGTCCTTTTTTGCAGAAAAAATGTCACGATTCATGATTTTGCATTAATTGAAAGCAATTCTTCGAATTATTCGGTAGCCGAATTTGTGGAGAAAGTGCCAAAAGAAGGCGAAAATGAATATGTGAAAAAGTGGCAAATTTCCTTAAATAATTTAATAATAAAATGCTTTAAAATATTTTCCATTGAAAAAATTTCAAAAAATGAAACTACATAAAATGAGAATGCAAAAAACTGAAATTTTTATGGCAAAATTCCGAAGAAATGATAATTTTGGCAGAGAATTAAACAATTTTGAAGGTTCTCTCGAACGGTGATTTCCGTTTCATTTCGCTTTTTGCTTCCGACTCTGTTAAATACTTTTCAATTTAAACTCTAAGTAAATAACGGTTAAGGATTGATAAAAAAAAATTTAGCAGCAATCAGTAGTAAAGTAATAAAGAAGGAATAAGGATGTGAACGAAAATCGAGATAAATTTATAATGTATGAATGAATGAATGGAATGCGACGGTAGGAATGTGACTGATTGGCTTGAATATGGTATTTTACCTGAAGGTCATTTCATCGAAAAGAAATAATTAAAAATGTGTAAAAGAAGAGAATGAAAGAGGAAAAATCGACGTAAACGCCGAGAAAGACAAATTCACAGGCACTAAACACGAAAGTGCTTGCCTAGTTGGTCGGTAGTTACGCCAAAGACCCGATGATAGAACGGTGATTGACGGACATGCGGACGATCTCGCTATATATATTGTATTTGCACAATAAATATATTGTAGAGGGCGTAATGTACGCCAATAATAGAAGAGTCAAGTGGTTGGTAAGAAAGGCTATATCTTTAATAGATGACTGAGACAAGAGAAGGGCGGTGTTTGTAGGTCGCCATCCAAACGTCCTTAGCGTTTTCGGCATTTGTATACACCACGGTCATGTGGTCGTCGCCTTTACTTCTTTCTCTTACCAGTGTTTTTGGCCTTCTTGGCTTAGCACTTGTCGCATTGGCTATATCAACCGATAATTGGATCGAATATCAGGTTTCGTTAATTTGGTGTTGTTAATTTTCTCTTCATATCCTCAAATCTTCATTTTCTGCAGCTTCCGATCATTTTTATTTATTTAAATTCATTTATTATTTTTAAATCTTAATTTCATTTGACCTAAAATTGATTTGTTTGAATAATTCAGTGCAATATCACTTCATCTTATTGAGTCGGAATGTCGCAATCAACCATCCTTCTATCGTCCATTGATTATAGGTTTAAGGATATGGATAGTTAATCTGACCTTAATATATGACCCTCAGCCATTAAAATTTGGCAAAGCGAACATGTATTGTTGTATATACTTGCTATATAAAAGATCTCAGCAGCACTTATGCATCCCAGGGTTTACTTCGACGAGGAACAAGGAGCAAACGAAAAAGAAAACCTTAGTGTTCAAAAGAATATCCTATTAGTGCTGGGATCGCATTTCTGTTTTTATAATCAGTTCTCGAAATTTTTAATTTTTAAATTCAACTACATGCTTTCAGGTGAATAGAAAAGAAATTATAAATGCTATCAGTCGTCAGAGTGAATTAAATTCGAGACTGAAAGATAACGTCGTTCGAAATCCGTTATATTTCTCTCGTAATTATGGCATATTTTGCGTATGCTTCTCAGATGCTGTTCCCTCGGGTAAAATTTTTTGTTTTTACCTATGTACAATATTTTTTATTTAGGTCGCTGTGATTAGATAATATTAGAAACGTCTCTTTGTACTTTCTGATACGATTTGATTCGTCATTTTTAATTTGTGCTGTTTGTTTCGGTAGCTTCGTGAAGATGAACGAATGCTGGCCTATTTCCTTATTAAAGGTTTAAGCATTAATTCGAAGTTAAAGATCTAGGGGTTGCATTTTGAAGGTCCATTTGTTTTTAAATTCCTGCATCCATTTTTGTTAAAGAATTTTCCACTGAAAGTTCTGAAACTGTCATTATCTTGAAATGTCGTCAAGGTTATTGCGTGTGTAATAAGATTAATACAGACAACTTATTTTTTGGTGCTCTTTGCTGATTGTTGTTTGTGGAAACATCCATTCATTTAACCAACCATCTTACAGCAAACGAGTGGTTAATGCTGCTTTGTTAGGCCTTTCTGCGCTTGCTTTTGGTGCCATTAGAAATTTTTGCCAGATAGGGAATTGGCGAGAAAAATGCCTCGCTAGCATCCCTGGGATGTTTCAGATTGAGCATCCATTTTTTGCACCTAAAATTTTGCACATTTCCACATCTTTTTCCATTCATCTCAATCTAATAAAATTTTTGAATCTAAACAATTTTAAAAACCATTTCTTCTTTCTGATTTTCTTGTTTCTTCAATCAATAGAAATAAATTTAAAGAATGTTTTTTTAAAAAAGTTTTTTTTAAATTTGTTTGTGATAATTTTTAATTTTAATTTATACGTTCGCTACTTTTTTAAACCAATTATTTAATTAATAGCATTTCTTTAAAAATAATGGAGAAAATTTTGCAAATATTTTAGATTAATTTGGCCATGTTTTAACCATATGTATAACTTTTAATATTATAATTGGTCAAATGGCATCTGTCATTTTGCAATATCCTTAATTTTAACCCTTCATTTCTTTAGTGATTGATGGCTTTCTTAAGGTGTAAGGCCATCATTACGTTTTTATTGGAAAGCTAAATATTATATTTCATAAGAAAGCTTAATAACCGATAATAATGTTAGGTTGAATAGTAATTTTAATCAGTGAAGTCTTTTTTATTCATCCGTATTTTTGATTATTTTCTTCATTCAGCATATATTACTATACTTTACTAGAATCCTTGTGCATTGATATATAAATGATTGCAAATAATTTGATTTCCAGAAATTAAGCGGACTTTATTCCAATTTTACCATATATATATATATATATATATATATTCAATAATTTTCACTAGTTTTTTGTAGATTAAATCTCATGCGAAAGTAAGATATTTCAAGGACTGCCCTCTCATAATTTTCGATTAATGCATCTATTTATCGCAATTTTTTATAGCAAATAACAAATATTTTAGTTTACCCAGTGAATTTCAAGGGAACTCACGTAAGTTTTAAAACTAAATTATGCCAGATAATTTATTTAAAAAGGGTTCAGTTGAGTGGTATATATTTTGATTTAATCTTGTTTATCACCATTCTTTGTCAACTTAAAAGTATTTTTGAGAAAAATTCAAACAGTAATCAGTTTTTCATTCGCTTTGACTTTTTATATAATCAGTTCCTTCGAATGGTAAAAATTTTGTTGTTTTTCGATTTGTTATCAAATTGAAAATTCCAGTTTGATTGTATGGATATGAACATGTTTTTTTGTGTTCATCTGTATCGTTTTTTTCGGCTTTTTTTCCATATTGGCGATGTCTTATCTTCCTTCACCCCATGATTGATAATTAATATTCTTCAGCAATTGATTTTTCTCGCTTTCTTTTTTCATTCTCAATTTTTATTTGTTCCAGTTTTTTCTCATTCGACGACTTTCATCTTATCACGAGAATTTTACTTGCAATAAAAATTTGGTACTTGAAGTATTATCATTAATTTATAGCTGAAAATGCGAAGAAAATAATAAAAACTAGAATATATAAGAAATAAGAAAAATTAGAATGGAATTACAGAAAAGGTTTTTACTTGCAGTATTACACAATTACAATATTGTTCTGTAAATTAATACTTCAAGAGACTTTTTAATTACTTAAATATCTTCATAAATATCTTCATCTTTCAACAGCCTTCACCATTCCAGATTCGATTAGTTGCACTGGCTTCTGTTATTTTATATCATTAGGGCATAGTAATGAACCTAGGACTGTCTGGAGGCCATTTATAATTGTAAGGTTCACTATCGTCAAGGGTCAAGAACTGAGCTCATGATGCTTGAATTTAATCGGAACATCCCGATCATCTTGCATCATTATGGATATGTCGCATAAATTTACACAATTTTTATTTTTCCTCTATTCTTCAGGAATCGGAAGCTTCTCAAAACTTGGTTCACCATGCATTTGGATTGACAATTATCACCCTTCAGATGCACAATTTGAGAAATTCAGTAATATACAAAGCTATCATTATTATGCCTTGTGGGGAGCAGCTATACTTTACTTAATTGGTATTGGAATATTTTTATTTTGTTCTGTGCTTGGTATGATCGGTTGCTGGCGACGCAGTACGAAAACCATTCTTACAACAGCGCTTTTAATGTTGTTTTCAGGTTAGTTCAACCAGTTTATATGCTTAAAACCTTTGATTTCTTTCTGGTTAATAGGTCTTCAAACTAATTAAAATTATTATTTACTTTTGTATCGACGAGAAATAAATGGGGGTTTATCGATTCATTCATTTTAGTTTTAGCTATTAGCTATTAGAGAACATAATTGTATGCGTAGGTTGAGATATTTCAGGTATTCATTTGAGAATAAAAATAAGGTGGGTCACCAACAATACTCAGTGTCAAGTTTACTGCTATTAAGGGGATAATAACAGTAAACGGTGCATTTGACCACAGCCCTGCAGTTTATGGTTGTTACATTTGATGTGGCTGTGACAAAATTTAAAATGAAATATGTTGGAAAGGGCATAGTCCATTACCTTTGTCTCCTAATCCATTTAAATTGTTACCAATAATTCATATTTAGCGTTACTTTGGCTATGGCCTATCTTCATGCTATTATTTGTTGTTACAAAGATCCTATAAATTTTGTCATAACGTTGGCCTTCCCCAGTTTCTTTTCAACATTAGAAATTGCATTCATTTATTGCTTAATCGAATGATATTATTTCTTTAGATACGAGTTGGAAAGAATTTTTCTAAAACCTTAAAATTTCTTTATTTTACAAATTTTATAAAAATAGAAGATTGGAGAAAAAATGAGCTCTTCAAATCTAAATTATTTTGTTCGTTCGCAATAATTTCCTCAATTTTTCGTACATATCGATAAAATTTAATGTATAACTTTTAAGATGTTGGGTTTGCTTACAAAAATTTCTTTTGAGATCATTTCATAGGAAATTCTGAAAAAATTTTATCATAGATAAATTTAGATCGCTAGTACTTTTGGAAAGTTATGCTAGTAGTCGCTTGGCAATAGAAGTATGAATGCGTCAGCAGCACTCCCTCGGAATTTTTTTAATGGCAGATTTACTCCTTTGATGACAATAGCCGAACCTTTATGCCGTGGTGATCTAAGCCACTATTTACTCGAATATATTTTTTTCATGGATTTGTTCATTTATTTCCCTTTCATTAGCTTAGTTGTTTTTAAAAATTTTTAACGATCAATGTAAATTTGAAATGAGAGATGAACATGGAAAATCTTTTAACTATAAATTGGCAGTTTTGATAGGCAAATATCTTATCAAACCAAATCAGAATATTAACTTCATTTTTTCTTTTCAAATTCGTTTCGCTAATATTTTACTATAATATATATTATTATATATTATTATATCATAATATTATTTGACTGGAAATGTTTCTGATTTATGATTAAATACTAAACAAACAAGTTTTTTTTTTACTCAAAGAATTGGTAGCAATTTAAAAATTGCTAAAAAACTGAGCAATAATTGGAGGTATGTTAATAGTTGCGAACAATGGGAATAGGATGGCGTAATGGGTTGTTGCTCGATTCGGAGCACCGATACTAAGGTTCTTTTCTCCGTAGGAGAAAACCTGTACAAAAATCTGGGTGATGCTGGCGACTCACCTGTATTTCTGTCGCCAAGGACTCCCTGGCATATTGCCCAATGTGACAAGCCAGCGTAGAGAATTTAACCGGTAATGGTGAACTCTTTAAAAAAAATATTCCGAACAATTGCAGTTTAATTAAATCTGTGTTTTCCCTATCAACTCAACAAAACGATTTATGCTACTGATAAAATATTTTAATGCTTTAAGAAAGAATATTAATAAGAGGTGCAAAGAGTGAAGTGGGCATTGGTGCGATTTATCTTGAATAAACCTGCTAGTAGAGTTGAAATCCTCTTTTATATCTTAAAGTACCTTTGATAGCGCAACAATGTGGATATCACAATAAATTTTTTTGGATTGCTTGTATACAATGGTGGATGTGGAAACTGAAAATTTTGTCCATTTTTCACAAATAAAACCAGTTTTTTTGCAAATAGTTTTTTAATCGGTGTAAATACAGATAATATAAAAATTACCATAAAATCCGGATTTTTTCCAAAACCCTCCTAAAATTATGCTGATTGATCTAAAAAAAAGCCAAAAAATGATTTAAATTTATGATGAAACCATACTAATAAAATAATGTAATTAAGTTTTTTTGAAATTATTCAATATTATTAATATAAATATGGTTAGCGCTCGGTCGTTATTTCTGGCTCCACTGGTTATTAATATGGTTAGAAATTTTTATTCTTAAGAGCCATTAGATGACAGAAGTGCAGGTGGGTCGCACCTTTTTCCCAACATTTTTTAGTGGCATATTTATCCTTGTCGAGAGTAGGATAGCCTAGTGGAAAATGATCTAGAATTTTATTGTTATATTTAATCATTATAATTATAATTTTATTTTTAAATCCAATATTTGATGAAAATTTTAATTAGATTTAATATTTCTATTTTATATTTTACAATACTTTTATTTATATTTTTGAGTCAGAAACAAAAATTTATTTCTAAACAAGTTTTTAAATTTATATGCGATTTTTTGGGATAAAAAAACTTAAAATATCGTCAATTAGCATAATTACATAATGTTTTTAATCGAATTGAGTGAATTCTTTTATTTATTATCATTGAGTGTATTATCATTTTCATCATCATTAATTGCTATTAATCTTGAATTATATAAAAACATTTTGTTAATTTTTCTCTTGCCAAAGCGATTTATATATATCGAATCCATTATCATGCCTAGCATTTAGATTTTTGTCTCAAATAAAATAGGGAAATGACAAGAAATATTCGATTAAAAAAGCCTTCAGCGATTTAAATTTTCATTTAAATTTTGGTTTAATTTGTTAAAAATTGAAAGTTCTTATAAAAAAAATCTATTATTAATACGTTATTAAAATTATAAATAAAATTAAATTCAGTTTATTGAAAAGAAAGTTTTGAAAAATCAAATTTTCTTAAAGAATTTTAAAAAAAAAATTTTCTAAAAGAAAGAAATTTCTACTTAAATCTTTGTTTCTTTTGAATTTCTTTAAGATTTTCGAAATTTCAAATTTTTTATTTTTTTCTTTTTTTTACAAAATTCAAAATTTTGCTTCTTTCAGAGCTATTTAGGAATTTCCAAGGAGTTACTACAACTTGTTTATTAAAATGTTGTATTAATAATTCTTTTCTTCTGTTCTTTGTGGCCTTCAGTTTGCTCTATTTCATATCGTATTTCAGTAATGTTTCTGGCTGCATCGATGGCATGCTGGCATTTAGTGAACTATTTTGAACGACATGTTCTCGATGTTGAACCATTTTACAAATCGTGGGAATCTGTAAGTCGTTTTGTAACCATGTTTGACTGCCTATTATTTTTATATTTTTTATTTAATTTTTTTTCATAGCATCATTGATAAGCATATTTAAATAAAAAAAATAATTAGAGTCGGCGCGTATTATTGTGGCATTGCGAAGTTCACGGCGATAGATGTAAAATATTTATCCTAGATTAAATGGTAATGGCTAGTCAAGTACCACTGGTGTATGTTTCTGAATTTTCAGTTCAATCACAATAATTAATTTAGTAATTAAATTTTTAAGATCTTGAAGCAGACTACAAAAATTAACTATGGATGGTCATATATTGTGTCATGGATTGGAATTGGCTTTATTTTACTAGCCTCAACATTCATGCTGTTATCGTACAAGAAAATAAAGGTTATTTTATTTTAGAAAATAAATGAAATCTACTTTATCTATTTCATTTTTTATTTAAGTACAATAATATAATCAGCAACATTGGTTATTATGATGAGAATAGCTTTTGAAAAATTATTGAAACTACCGAAGCGATTAAGCATTAAAGAAGGATAGCAAAAAAAATACCTTTATCAAATAATGTTGATAGAGAGGATTTTTTCTGCAGAAAGTAATAGTGTAAAAGTAATGGTAAGAGTGAGAGCAATGGTCCTTTCTACATTAAAAATTTCTTGGAAATTTAATCAAACGAAAGTTCTGTCCTACTGCTTAGAGCTAGCTTCGTTGGCTATTGAAATCTTGAAATTTTTGCAGAGGCCATATAAATATAAGTAGTTCGCCCGATTTTTCGGTGGCATATTTATTCCTGTCGAGGACAGGAGCAGAATCCTTATCTTAAACATGATAATCTATCGACTTGGTTCAATGTTGCTTAGTGCTAAAAAAGTTCGAAGAACTGCGAAAATAAAGAAAGAGACCCTTAAGCAAAAAATATTTTCGCGAATTCGAGAAACCATAATTTTTAAACATTTTTTATATATCAAATGTCATTTTTTTATTAGTCGCATATGAATCAAAAATGTACAATTCATTCTTACGAACCACTAAGGTAATTGGACCTTCGAAATCAATTTGTCTTTTCGAACGTTCCCATCTAATTCCCATTTTAAAATTCATCTAAAATTATTATTTCTTGATCTGTCTACATTTCATTTTCCTCGGAATATTTAGGTTTATTAGCTTCTTACAATGTATAATATAATTTTATTATCTCTATTGTTTTAGGTTAGTTTAATCAATACAAGAAGATTTAAAATTTCGTAAATGACGAATTTTCTTCCGGAACTAAGAGCTAAAAAAAGATTTTTTGATAAAAATTTCAACACCATGTTTACATTATTTTACTTTATAGGATTTTTAGTTACTACATAATTTTTAATGATTATTATACAACAATTTTTAATAATGTTAATTTTGTCATAAAGTAAATCTTTATTTACTTTATGACAAAATTTATTTATTAATTAAAATTTATAATGAAGAAAAAATTCTTTGTCGATGATCTTATTGAACCATTTTAATACAAATTGAAATTTTGATATTATTAAAGGGTGACTGATGTTATAATATTAAAAATAAAAATAGCAAAAGTGTATAATAATAATAAACGGACAGAGTAAAATAGCAAAAGTGAATTATGGATAAGTCAACTAAGCAAAGGCCGATTAACTGATTAAAATATTTTATTATGAATCTTGAAGGACATATACTGAAGAATTTTATGGCCCATGGAAAATTTATTTATCAAAATAATTATAAAAAATCGGAAAAATTAATAGAACCAAATTGAATTATTTTTTTGGCTAATTTGGCTCATTTCTTAAGTACCTTAACTAATTAAAACAATTCCATTAATTTTTTCATTTAATTTTGGTTTTAATGTTCTTAAGTAAACAGTACTTTTAAAAATTTATTTCAGGAGGAAGAAGGAAAAGCATTCGAAACAAAACATGGCGCATATATAATACCAAATTATTATGACAAATCATCGGCGATGGTACCCTATGGCTATGGCACATACGCAGGATATGGTGCTTATCCTACGGCTTATTATGGTCAATATCCTCCTAATGGTGGTTACTATGGATATATGACATATGGTCGTTAAATAAATTCTGATGCCATAATAACGCCATACATTTCTTTTTTGTAAATTTTGTACGGGGAATTTTTGTAGGCAATTGTTCCTATTGAATTGTCGATTCGTCACGCATACCTCCTTTCATAAATGAATTTTGTTTCAGAAAGGAACCAAATGAATCCAGTGAATGACAGACAGATAAGATGAATGTGGATTGGTTGTAATTTAGGTGAACTTCACTTCTTTAAATATTTGTCCATAGGTTTATATCTTATATATATCCCTTTCTCATGTGAATTTTAATCCTTTATGCGTGTTTATAAATTTTTTGGTTCATGTTAATTTACGAACGTAAAATATTAAATAAGTAGACAGAATTATGGCACTCGATTCAAAGAGAAAAGCAAACATTCCAATTTTCCTCGCACATACTTTCTTACTATTCTATTTTATTTAAATTTAAATTATACTTAAACTAGTGTAAATTCAATTTAAGGTTTTATTTATTGCTTCCTAAATAAGCCAAAATAAAAGAACCTTTCCCTAGTATTTTTCCATTCATTTTCAAAACTATAAAATTTTTTATCGTATGGATTCAAAAAGGATTTATCAATTCATTATTTTTCCATTATTTTAATTGGAAAAAGTTTCTTGAAAAAAAATTGGTCAAAACGAAAACTTCATCTTAGTTGACAGATGGAAAGAGGACTTTTTTCCTTTTCACTTTTAGAAATTGCGATTATGCGATTATTTTCTTTTTGTAACCACGATTTCTGAACCAGTAATCACTACTTTATGAGATTGTTTTTGTCTAGTCTAGGTTTATTTGACACATAGGGAAATAATTATTATATTTTTTGACCTGGTTCACGTTTGACCTGGCAATTTTTTGTTTTACCTATTTTTACTGAATATGAATTTACCATGTTTGTAATTCAGTGTAAAAGCAAATGACTATAAAAGCTGGTTACGTTGTTTCATTTATATTTAAACATGAAAAATTCAGAAAAAAATCTGTCCGGTGCAATTAAAATTTTATAACCATATAAATATAAATACAAATTCTATTTCTCTTCATCTATAAAAAAATTTTCCTATTAATCAGTTATAATCAGTTATTAATAATAAAAACATGGTAAATTATTTTAAAATAAAATTATAAAGCTAATGAACTTCGGAAATGACTTCAGAAATTATCATTGTACCATCTAATTAAAATTGATTATTGCTTTTTTTCTAACAGCACTCAGCTTTCTGGTTCGGCAGACTCCATTTAATATTAGAATGGTTATACTCTCACCAAAGAGATACTTGGTGATAAAAACGATAAAAAGAACGTAGACCACTTGGATTTCATTTTTAACGCCAAGTTTACTTCTGTCAGGATAAAGAACAGGAATTTACGATGGCCTTAGTCGAAAGTATATATATATTGTTTAATTTTGTTATTAAATATATAAATTGAATTCACAAAAATTCAAATAACCGTTTGATCAGTGTTTAGAAGATATTTTTTCACCACTGAAGTTTTTTTTTCTACCTTTTTCATACCAATTTTCTGAAAAATGGTTTTTAAAATCTTGTATTAATAATAATAATAATAGAAAACGGAATAATGTATATTAACAGAAATGCAGTGGAACTGTACCTTTTGATTTCCCATGTTTATGGCGAATTTGTTTACTAGAAGCGGCAGGATTGTAAGGAAATACTTTTGTAATCGTACCTACTGCTTTCGTGCGTCCTTCACGGAAAACCAATCTAGACCCTACTCTTAAATATTCTGGATTTTTTATGAACTTAAATGTGACTGTATCTCGGTCGCCTGTACGCAACACGTCTTTCGTCATTTTTATGATAGTAGCTGTTTGTCGTATGGACCCAATGTGTACTGAAAACAATATTAGTAAAAGATAAATAAAAGAAAAAATGTTCTAAGAGCAAAATTCGTAAAATATTCAACTCGTAAAATCAAGTCTTATATACCCATTGCCTGATAATTCGGAGCAATAGTTGTTGGATGCAGCAAAATAAGAATTTCAGCTTCGAATTGAAGTGATGAAATAATTTGTAGTTTTGGTGAAATCATTACCATTCCTTTACGGATATCCTTTTTACTGAACTTCCTAAAACTGAAAAATAATGAACTATCGCCACAAGAACACAAAGCCTAGTATGAAAGAAATATAAAATTATCTAAAGTAATATAGCAAACATAATAATATGCAAAAATGCAATAATAATAATATTGCATTTAGAGTTCAAAGTTTGACTGAAAAGTAATCGAACTCATGAAAAAACAGATAAGTGAATATATAAATGTATAACATATATTATATTATCATATTTATACATAAAATTGCTAAATTAAAAAATTTATTTAAAAATTTATTTAACACAAGGTGAGCCGTGTGCTGAAAATTCATTATATTAAATAATTTTATTCATTTTTGATTTTTTTTGTTAGAATAGTTAATAGCTATCTTTTACATCTAATCCCTTTATCATTTATTCATTTCGTTTCATAGCGTATTTTTTTTCGAACTATTTGTTATGTTTTTTTTTATTATTTAGTTTTAACCATTTAATATAATAAGCAAGTTTAAAACACGTTTACCACCATATATATTATAATTTCCAATAATATTATTGGTATACTTTTTATTGGTATACTTTATATTTCTTATATTTGACTATATTTTCATTTCCATTTTCGACTATTTCGGATCTTTTTGGCCAATGCAGAAGAATTCAATAAAACTGCAAGTGGCAAATCACGAATCAACAACCAGTATTAAAAAGGTAGGGATATAGAGGCAGCCTCGATTATTATAAATACATTTTTTTTCAAGATTAAGTGCCAATTTTATAAATACAGTTTAAATACAATTTCATAAAAAAATGCTTTTCAAATTTTAATAAATGAACAAAAAATAGAATTCGATAAGCTAAACTAGCCTGATAGCAAAACATGCAGTTTGACCGCAAGAAATTTTTGAAACTGGCATTCGCTTCCGATGAATTGATTTAACTGGTACAGGGACGAATTCACCACATGAGGTTGGTCCCAATAAAAGAGTGTCATTCACTGCTATCGCACCTTGAAGGAGCCTTGCAATAGAAAAAAACGACAAATGTGAATCTGAAATCGATAATCAAAGGAATTACCAGCAGTACAGGTACCAGATACAACTGTACCAACTCCATCGACCCAGTACACGTCATCAATCTGATATTCAGCCGGGTGATTATCAGAAAATTTTTTGCGAATTGGTATTAAATTAAGGAAGGCTCGCAGCAGATCCATATTTGTTCCTACTACATTTGAGACTTGGAAGATTGGACAAATCCTGGAAGTAAAAATGTAAAGTATTAAGTAAAAATGAGAAAAAATGAACAAAATCAAAAAAAAAGGAATTACCTTCCACTGTTGAAATGAAGGGCAGCATGAATAACATCATCCATATTCTTGATAGTAACTGGTAACTTCCTTACGCCTGGACTTTTCATAAGACGATCAAGATTTTTTATCGTTTCACCTAGCACCTGAACAGTAGATTAACAAGTAGTCAAAATCAATATTTATTATCTACTTGCAATAAAATATTTAAGAATTATGTGATATCATTTATTTAAAAAATTAATTACATTAAGAAAAAACCTGCTCTGGACACATATCAATCTTGGTAATGACAATGAAAACCGGAATATTTAAGCAAAGTGCTAATGACAGATGCTCTTTTGTCATTCCAATAATACCTGCATTTGATCCAACCTGACAATTAAACTACAAATTATTACAAATGTATTGTAATGTATTATTATAAATGTGTTTACAAATAATTATAAATTGTACGAAGCAGATAATAAATTTAAGATAAAAGCAGATAGAAAATAAAGTTATTTATGCAAATATATTATATAAATACATTACTTAAAAAACAAATAAAAAATCACAAATTTCAACCAAATCAACAATTGAATAATTGTATAGTTAAATAAAATGAAAGGTGGGCTTTTCCAATCCTGATATAACTTAATGCAAATTCCAACATTCGATTTAATTTAACGTGATTCAATTTTAATTTACAGTACTTTTTAAAATTTTCAAAAATTTATTAAAGGGTTCAGCCACAAAAATATATCCAAAATATACCAACCATAAGCATAGTATAATCTGGAATATGTCCAGTCATCCCGAAAATAGTAGTTTTAAGATATTTTTCATGACCAGCCAAATCAATGAATGTTATTACCTGAACATATTATATGCAACAAATGAAAATGAATGTTATTATCTGAATATATTACATGTACCAAACGAGAATATGAGAAAAAATAAAAACCTTCGTTGATTCTTTACATATGCTAGTCCAGTCTAGATGGCCACTATGTATATCCGGTTTATTGACTACTGCACCGTTAACGTCAAAACCCAGTATTTCATTACCTACTGAAGAAGTCCTTCCAGATTCAAATTCATGTTTGTGACTAAAATAAAATAATAATGATAAAGGATTATCAATTATGTTTAAGGAATTACTACACAACTGGCATATAACATTTACTACAAATAATATTAAAAATGACCTTTTATCATTTACAATTCATCAAACATTTTTGAATAAAAATAAAGTAATAAAACTTTATTCAAAATTTAAAATTGAATTTAAAAAAAAGATTCCTAGAATTATAGATAAATAAAAACGAAATGAGGCATTTGAACTATTAGAAAAACTTTCAAAAAACAAAAAACTAACCGAAATAACTTTTTTCGAGCTAGACCTCGACCATCATCAAGTGTACTATGTGTTAAAACGCCTAATAACGTTGATTTCCCTGCATCAACATTTCCAACAACTGCAACACGGACCTAAAATGCTTGTTTTTTTTGGGGATAGAAACCAAATCATTAAAAAATCATTAAAAATTTTCGAAATTTTAGCCATAGAAGCCCAGTAAAGCCCAGTAACTTTTGTATAGGATTACCCTTATAAGTATATAATTACAATCAAAAAACTATTATAAACCAAAACCTCAAGGAAATCCTCAGTTCCAAAAATCTTCCTAATTAGATGAATTCTCGTAAATAAGTCGCCATTTTGTCTCATTATTAGGCAAGTAGATATTAAAGACATTTTTTTTAGCAATTCCGTGTGCTTCTGCTCTACCAATTTAAGATCGCTTTCTTTCAAGCCTGAAAACACAAAATTGAAACTATATATATGTAATATAATATATATAAAATATAATATAATATAATATTGAAAAGAAAACTTGTCATATATTGATTCAAATCTAAACAGCCTCAAATACTCATTCATAATTAAAAGTAAAAGTTAATTACCCCTATCAGATATATCATCTAATGAGGCACCCAATTCAATAATCGCTTCACCTTCACCATTGTTTATTATTGCCTGAATCTTTTCACCGTAATGATTCAACTTTTCTTGATCACAAGGATCTGATAAAGAAAGTGGTAAAAGAAAATCCTTTGAGATGTTTTCGTTTTCAACTGATTCTAAAAAAAGTGGACCTTTTTACTGTTAAATATAATATAATATTAAAAATATAATATAATAAATATAATACTATTAAAAATAATGTAATACAAAAAATAATATAAAAAAATTCAATGAAATCATTGAATTCACTAAAAAAAATCTTTTATTTTAGAAAATAAAAATTAAAAAAATTTCGAATATTTCGAATTTCAAAAAATCAAACTAGTTGATTGACCTGCTCCGTCCAATGTTAGTATAATTAGAAATTTTTATCAGGTTGACGATAAAAGTACAGGTGCCTCGCCAGCACTACAGGATTTTTTAAATGCTTGTTTTTTTTGGGGATAGAAACAAACCCTTGCTTCTCAACACGATAATCTGAACCACCATCCACTCAGCTACCTTGCCGCCATAAATTTGATTAAAATTAAAATAGAAAAATGGATCAGATTCACTCGTTTTGAAGAAAAATGAGTTTGCTTAATGAAAGTATAGCGGAAACAAATGATAAATTACGTTCATCGGAATCTTCGCCACCAGAAATGATACATGCAGCTGCAACTGCTGCACTTTTATTCATCGAATTATTTCAATAATTTGCTGTAACTATGCACTGAAAATATTATTTCATACATATTATTTGATAAAACATAGTCTTTTTTCGAATAAATAAAAAATTCAAAAAATTACTGATATATTTCATACACATTGGATTAAAATCATATGAGAATGAGAAAACTTTCGAGTTTTCAAATGCGCTAAATTATATAATTATAAATTATATCTTATATAATTTTATTTTAACAAATATTTGTCGCCCTCACCCTTGTTCCACAAATTCCAACTTATGGTACCTTATGTGATTTTATAATCTGCAACTGAGAAAAGTGTACTGCAAGATTTAAAAGATTTAAAAGAGCTCTGCAATGTTGCAACTGAAGTTAAAGTGGAAGAAAGAGAATTTAAATTATATTTAAATTATAAAAGGAATAAGAGAAAAGTTAACCAATGGTAGTAATAAGGAATTTTTAAAGCGATTTAAGATATTTTCATAGCAATTTTTTGGAAAAACTTTCAAAACGAAGGATCGAGATTTCGCAATCGTAGGTATTTTTCGCGGGGACACATCCATATACACATCCATATATGTGCAGGGAACCAAACAATTTATTATAAGATGCTGTCCCAATATATTTTATAAAGAGGAAATGGAAATAAAAATAAGTGAAGAATGTATTAAATGAAAACTGACTGCAACTAATCTAAATATCTAATAAAAAGGTAAATAGGCAATACCTATTGATTAAGTGATATGAAGCACGAATTAGTTAACAGAAATTCGGAAAAATTTCCAAATAGTCCAACGAACCGATTTAAACCAAAAAATTAAAAAAACAGGTATAAATGATGGCAAAATGAAAGGTAGGAAAGAAAGATTTTGAACGTATAGAGGGACCAGCGTATATGGAATTAGACGAAGGAAAAAGGAATTGGCTTCTATTACTACTAGCGATAGCGTCGGACCGAAACTTGGAAAGCCCTAACTTTGTGGTCAGCGCAGCACCGCTTAAGCAATGGTGAGAACTGTTATAAGAAGATTAAAGGCAAAGATTTAATTTTTGCCTTGGATATATTTTTATTAAAAAATCCGGGTAGTGCTGGCGACCCATTTGCAATTCGATTCTCCGGCAAAACCACTGCTGTTGCTAACCAAAACCGTTTCACTACTATTTACTACAAAAAAGGGTCTAAGGCAATTAAATAATCTGACGGAATATTTCCAAGTTATAAAATTACTATAATTTTTTTACTTGCCTATTCATTATTTGTCTAGTTTATTTAATCATTCATTATTTCGTTTTTCTTCTAATGGCACTCATCATTTCTCGTTTAATTGACTGCACTATTGTATACTACGATGAGAAGAATTCACCAAAGAGTCACCTGAGGACATCCATCGGCTTCGTGATGATTTATTCACCTTTCGATTCACCTTTGCTGTCAAGAAAATCTAATATATTGAATAAAAAAAATATACGTAACTTGCCAAGTATCGGATAGCTGCTTAGTGATAATAACCTATGAACTTTGAAAAAATTTTATCAGATTTGAATTTCCGAGAAAAAAGTTCGTTTTTTCATTTTCTCTGTCTCCTTGTCCCTTTCTCCTTTTTCATCTCTTATCTCCTAAATCGCTTATTAACCTGTAACTTTCCAATCTTCTCGCATCTCTTCATTCTCTCCTATTCTCGTACTATTTTTTCACCGTAAAACCGTAAAAACGAATGCGACGTAGCATCAAATGCGAAAAGAAAGAAATTCGCCAATCTTAGAGCTCAGACAATCAATTCTAAAATAATGAAGCCAAAGAGGAAAAGGAAAATTTGATAAAAAAACCTAAACCTTTGCCGAAATCTGTTGAATAAATTTTACACAAATTTTTCAAATATTTGATGGACGAACAAAATGTGGATAAAAACGTCCGAGTTCGACTTATGTTCTGTAAAGGTACGATACAAGCAATTGGCACAACATCGGATATTAACAACAAAAAAAATTTAACGCAGTTCGCTTTTGCCAAAAAGTGAACATTTCCTTCTCTTTCTGGAATTCACTGGTGATTCGTATCACTTCGTTAGCAACAGAAGCACATTTCCCCTATCAAGAAAGATTTACTAAAGAAATTTAGCAATGACTGCAAATTTATTTATTTATTTATTTATTGATAAGCAGTCAAGTAGGGCGACAACGCCATGTGCTTGTATTAATAATAACAACTAAGATAAGAGAAAAAGAAAATACAAAAAAAAAAAAATATAAACAAAATTAATTATAAAACAATATGACAACAATATGAACAAAAATTAACAATTTAAAGAGAAAATTACAGATCAATATAATATAGTACAATTAGAAGTAACATATATAACCTGAAGATAAAACCGAGATTTCTCACTTCCTGCAGTTCTTGCCTGGTGTAAACTCTTCTCTTTTTTTTTGTTTTTATATAATATCGTAAATGATATTATCTTTTTTTAAAGACAGCCAAGGATGACGCACAAGCTACATCGTTCGGTAATTTGTTCCAGTAGTTAATAGTACGAATAAAGAAGTCATGAGTCCTTGGTTTAGTTTTGCATATAGGTTTTAGTAATTTTAAGCCATCAGTTCTTGTTGGATTCAAATTTAGTCTAAAGTTATAATATTTCGAGCAATCTAGTTTAACATAACCATACAGAATCTTATATGTGTAAATTAAATCTTGTTTAATTCTACGAACTGAGAGAGAATCCATGTTATGTTGTAGAAGTGTTCTTTTATAATTAAAATTATAATTTTTATTAGGAGAGAGGAGTCGTAGAAAATATTTTTGGAGTCCTTCAATTATTTTACCTGTTATATTCCTGTCGTCGATATTTTTCCGCTGGCAACTTTACTTATCATTAAATTTAGCAGTTCTTCTAAGATCCACTTTTATTTGCAATTCGCTTGGCTGCATTGGCTTTCAAAATCGCAATTTGTTCAGCCAAGAATCAGTTCACGAGAACCACGTAAATACGATTAAAGAAAGAGGAAAGGAAAACTGAAAACGAAAAATTTCGAAGGGAACTGGCTCGGAGAATTAGTCGAATCTTGGGTAAAACAACTGAAGAAAAAGCTTTTGTTCGATTAGAATGGATAAGCAAGAACTGCAATACATTAGTGATTTATAATACAAGCAAAATATTTTTTCTTTATTTCTTTATTTTTACAATCGCTTTTGGCCACAAACTATTTTTGTTATCACGAATTATTATCTTTCGTTTATACGAAATTCATAGGGAGTTTTAATGATTGGCATGTAATTCGATGAAAAAACATCCCAGTGGAGACAATAGCCGAGTGGTTCTTGCTCAGATTGTCTGCATGTATACATGCATCTGGAGCGTGTCGGCAGTTCTGTCTGAATCAGGATAGTGTTGATGATTTTATATGTCCTCCACAGGGAAAATATTTCACCGTACAACCATTGGAAAAAGCAGAATCGGAAATGGTAAGCCCTGACATTTCTTTAATAATATTATAGTAATATTTATATTACTATTAGTAATATTTTGGTTCTTGGCGATAAATCAATCAGACCAAGTGCATTGATTTTGTATATAAATTTATAAATTTGACGGTTTGCTTTTCGTTTACTTTCAGTCAGCAGTACCATTTTTTCGGGATTCCCTTTCCTAAATGCGGTCCTTCCTTCGAAATACTTCGAATAAACAAAAATGTTGGATTTGGATTAAATTAATTATATCCAAGGTTTGCTTGACATAAATTTGATGGCCAATAAAATTAAAGGTCCCATCCCACCATCCCATCATCCCATCTTTTGAATAAGAGCGATTTATTACCACACTACGTTATCACTATGTTCAAGATTTTATAAATTTCTATCAGATGCTATTCAAACCCTTCTTTTTTTTCTTTTTTTTTTCTTTTCTACATGTATTTTTCCGTTTTTTCTGCCAACTATTTTTTAAAATAAACGGATTAATTAATTAGTTATAGTTCGCAAAAATAAGGATACAACAGCCGAGCAAAACATTCCAGAAAAGGTGCCAACAGAGGACGAAGAAACTTGTAAAGATAAAACTTTCTACAACATATTCTAAATGATATTAGCGCTTGTCGTTTGTTGTAACAAAATTGTTGATAAATTGATGTCGCTGTTGTCAAAAAATATCAAGGAGAATCACGATTTATTACATACCTGAGTATATCATTAAATTTATAAAACCAAATTTTTTTCCATTGACAATTTAATTTTTATAGGAAATTCAAAGAAATCCTGGAAACCTTTCTTTAATGTCCGTAAGAATGCTTTATACGGCAGAAATGATTCTTAAGATTGCGTATAGAGATAATTAAGTTATGTAATTGTTAATATTGAATTAAGAGGATTACAAAAAATAATAGCTAATGGAGATAATAAACAGTTTTCATTCTCACCAGTTATAAATCCAATCTTAAAAAATAAATATCATCCAGGTACTTTTTTTTGCAAGACGCTAACTTGATTCTGAATTATTTTCATAACTTAAAAATCCGACTAGAGTTAAACTTAAAGCATTAGATAAAGAAGCAAGCCTACAAGATTGTTCGATTTTGGAAGATTCAAGATAATTGGACTTAGATAAGTCTCTCTGGATGAGGCACAACAAGCGAATGGCAGATGGTTGATTTACTGCAAGTTCCTAGAGTACTATTACTGCAATTACGATTCGTTGCAAAAATCGATGAATTCCAGCTAACGGCAGTATTTTTGCCACAATTAATCGATTTTGGTCGACGAAAGTATCGCTGTAGGGTGGTTCGAAAAGCATTAGAAAAGGTGACATAAATTACGAAATTAAATGATGAATTGAATACAACGAGTAGATTGGATGCATCAACAACATAATTTATGCGATGTCCAAGTATGTCGGCTAAACGGGCTTCAAATATATTGAGCAATAAAGCTGCAACGTTGCATGAAATAAACAATAGCACAACAAGAACCTGAAATCCATTTCTTAAAAATCTTCCATCCTTTAATAAAAAATGATAAGTAATTTGCCAATTTTCAATTATTTTCCACAAAAATTTCATCGCTTGAATAGTATTCGAGTGGAATGTGTTATAAAATTAAGTGAATCAAAATCACACGAGAGGTTGCAAACCGCAAAAAATTTGGTGTTTTTTTAGAAATTTTTAAGAGATTAAAATCATATTCGAGAACGATCGCGAACTTTTCGCATAATTAGTTCTTCAATGAATAGAACCTATAAATAAAAAATTAAACAAATCCTTTACTAATGCGATTGTATCTCCAGAGTTTCCACTTTCAGTTTTCGAAACCACTGAAGCAGCAATAATGCATAAGTTAAGGAAAACAAGAATGATGAGTGGACCAATTGCCAAAAAAAGAGAATACATATATTTGTAATAAATCAACATATAACTGAAATTAGAGTGATTAAGAATTTGCGATTTGTCACTATTTAGGCTCATTCCACTGCTTTCGTAGTTAGAAATTTCAGCCAGGTGAGCATTTGATTTCTCGAATTTTTTAGTAACAGACTCGTTTACTTATATTCATATTCGAGTCTTAATAATCTGAGCAGCAACAGTGGATTTTTTTCGCTAATTCCCCTTGATATTCTTTATAGATTTCGTTGTTAAATGATGTGTTATGTATTCACTAAATTATCGACGAATGCCGCGTTTCATCGCTTTATCACTGTTACTTTAGTTTTATAAACGATTTACGCTGCAATATGAAACCATTCAATTATTTACTTTAAGTTTTGAAATAATAATCTTTTTTCTTCGTAGAAAAGGTTTTCTATTTCTGCAAAATTCTTTTCCTTCTTACATTATTTATGAGATTTTCTTTCTTAAGAATAAAATTAAAGAAAGATATAGTGAACTTTATCAATGAATTTTATCAGTCTATATTAATATGCCGCATTACAATGATTGAAGCACTTCACATATATAAAAAGAGGCATGAATAAAAATTCAAAGGATCATTGATACCATAGGTTTCCATAACTTTGACTTGGTATCCAACTTGTTTATCCGATCCCTCTACGCAAAAAAATGAGCGATGAGCCCATGAAAATTTATCAAAAGCTATTGAATGGACCACCCTACTAAGAAGGTTTATTTACATTTTAAAATATTTCTTTAACTCAGATTACTTTAATTTTATTGAATCATATTATCAAAGAAATTCAAAAATAATAAAAATTAATTGATATTAAAAGATTCTGATAAACATTAATGACAAATGTACATGTTTATTATTATTAGTATTTGTTGGTGGAAAATCATTTCATCGTTCCATCGTTAACTTCAGTTAGTGGATAGATGGATGATAATCTTTAAGATATTCGATTTTTTATTATTTCTGTTGATTAACGAAATTCAAACTTGCAAAGCGAATTGTATTAGAATTATTAAAAAAGAACGAGGTGGTAATTATAAAACTTTACGTATTGGTTCAACTTTCTTCAACTGCATTATTATAAGATTAACGCCTTTTTCTTCTAACGGTTGTAGTCATTTTTTTCATTTATGACTTCTTTAGCATTTATTGTTAGCATGAAACTATTTCGGCAAGAAGTCATTTGGATAATTTTGGAACAGAAGATAAGCTTTTCCCTATTTATTCGTGTAGTCTCAGAAAAGTTTACAAATTTCCAGTTGAAACCATAGCTAAAAGAAGTCTCATGTCAATAAATCATTGTTATAAAGTTTTGGTCAATGATTTTGAATGATAACTTGTTAAGCAATTGCATTTTCGAATATACGAACTGGCCTTATCTAATTTCTTAAATTTAAATATCATCCCCATTAAAGAGCTCAAAAAATACCTGGGTAAAAAACGAAATGGATCTGGGCATACTTCGAGTGATCGATTCTCGAACTGTAAGTGCCAACATTCAATAACAATAGCTTCAAAGCAGTGTGGCACATTATATATAATACTGAATATAATGACAAAAATAATCATAAATTTGATGAATCCACCACGAGAAGCACATCTGCGTATGCTTTCAGGTAAACAAACCTTAATTCCTATTTTTAGAGAAGAAATAATTTTAATTTTTAAAATTAATTGCCGGTTGGCCGCTCTTTAATGATTTTAGTGTTTTTTAACGCTCCAAATAAAATAAATATAATAAAATAGAATAACCTGGACAAAACAATCAGCACCAGCGACAAGCGTAAAATAAACGGAACACGTTTGTGCGGTCATTCCTGCTGGATAGATAAGTGGTGATAATGAACCGAATATTAATGAAAGATATAACGAGTATCGTCGTATACTATCAATGCAAAATAAAAATATTGCTGTACATATAACTGCACAATCGCTACAGCCCAGTGCACAAAGATATAAATTTGTCGATGAACGCATTTCTGCAAGTAGTTTCTTTATCATAAATATTCTTATTAAGTGCCGAGTGGTCCTATGGACTCGCCTGTACATCCTCAACTGATTCCCTGGCAAAAAATTTCATCTTGATGACATTTAGTGGATTCAAATAAAGCAGAATATTTGCACTCTTAGAAGAACATTTAACCAAAGAAATTTAAATTCTGCTATAGAGGTATTGCATGTGCCATGTTAAATTTTTGTGTTAGGTCAAGAAGTTAAAAGTTGCTAAGAATTAAAAGACTTTTTTTTAAACTTTGAATTTTATGTATTGCAAGAACGGTTATCATATAAAATGACAAAAATTTTATCAAAGAAATGGTTCTCTTTGATTCCTAAAATCAATCATAGTCGTAGGTTCAGAATGGTTCCTTATATTATTTTAAATGCTTCACTATAATTTCAGTGAAAGGATATCTTGCAGCTGACTCTCAAAAACAAATTTTTTTAATAACAATAATAATAGTAATAATAGAAGTAGTAATAATAATAAATAAAATAACAGAAGATGTATCATAGAAGATAAAATCTTGTTATATAAAAAATTCAGGCGAAAGCAACTTCATGCCATGAAGGGCTCTTTAGACATTTGATATCCGCATCGAAAATCATAAAAAAGCGAATCATTTTAGAAAATACCTATTTATAGAAAAATTATGAAAATATTTGGCATTAATTTATAATTAAATTAAGAATAATTTTGGTTAAGTTCCAGTGTTTTATCTAATCAAAAAACTCCTTATATTAGCTCAGCTATATTTCGAATATTTCTTTAAGCAAAAAAAAGTGGCAGATCAACTTACCAGATCGACTATAAATGAAAGCACTCAACGAATTGCCAACTAGGCCACAGAATCCAATCAGTGGAAGAATCGAACCAATCAGAAATAAATTAACAATATTATATGTTGCATCTGAGGCGAACGTTTGACATAAACCACAATTTGGTAGACAATTTGTAAAATTTGGCCAATTTATAATATGGTGACGATAAAGAATGTCGATCCTCATAAACGTCTCATTTGATTGAGAACAAGTTTCAGGAAATATCCATCCATTTTCATTCATACTTTTTCTTTCTAAGGGTTTTTATAATAATAAAGTTTCTTTAACCACACAAATTCAACAATTTGATTATTGTTTTCTTTAATTTACTTAATCAATATAAAAAATTATCCACAGCTTGTTGAATTTCTATGGAAGCAATGAATTTAAATAATTCAAAAATGAAAATCAGTTAGGGGTTTATAAAATACGCAGGAGTAACAATACAATCTGAATGAGAATTTTATAAGATTATAAAATAAGTAAATCAAGAAGTAAGGAAATGTTCATGTACCAAGTGAAAGCGACACTGGTAACGTCCGCAATCCTCAAAAATTTCTTTTTAAATGAAATTTCTACAACAAAGTGCTTCAGTCATTTTCTTTTGTTATTTAATAAATTTTATACCAGTTTTTGAAATATTCTCTGAAATATTTTTATTATTATTAATGAATAAGATTAAAAATAAAAAATTGTTACGACATCAAAAATCGAAAAAGCAAATCATGCGAAACATATCTTCAAATTAAATTTAACAACAGCTTGTGGATTTCATTTCACATGGGTCCAGGATATATCAAAATTCGCTTCAAATAACTGCACATATTAACGCGATTATACCTCATAATATTATTATTACATATATAAAAAATCTCTCATTCCCTCTGAGTGGTAAGAGCCATTCTCGAGTCCTCGAGTCCTCTATCCTAAAGACTGAGAGTTCTACGTAGTATCTTAATCATTTCTAGCAATGGTCTTTTCTGGAAAGAAATTTCTGATATTGTTCTTGGAAACCATTGAAGCCATTTTTTCAATTCAAAAAGTCTCGGCCTCTAATCCTATTATTACCACTGAGACTCTACTTGGTCCTTCACTTTCCACATCTTTATTTTCTCTTTCGAACCCTTTCTAGCTTCTATCTTCTAGTATTCCTTCTTCCTCACTTGCTGTTCCTAACAACAGTGCTGCTTTTTGGTTCTAATCCTACTACTACGATCTTCTTGGTTTTCCATACTTTAATGTATACATATATATAATAAATATTTTTTTTAAAAAAATCCTCACCATTACTGGTTAAACTCGCCCCATTGGCTTGTCGCATTGGGCAATAAACCAGTCTCCTTGGCGATAGAAATACATGTGAATTGACAACATCACCCGGATTATTATATAGGTTTACTCCCTCCTGGAATCGAATCTTAGCCACTGAACTATTTTTTTTCCATATATATACCATTTTTTATCTTCATTATTATATTGTTATTATTATTATTTATTTACCACTCAATATTTATAATTATTTTTTCGCTAAAAAGAAATGCGTTACTAAAATGACAATAAAATTCGAAATATATTTAGTATAAGGAGAAGATGATGGTACTTATAGACGCGAGAAAATTGGTATATAAAGTATTTCGCAAATAAATTTGACCTCTCGACTGGCATAAACCCCAAAAGGAATAACATAAAATTTATACATTATATAATTGTTATTTTGGTAAGATTAATAAGCGAAGTTCATAAAGTTCATAGGTTCATTAAATCCATAATTTCACAAAGTTCACGGCTATTGTACTATTGTACTAAATAATAGTGGCCGAATAAATCAAAAAATTCTTTCGGTGAAAGAACGAAAGTGAAGCAGAAATATGGCCTTTCATTACTTAATATTGGAAAAATCTTTTTTCTTTACCACTTTATTTAAGCACTCAAGTGCCAACAATACTTGATGGACCTCCTTATGGACGGATCTTCCATGATTAGATTATACATTCATCGAAATAGCCTTACTATAACCTAAATTTTATTGTCTGCCTGACTATTTTATTTCAGTTGAGAGATCTACATTTAATAAAAATAAATGTGCATTATGCAAAAATTTATTTATTTATTTATTTATAAAATTTATAAAACTATTTATAAAATTTATTTTTATTTAATAAAAATAAATAAATGAGAAATGCAAACTATCTTTTATCCAATAAATATTCTAAAACATAAGCAATAGATCAAATGAAGAGAAGGAAACAATATTTGGATAAATTTCATGCCATTCCAATTTAGACGCTGGCAAATTATATTTAAATAGAAAAAAAGTGAGCAAAAAAGTTTGTTCAAAGTTTTGATATTTATAAATATAATGTAAATTTTTAAAATATTTCTAGTCATTCCAAAATTGAATTTCAGATGAATCCATCCATAAATTTGCCTTTACTTAAAGTTTAGTTATTTAAATTTTGAAAAGTCGTTCTAGATTTGCCATGAGGATTATCAAATATTTGGTAATTTTAACCGACAAAATACAGATGTAATCATAGCTTTCGAATTTAAAATTAGAATTGAAGGCACATTCATAGTAAATCAATTTTAAGTGAGTTACGGGTAATTTTCGACCTATTCCAAAGAAAAAATTGTCCAGAAAAATTATTTTGATGAGGAATTTCAATTTGTTAATTCTCACATATATGTTAGCGGAAGAATTTGAATAAACAAGCTTTTAAATAAACTGGACTGCCATGATTCTGCATTTAAAAATAATTTAATGAAAATGGCACCAATTAGAATTGTATGCCATATTTTCACTCATTCACTGAAAATTATAGCAGTTCTTAATTTTTATTTTTTGACAAATAAGGCTCAGAATTCCATTCACAAATGCTTGAGCCAACTGGTCCTTCTCTTTTAATTCTAGAACTAATTAATCCTTCATTCTTTCCTCTGGTATGGAAACTAATAGTTCTCTCTTCAACTGCTTCCATTAAATGCATTCTTTAATTTCGCTATTTTTTTAATCTTTGATGGATCTATCAGTTATCAATTTAATGATACTGACTGAAAGGAAAGGATATTGCTTCGACTGTGGTGAAGCATCATAAGTTCAGTTCCTATCTATTAATGGATTGAAATTGTAAAAATGAGATTCAGGTGGTGCTGAAATGATACTCAACTTTTAAATCTACTTCTAAGTGATCCATTGGTGCAAGAATTTTATCCTAGTAGGTAATAGTCAGGCAAGCCAGATAGGGAGAGAGCTGCTTAGAAGAAGGATACTGAATCAAATAAATTAATCACCATTCTAATTTTCTGAATAATTTTCTGAAGAAAGATATATTTCTGCCTTTTCTTTCGGTTTTCACTTTCATCTTATCATTGGGAAAGAATAAACAAAATGTATAACAAATAAATCTATTAATCATATCACACATCCGGATTTCTTCAATGTTAATGCGATGATCGCAATAAAAATTTTATATATATATATATATATATATCTAAAAAATTTTTGATTTTTATTTTAGATTTTTATTTCTATGAGATTTTAAAAAATCCATTCATATTCACTTGGATTGTTTTTTTTTGAGTCCTCACCGTTACTGGTTATGCTCGTTCCACTGGCTTTGGACAATGTGCCATGGAATCCCTTGGCGACAGCGATAGAAATACAAGTGAGTAGCCAGCATCATGCGGATTTTCGTACAGGTTTACCACTGCGGGGAAATCGAACTTCAGCATCGGCGTTCCGCATTGAGCAACAACCTACTGAGCCATCCTATTCCCATAATATTTGCCATATCATTATCGTTTTCATATTTGTAATTTTTCATCAACTGATGATTATTATAATTAAATCTAAGCAACAAAGTGGAGTAAAACTTTAATGATTATTAATCCAATGATTGCAGCGAATTAAATACCTTAATCTTTTTAGGAGATTAGTGAAGGAAATAAATGGTATCCGCTTCGAATAGGCTCCATTGGCCGTTAACATGGTGAGAAATTTTTGCTATGAAGTCACTTAACGATAGAAATGTAAGATGAGCCTCTAGCACTATCAGGGTTTTTTAATGATAGATTTACACGAATAGTCGGGAGGAGGAACCTTTTGCCCCTCAACCCTGTAAACTTGGCTAGCCTGCCTGGTATGGATGCACCAGTTTCAGGAAGTATTGTGTGCACCATTTTTGAAGGACAGTTTTCCTATAATTAATCGACTTTCTTTTATACCTAAAAATATTCCAATAAAAATATCATTTATAAGCAATTTATTTGATTAGTCTTCAAGTACTCACTTCTCGAACTGTTTAATATTTCGCAAACATCGTTGTGGAGCAAAAGTATTCGAAAAAACATTTATTAACGTTTCACTCCGCTTGGCTGCTTAATTACTTTCTGGCCAATGACGAAAAACTACTTTTTTAATCGTATTAGCAAATCAATATAAATGACTATTCCGATTGGGAGGTCAATGCACATAAATGAAAATAAAAAAATAATGGAAAATTTTCTTTTTTCGTTTTCATTATACACACTAATTATGGGAAATATACGATATTTTCTGCTAAACGACTTAGTTTAATTGTTGAAATGACTTTGTGCTGCAGCAATTCGCTGTTTTTAACAATACAAGGAAGTGGTTAGCGCATGCAATTTCCCGTAAAGAGTATTCCTCCAGCTGTTAGTACCCTGAGAGATTTTTCCCAGGGCCGCTGGAGGGTGGAGGTACAAATAGGCTTGCAGGATAATGATTCAGTTATTCAATATACCGCGGACTATTATCAACGCATTACAGACTGGAGATTTTGATCTGAGTACCTGTGTTCCCATAATATTGCAGCACCCAAAAAAATTGACATAAATATGCAATTAAAAGATCCGAATGGATAAAAAAGTTTTAGGATAGCATCGATAGCAGATTTAAATAATAATTAGTTTCAGTGATGAATAAAGTTTAAGGAGCAAAAAAATACGTGAACTATAGTGAGCTGTAGGATAACCGTTGAAACTGGCACCAAAAAGGAAAGCCATTGCTTTATACTTCAAAAACCTTCATTTGCATAAAAATAAATGCCTAAAATAAAGAATAAAGAACTCTACTGCAAACTTAACTTAACGAAACAAAACTAAATCACATGGAAGTTAAGTGAATTAAAAGTAAAAGAATGCCAAAATATACAGTTTATTAGTCGTCATGACATTTTCATAAAAAAGATGAATATTTTGAAAAAAAAATTTTAAGCAATGAAGAGAAATTCTAAAAAAGCAAAAAAGATGAACCATCGAAGAGTTTGAATTTCAGCCATAAATTTAATAGTTTAATAGTTTCATTAAAATAAAATAGTGAAATTTCGAAATCGATCGCATTAAAAATACGATAAATTGCTGTTTTAATTTTATATTTTTCCTTATTTTTTATCGGAATTGTCTAAAATTTAAAAATTTATTCTAAAATTTATCTAAAATTTATTATCTAAAAAATTTTTACTGAAATTTTTGTTTTAGATCTTTAAATTTTTTTTCTTCATTTTATCTTAAGAGTGAAGAATCGTTTAGGAAATTGGCTTTTCTTTTTTGTTTGCTCCATTGACCGTTGCTGTTATTTAGTAAATTTGAAAATATTTTAAAAGCCTATTTATTAAGGCCTAAAATCTTGATCATTTTTATCAATTGTTATTCATAATTTTTAGCAAGAGAGTAATTAATTTATTATTATAATTTTGGTATTTTTATTATAAAAATTGTTACTAAAGAAGAAAGACACTCGAGTGGTATATTGTTTCAAATAAGGCTAAGTATAAGGTCGGAACAATTTAAAATAAATAACTTGTTATTAAAAGTGAAATCCTGGTGGTGCTGGAAATCCTCAAATGTCTCTTAAGGACTACATTCTAGTAATTAGTGGATTTATACAAGCTGTTATGAATTATGGGCGCCGTTAAAAAAAAATTTCCATGAAGTTTCGTTTGTTATTATTTCAGATTTGTTGTGAATTAATTTCATAACAATTTTCATATATATATAAATATATAACTATTTTCATATATATACTTTCATATATATAAACTTATATATAGTTTGTAAACTTAAATTTATATACTTTGATTATTGAAGTTATTATTTACAAAATCACTATTACTATAAGAGCAATGCAATAAAAATAAAGCTATTATTAAGAGTATTAATATCAAATAATACAGAAGACTGACTGACTGAAGAGTAAGAAATATATTCGAGCCACAAGTTGAAGATGGTGAATAATTGCCAAGAATATTACAATCAAAATGAATAGAAAAAAGAGTAGAATATGAATGCAAATCAGTCTCTTCAGTTAATTGCCGCTATTAATTATTTGTGGCATTTACTAATTTAATTTGCATTAACTTTTTGAATTTGTGACTTATTCCTTTAAAAAGATGTCTAACAGATAAAAAATTAAAAAAATTAAAAATTTTTTTATCAAATAAGCTCAAAATTTTCCAAATATTCTCGAAATAAAAATATCGCCTGTTTATCCGAAAAGTTTTCATTAAAATATATATTTCCATGAAGCTAAGCACAGAACGGAGAGCTGAATTTTTCCACAACAATTAAGAATATCTATGGAACCAGAATTATCATTTCCAACGTATGAAATTTCCAGTCCAATGAGTTCATATTCCTTGGAAAAGCCATTTTCAAATTTAGAGAAATAGTAACCTTGCATTAAATTCTTAATCGATTTTAGCCCTATTTGTTATAAAATATAAAATATAAAAAGATAAAAAACTTCTCTGAAATCTGAACAATTCTTTTCAACGACCTCCAGTTAATTTGTTCTTCGAGAATGCAACTTGGATCTATGTTCACCAAATCAGAGATTATCAGATTGTCATCAAGTTTGATTCTCTGCGAACATTAAAATCTCAGTGTAGCATCAATTTCTACCGGAAAACCTAGATCAGATCCAATAGATTTTGAATGAAATTTTAAAAGATAAGGATTCTATTACTCGATTAAACAATAAAATTTTACATTAGCTTCTAATCTAATCTAAACTTCTAATCTGAGAATGACAAAATAATCAAAAATTACGAATTAACTGGATTGAGTCGATATTAAAATTATAATCAAAAATTACGAATTAACTGGATTGAGTCGATACTAAAATTTATCAATGAAAACCTTAGAAAACAAAAGTTGATCGAATTTTTAAATTCCGCCCTTCATTTCCTCATTCTGAAAATCAAAATTTTTCGACAATTTAGAAAGAATGGTCAATTCAATTTTTATTTGATACATTCAAATCGTAGATGCTTGAATTTATTATTTTTTATCTAAGAAATCAAAATTTTTCTGGTTATCCTCAACAATAATCTAAAGATTTACGAACTCATTTGTATTAGCCATTATGTTACTATAAGGAAAATAAATGTGGTGCTTGCAATTCCCGATTAGGCTCGTTCCACTGACTGTTGAAGAGCTGAGTAATTTTTGTCATTTTGCGATAAAAGTACGGGTGAATCGTCAGATTGACCTAGGCTTTTAAATTTATTTATTTATTGAATGAAACCAAACAAACAGAGCGGCATGTGTTTGTATTAGTAGCTAAAATAAATAATGAAATTTAATTATAAAAAAAGAAAATATGATAAAAATTAATAAAGTAAAGAAAAAATAAAGAAGAGTATCAAAACAGTACAATTTGAAGTGAATATATTACTTACATAATCGAATGGTAAAAAATCAAGATTTCCTTTTTTAAATAATAAATTATATTATCTAATCTTTTTTTAAAAATAGCTAAGGAAGACACAAACTAAATCGTTCGTTTATTCCAGTAATTAATAGAGCAAAGAATTAAATTTCAAACTTAGTTTTGCGCATAGGTTTTTGTTATTTTTAGCCAATTTGATCTTATTGAGTTCAAATTTGGAATATTTTGAGCAATCTAACATAACCATATAGAATTTTGTAAGTGTAAATTAAATTTTGTTTAATTTGACGAATTGAGAGGGAATGCAGACTATATTGTTGAAGTTATATTTAACAATTAAAACTGCTATTAGGAAAGATGCGACGTATAATGATTGTTGATTGTTTCATTGTACGTGATATCTTTCGTCCTTCTTGGGATTTGCATGCAGTTTTTCATGCGATAGTATTTACATTTAAAATCTTTTTACAGATATTTTTAATTTATTATCCTGTATTTGTTGTTTTTCTATCTTTTAAACTCAGTAAATTGAAATAAATTGGATTAGATAGACTGTATTGTCATCCCTAAGGACTAGAAAATGATTTTTAAGTACCAATTCTTCGAAAATATAAAAGATTTTTTTAAATTCATCTAAATGGAAATTTTGACATATTATATGTTATTCCTTAGAGAATTTTTTTCGCACTTCAAAAATATTCATTTCAAACGCGTATCCCATTACTAACCAATTCTACAAGTTTATACGCAAAAGCAATTAAAATAAATTGATAATTAATTCAAATGAAAATTTCACAGATATATTAAAATCTTGGATTATAGATAACTACAGAAACCAGTTGCACTAATTTTACTAATCAGGATATTCAGGTTGTTTTGGAGTTTTTATGAACATTATTGTGAAGCTATGATTTCATCTTCACTACATTAGCTTATGAGAAAAAAAAGAAAAAGCTTCTATGAATTTATCGAATTTTTCACGAAAAAAAATAATGCAGAAAGATGGGAAATATAGAATTATTATTCATGAAAATTTCATTTTCAACAATGAAAAATTGAAAATCTATTTCGCTGAAAAAACTTTTAATTCAAATTAAAATGAATTGAAATTTTGCATATCATTTATATAAAGAATTTTTTTGGTAAAATATCGATGAAAATTATTTTAACAATTATTTAAAAATAAACGGTCAGTTTTTTTCGTGATTTTCGTGCATAGTTTCGTCTTTTCAGTGCAAAAATTAATTTTTTATCAATGATCAATGATGACAGTCCAAGGAACATCAGATAATTTAGACATAGATTATTTAATTAATCGCCTTCTTAATGTTGGCGAGGTTGGCGGGCGGCTAACGGTTCAAGTTGCTGAAGAAGAAATTTGTCAGCTATGCCAAAAAGCAAAAGAAGTTTTTATGAGTCAAAGTAGCCTAATTGAACTGGAACCGCCAATGGTAGTTTGCGGCGATATTCATGGTCAGTATCAAGATTTGCTTCGCATATATGATAAGAATGGTTTTCCGCCTGAAACCAACTATCTATTTCTCGGTGATTATGTAGATCGTGGAAAACAAAGTATCGAAACAATCTGCCTTCAATTTTGCTATAAAATCAAATTTCCGGAAAATTTTTTCTTATTACGTGGAAACCATGAAACATCAACAATAAACCGTGTTTATGGTTTCTTCGATGAATGCAATCGCCGTTACCATTCCACTCGGTTATGGAATGCTTTTCAAGAGACTTTTAATTGCATGCCTTTCTGTGCTTATATTGGTGGACGAATTTTGTGCATGCACGGTGGTTTATCCCCTCATCTCAAAAATCTTAACCAAATTAGGAACCTATCACGGCCAGTTGATCCACCAAATCCTTCAATGGAACTTGATATACTTTGGTCAGATCCTGATCAATGGGCTAAAGGATGGCAAATGAATACAAGAGGTGCATCATATACCTTCGGTCAAGATATTGTTATAGAATTTTGTCAGAAACATGATATCGATCTCATAGTGCGCGCACATCAGGTCGTTCAGAATGGTTATGAATTTTTTGCAGACCGAAAGCTTGTAACAATATTTTCAGCACCACATTATTGCGGTGAATTCGATAATTCTGGTGGAACAATGAAAATATCGGAAGATTTAACTTGCTCGTTTCAAATTTATCGTCCAGCGAGTAAAACAGCTGTTTTGATGGCGAAAAAAGCAGCCAGAAGTACTTGAATTTTTGTAAAATTAAAATCGGTGGAATAATTAGAGACAAAACTAATGAACAAAAATTATTAAATGAATAAAAATATTTACAAATCTCGAATATACTTGAGCAAGTGACAAATAATTTTTCCTTAAAACGAAAATTTATTGCTGAGTACCTTTGAGTATCTTATTTTTAATAATTTTTTATACGAAAATTACTATAGCAGTAATAAATAATGTAATAAATTAACCATTGATAATGCGTAATTACAATACGATTTGTCAAGAACACTGGTCCCTTCAATCGATCATTTTCACTAAATTACTGATTTGGAACTTATGATTCATTCATTTATCATCAATGTAGGCGGTAAAAATAATGGGCACTTAATAATGCGTTATTTTCACACAGTTTGCGCAGCTTTCGTTAATAATTTTTGAAATAACACTAATTTAAACTTTGAGTGGATTTAATGAATTTCTCTCCAAAAAAATAAACTATAAATTATCTCGGCTTAATGAATTTTGCTCGAAAGAATTGAAATTCGGAAAAAATACTCCAAAATGAATATATTTTTTGAGGGTTTTTATTGTGATTTTTTTCAATGAATGAAGAATAAAAGAATATAAATTAATCAACTTTTAATAGTGGCCAGAATTTACCAATTTCTGGTTAGACTAGCTACACTGGCTATTCGGAGAGTTAGAAATTTTGCCTGGCTAGAAGTGGGTCGTCATCTCCACCTGGATTTTCAGTATTAATAAAGATGCAACAAGATCATTTTTTTTCTCTCCATTCTTTTATTTTTCTTTATCTATTGAAAAAGAATGAAACATGAAATGAGCCAAGTGACATCATTTGGTCTGCAGAAATCATATAAGAAAGAAACCTTAAATAATATAATACTAATAAAATATTGAAATATTGGAAATACCGCATTCGATAAAATGAATCTTTGAAATATATCGAAATATCAATTGGATATCATCAGCCATTGTTGCACCCTTAGTTGTTGAAGTCTCCGAAGGGAATTATGAATAACGGGAAGAATTTAGTATTTTTGAATGAATTCGATTAATCAACAGAATATGAACAGATTCAGTATTTCAGTATCAGAGATATAATTATATTTTTTTATTTACAAAAAATCATTGCATAAATTTCAGATTCGTATAATTTCTTTTGCATATTTCCTTGTTTCATCATTATATTCCAATATTAATAAAAATTTTTGGAAAAATAAATTTCTTCAAAACTTTACTTTTAATTAAATTACTAATTAATGGTTTAAACCAAGGGATGACCAAATCAGTTCAGATCATAGTATCAGGTCTTGAACACGCTGATGATATAGTCTTTTTTGTTGACAGTTGTGACGAAATGCAAATAATGCTGAACAATGTGCCAACAACTGCAACGAGAATCGAAAGACAATTGTAAATAAAACGAAAATCTTTTCGCCTTATATGCAAGAAGATAAAACAAATACTTTTCACGTCTTGGATCCACTCTAAACCCAATCGACTAAACGAAATTATATTAATAGCCAGAAATGCGTTCTTCTGATGAAAGTTTTATGCAGTCGTCGCGGAATCACAATAAAAACGGAATGCGTCTATATGGCCGCGACTCGCTCGACCTTGCTATATGGCTGCGAGATATGGCCGATGAAAGTGGAGGATATTAAGTATTATCTTTGACCACTCATGTCTTAGATATATTTTACAGGTCAGCCAAGCAGATAAAATCACATGGTTGCATTCATCTTCCCTGAAATACCACTTGCATAAATAATCTTATCACAGAGCGTCGCCTTCGCTGGTATGGTCATGTTATTCGTCGCCCACCATAGAAGTTGGCATATTTCGTTATTTGCTAATTTGTGAAGGATGTTGTCAAAAGCGAAGTGGGCCAAGACCTGGACTGATACAGATAGAAAAGATTTTGAATGTACAGATAAACCAGCGATGTATGGACTTAGATGGTTGAAAAAGGAATGGCTTCTATTGCTGTTGATGGCGTCGAACCGAGGAACTTGAAGAAGCCTTACCCATGTAGTCAGCCAGTCTAACCAGTAATGGTGAGAGCTGTTAGAAGAAGATAAAGAATTAATAATTAACTTAAATTTATTTTAAATTTGATATTATTTTTAAGATTTTTTTCTCTTTTCATAATTCTTTTAGTTGTTTAAAATTCTGCATTTCAAAAAATTATTTATATTTTCAATTTATACTTATATTTTCAAACTTTTTTAGTATTTACTTTGATTGACTACAACTTCTGATTGACTTTACTTCTTTTCATTCTGTTTTATATTTTTTTTATTTATATTTCTTATAGGGCAGATCAAATAGGTCGATTTTCATCGAGTTGAGCGTTACAAGCTCTTCATCTTTATAGGTCATTCTATACTCTAAGCTGTAAAAGGTTTATCTTATTATCGCTCGAATTTCGCTCCATTTTTTAATATTTAATGATTAATTTAGTTTTAAAAAAATGAGTGGGATTAAGATCATCAAAAATTTAACACTGGTGATGAATAAATCTTATCAATTGTAAACGGCAAAATGTTTGAAAATTTACAACAACGAGAAAAGCTTTGCACATAAAAGATTCCACAAATAAAATTAAGAGGATTTGAAATAAAATTGGATCCCGCAAATAAATAATATGCCATAAATGATAAGAGTTCAGTTTATTTCGTTAAAATAATTGAAATCTGTCGAAAATTTTTGAAATTTTTATCTCCATAATAATGAATTTTAGAAAAAAATCAGCGTCAAAGCAAATTGAAAATTAATACATGAAATAAAATAAAACAAATAAACGGCTGAAAAATTTCTTGCAGATTTCTAAAGTGAACAAAATCAGTTATCCAGCAATTGAATGAAATTATGTTGAAATTATAACTATCACTATATTAAAACTATATTACTATTGATGAGTAATATGTTAGAATCATTTCATTTATTTACTGATTATTACTATTATTTCAATAAATTTTTACCCGCAGAAAAAGAAACAGAATTTTTTTGGCAAATGTTTGAATGCACGCTTTGAATATTTCTTTTAATATTCTTCGAAAAAAAAAAAGAAAAAACGTTTATTAATAAAATTGACACTCGTAGAAAAAAATGGAGAAAAAATGATGGATGAATTGTATTTGCATCATTTGATTACTGGAAAGGAAGCATTCATTTTGCAATGAACCAAGCAAGACTTTTTGTTAAAAATCTATTATTAAAAAATCTTATAACTTAAAATTTGGAATTTGTGATTATGATTTAAATGATCAGAATTCTAAAAATTAAAAGCCATTTAGAAGTGGTTTAGTGGTACTAGGCAATAGACGACTATATTCTCGCTCTGTCTTTCTGGCGAAGAGCTCTTACTAGTCGGTATAGCTAATGGAGACAATCAAATAAAAAATGAGTTAGAAGATGAATTAATAGCGATGTTAAAATAGTAAAGAATTTTTAATAATAGATAAGAAAATCAAAAAGACGAATCAATTCAGATTTTTTTCAATAAAAAATGTTTATTTATATTAATAAAAATGCTTTATATTAATAAAAATTAAAATTGAAAGAAAAAATTTTTCAATTTTACAAGTGTCAAAAAAATATTTCGAAGTATGAATTAAAAAAACTCGCAGATAGCTTAAAAATCCCTGTTTATAAATGCAAACTTTTTCAGTTAAGAAAATTTATTCGAGAGCTTTTTCAAGAATTTTGATTCATTCTGATTTCAAAAGTTGTAGGTACAACTACTCAGATTACTGCATCAAGATTTGGATTTTGTCTTCAGTGGAAATGAATCTATCTTAAAGAAATTAGGTAGATGGTCCACCTGTACTTCTAAGCCAAAATGACTGTTTGGCTAAAATTTTTCATTATATTAGCAGCCAGTACAGCAAGAGGGAAAACAGAACTGAGCTTAAGGATGCACCAGATTTTTTCGAATTCCACTTCATGAATATTTTATATAAGCCAAATATCATCGGATATTTAAATTAATCGGGATTTCGCTTTTACTATATAAAATATAGTAATAAAATCTAAAATATAAAAACATCAAAAATTTATTCAATAAAATAAGAAATAAGAAAAATCAGCAAATATCGCTAATAAATCTGAAATGAATGGCGGCTAAAAGAAAATTTTAGAAATTTGACGAAGCAAACCGAAGAATTCGAGAATAAAATTGGTTCGATGAAAAGTTACTGCCTATTTTTATAAAAGATTTGTTCGGAAATAAAAACTTTTATTTTTTGCTACCTAAAAATCATCATCAGAAAAAAATCACAAATGAATCAACATAAAGCGATCCCTTCTTTCTCCCGAAGTTGTGATCCCACAGTTTAAATTTAAATTCAAGCAAATCCAACCATCGATCATCAACACAGCGAATTTCTTTTTTTATAGATTTATCTAAAATAATAAATAATGAAAATTTATTATGCAAATTTATTCTGACTCTTATTCGCATTTTTTTCAAAACGTAAATTTGAAACCATAAATCACAAAATATGCGAATTGATTAGAGCCGAACAATGACAACATTCGTTAAAATTTCTTTTTAAGGAACTATAAAAAATGAGAAAAAAAACAGGCATTATCTAAAATTATTCATAGGTAATGAAAGATAAGCCTTAGGATCGAACTTGGATCAGTTATAAATAGGAAACTAAATGAATAGAAAAATCAACAGATTAATAAACTTATTTTTTATCATTATATTATTAAATTATATTCTATCACTATCTATCTTATAATTTATTACTTATTATTCTACCAACGAGTCGGACGAGTTTATTTTTTTTTCTTTATATGTTTCCTTTTAAATTTGATTTAATTATCTCTACCCTCTATCTTTGACAGGAGTGAACCTGTCATGATGTCAAAAATCCGGGTAGTTGCTGGTGACCTGTACCAAGTGACTCTTTGGTCAGGTCTCGAAGTCCGCGTCTCCTGATGCACATGTTATTTCTGACCCGGTGGTACATGCGATAAATATACAATAAATACACAATAATTAATAATAATAAATTTCCAAGGCAAAACATATAATTTACTCGCGAACTGAGGTAATTACTCAAAATCCGCCAACGCAAGCGAGAACCTATCTGCTAACACTTTGTAAGTGCGGTAAGGTGCTGGGTATACTTGGAACATCGGAACACTTATGGATGTTGCAAGTCAAGCGATCATTGTCCACACCCCTTTCTAAATACCGCAGATGTGGCTTGTTTGTAGGAAATCCGTCTTCCTCATGTCTGCTCTCGATTTAATCATTAAACCTGGTTCCGAGCAAAGATATTGGCTATATTACTGTGGTGTTACGGAGAACAAATGGCGTAATGGGCATAATGGCATAGCGATTGCCATATCTGAAAAGGCTCGATATTCTCATATTGAATGGAAGTCAGCAAATAACCGTGTGGCACACGCGCGTTTCAAAGGGTTTTACAATATTTCGGTCATCAATGTATATGCTCTAACTTTATGCGCAGATGACAGCGATAAGATTAAGTTCTATGCGGAGCTTCAACTGTTAACAACATCCTTACAGAGAGGTGACATCGTCATAATCGGGGAACTGGAGTGCGCTCGTATGTCATGATGTCATTACGATGAATTCGGTAATTGGCAAATATGGCATCGGAGTCCAGAATGCTTTCGGCATTAGAGGAAATATCTAGTATATTCCAATCAGATTGACTATATATTGGTCAGCCACCGCTGGAAGAGTTTTATGCTTGATAGTCGTTCATATCGAGACGCTGAAACTGGTAACCGCCCCGCCATAGATCATACTATGTTTCGAGCCAAGATTCATATAAAACTGACAAGTCGTAAGAGACAACCAAGACAACTAACCTAAGATCTTTCAATTATCTCAAATTAAAAGATCCAGGAGCATTTCAAACCGTATTACTGGAACACCTTAGTGAACATCAATCACATCTCTGGAAAGGCGAATGAATACTGGTCCCAACTAAAGACATGCCTACAAAAGTCGGCCATTTCCGCTCTAGGATATACTAGTAGGAAGTTAGTTGGGTGTCTGTCTAAAAAAGTTAACGCCCAAATTTCAGGAGATTATGACTATCGAGTGCTTTGAAGGACAGCATGGAGGGACAGAAATCGCTATTGGAGCGATATGGCCTTGAGAATGGAGACGGCAGCTCGGATAGGTGATAATAGGAAACTGTTTCGCCTTCATCACAAAGCAACTATAATTCGAGAAGAAGAAGTGAAATAATACGGGATATTAATGGGGTGCCTATTGAAGGCTATTGAAGGTGTTAAAGATCGCCTCAGAAGATGGAAAGAATTTTTTGAGGCCAAACTTAACCACGATGCACCATTTAACTGTCCCGAATAACTGACTTGCCCGTCGAGCCTTACGTTTGCAACTGCAAGCCGCTAACAAATAATAATCTCTGTAATCCATATGCTTATGGCCAATAAAACTCACGGAGAAGATGGTCTTTGGGCCCAAGTCTTCGAATGTTGTCCATCATCGTTCATAACTCACCTTCAACAATTGTATTCTCTGGTATGACAAAAGGAAATAATACCAGAAGACTGGAGCAAAACAATTCAGCTTCCAATTCCTAAGAAAGGTGACAGGACGTACTGCGACAATTACCGAGGAATCAGCCTACTAGACATCTCTGGGAAAATTTTCGCTTCCCTTCTGCTAAATAGACTCATGGCAACACGAGATAGCAGAATACGTCCTAATTAAGCGAGGTTCGGACTGGGAAGCGGTTGACCAGATATTTAAGCTAAAAAGGGTGCTGGAACATCATTGCAAAGATTCGCTTGATAGAGCAATGCTCTGGAAAGTGATGGAATGTGACGTACCCAGAGAAGATCATTCAGCTAAAGGCAGTTAATAGCAAACTCTGGCGCAGATTTAATATGGGGAACTGACAAACTCCTTTGAAATAAGAATTGTTGTCCGTCATTTCCATAGGTATGCGTCTTTTCTCCTACGATTAATGGGCATCGCTTATCAGTACTCAAGAGGTGTACAAATCAGTCCAGAGCATACTGTCACAGATCTTGAATACGCTGATGATGTAGTCCTTTTTGCTGACTGCTATAAGGAAATGCAAATAATGTATCAACAACTGCAGCCAGAATTGGACTAAAAATCAATGTAAATAAAACGAAAGTGTTTTCAAAATACCTATTCTTATCAATTAATTACCGGTGTTTGATTTTAAATACCTCGGATCCACTCTAATCCCAAATGGCCAGGCAAAGAATGAAATTGTAACCCGGATAACGACAGTTATAAATGTGCTTTTTCAGTTGAAGAAACCTTTATGGAACCGTCTTGAAGCCACCATAAAGACGAAAATCCACGCCCATATAGCTGCAATTCGACCCCTTATATTTTACGGATCCGTCGAGCGGATAAAATCTCACATGATTATCCATCTTCGCTCAAATACCATCTGCATTAATAATGTTATCACAGAATGTCACTTTCGCTGGTTAGATTCTCCATCTTTCACCACAGGAGCTGACACATATTTCGTTATTTGCTGAACCCTGTGGTGGTCAAAAGCGAGGAGAGCCAGTTAAGATCTGGACTGATACAGTGAAGAAAGATTTTAAACGTATAAAGGAAGAACGAGCGATATATGAGCGATAAACGATGGAAAAAGGAATGGTTTCTATTAGTACTAGCGATGGCGTCGGACCGAGCAGCTTGGAGATATCTCACTCCTGTAGCCAGCGGAGCCAACTTAACCACTAATGATGAGAGCTGTTAGAAGAAAAAGAAGGAAACAATAAATTATATTAAAGATTTTTAAGCTTGTTTTTCTATCAAAATGAAGAATAAATCTTAACAATTTGAGCGTATCGAACAAAGTTTACCTTAAACTTATATATGTTAAACTAATGCAATCTCGAAAGCTCTTTTAAAATCTTCAAAATATCTCAAGATTTGGCGTATTTCCAAACCGAATTATCGAGATACCTCAGTAATAGAAATATCAATGATATCTCTGAAACACTGAATACTGGTCGTAACTAAAGGCTTATCTCCGAAAATCGATCAAATCCATCCTATTTTAGCGTGCCACTCGAAAATGTGTTATTTCGGAAATATATCAGAAATAACGGCTCAACAACCTGAAAAGGCTACCAGAGAATGCATATTAGCAGATCCTATCGAAGCAATGCAATAACAGCTACACGATGGTCAGAAACCAAGGAGTGATAATATGGAAATATCTAATCAAATATGCGGTAAAAAATATTCCGCTTTCTTCATAAAGCAATCACATAAATTCAGAAAATGAAATGACTTGAGACTAATGAGCCTGTTAGGGCAATCAAAGAGTGTTTCGCAGGGTGGATTTTAAAATTCTAGCACCAACTGCATTCCTGAATGGCTGAAAATAGATAAGTCTGCATCTATAGACCATCAACAGAGCAATAAAAATCCTAGAGAAGAGGGTCTTCCAACTGAAATCCGCATATATTGTCCTTCACAACTCATTTTCAGTGGATACACATCCATGAAAAAAGTAATAATACCAGATGACTGGAGCAAAGTAATCGCTAATAGTGAACTGGGATAATTGTTTAAGAATTAATAAATTGAAAATAAAATAAATAACTACTATATACTCTGCTAAAATTTTCGCCATATTGAATTATGGCAGCGGTAAATGTGTCTAACTAAGCTGATTTTGTTGCTACATTCGATTCAGTTGATAGAGCGATGCTCTGCAGGACTATGGACATCGTTTGCCAGCACCCAGAAGTGCATTATTTAGTCCAGAGTATAGTATTATAAGCAGATGATTTAGACTTTTTTTTGATTATAAAGAAATGCAAGAAATGTAAGAGATTCAATTATCTTCGCTATCCATCGCAGGAATTGACCCATTACTTGCTAAACACGATGGGGTCAAAAATGAGTTGGATCAATCAAGACCTGAATGAGACCCATCATAACCTTAACTGAAGAGATTTTGAACTCTTAGGCGACTTGGCATTAAATGGACTTAGATGGTGGAAGAAAACGTGGTTTCCGCGTGGTCGTTCTAAGATATAACATCAGATCCAGCGGAACCAATTTAATAGTAAAAATAGGAGAATTTCAAAATCGCAGTGCTATGCGAAGTAATTGATGATTGCTGATGAGGTCAACTCACCAGTAGCTTTCTTTGACTATATTTATATTAATCTCCATGCTTAACAATGAATTCTAATTATATATAAACGGTTTGAAAAAAGCTATTACAGTTCATTTATTTATTTTTTTCAAACCACAAAGTCATTAAAGAAACAAATTTTCATCCCTCACTTCTGGAACCTTTTTATTTTGCCATCCTGAAAAGCAAATAAAGTCGTGTTAAAAACGCTGCAGATGGATGACATATCTTCTTTAATGATCTCTGATAATATAGAAATTGATGAAAAATGTACAAATTTTATTAAGATTCTGGGTATGGATTTCTGGGAACTGACCGTCTTATTGATTTGTTGTCGAAGATAGTTAAAATTCGGCGTGATTGCGAACAAAATCCATCCGACTGTTGCTGCAAAAGCTCGACTCACAGTAAGCCATCGCCAAATTAAGAAAGGATTAAATGCGAAGTATGGCTAAAGTCGACAATTATAGTTTATCTATAAGTTAACTATTGATTGACTTATCCAAAATTGATTTTTTCTATTTTTGCAGCAAATGCTATTTTTAATGGCCAAATAGTTAAACACTAAATTTTTAATTAATAAAAAATTATATGGGAAGGAAAGGGTTCGGACGAATCTTATTCCCTGATGGGAGTGGACTTATTATTAAAAAGCCTAAATAGCACCATTCACTAATACTTCCAACTAAGTACCACCCAGGGAAGAATTCTAATCGTACCAACAGCAAACAAGCGTAAAATATACCTTCCAGCTTTTTTCAATGGGTTCAATGAAAACTAAATATTTTTTTCAGTGCAAAAAGGAAAAAATAAAATTGTTGAAATTACTGAATATATTTTTTAAAAGTGCAAAATATTAAATCAAATATGCAATGAACGAAAAAAAATTCAATAGAAAAATGCTTTAATTATTTTTCTATCGAAATGATGGATTTTTTATTTTTCGTGGTCAAGGCATTAATTTTTAATAACTTTTTACCCAAAATTTTTTGCGATCATTTAGTAATTTTTTAATTCATGAATTCATGAGGTATTTCGCTGAAGCAAACCAACAGGTACCAATAAATAACCTACCTGATAATTTAATGAGTTCTCAGTGTCTGCATGAAAGCGATTCACTAAATTCGATATCCATTCATCATACAAGGAAATAGCAAGTGTCGTTAATAATGTCCCTACTGCTAATACTACATTAATACATCCAAGTTGAAGGTTAATTACGTTAAGTAAAATTTCCATGAGATCCTCGTTACTTTCGAATCTAGAATATTAATAAAAAAATTTATAAACCAAAATTTTATTACACTAAATTGCAAATAAAACATTAATAAAGCACAATTAAAGGATAAAAATACAAAAAAAATGTGAATTACCTATCAAAAGCCGAAATAGCAATTATAATAAAGCCAGAATAAAAGATTATTTGTAGGGAAATAAGAAGCCAATATCGATTTGATGTAAAAAATTCCTGAAATTTTTTAATGGTTGAAAAAAAAGGACACTGTGTAACGGCAAGTAAATGCATAAAAGATTAGAAAGAAGAATAAAATGGGCCGTGAGCACCACTCCGATTTTGCTTTTAATATAGGTGTGTTTGTTTGTAACTCAGAAAGAAAATGAAACGATGGTAAGGATGGAGTTAGCCGAATGAACAATAAAAAAGTAGGATCGACTGCCAAAATAATTGTTTCGATGCTTGCAAAAAACGGAACCGTATAATGGAAAGTAAAAGCAAAAATCGCGTATGCAATTGCCAAACCGGAAAGTAATCCTGAAAATTTGTCAATAAACCAATAATTATAATTAGTTCAAAAGAACAAAAAGAACAAAAATTTGAAGTAGATAATTCTTGTTCGGCGATTTCTTATTCGAGAGTTGCTTCTTTAAAAAAAAAACTGAAAAAATTTCATTTTACCATGTAAAATTAGTGATAAAATATGATAAAAATTCTGAAACGCTAATGCTTTTAAAGCATTTTGTACGAAAATTCTTTTGGGATCGGTGTTGGCAGTTTCTAATTTTTCTTTTTTTAGTTGTTTTCTCGTTGTTCGCCAAAATTTTTCTAAAAGAATTTATAGTTTTTTTCTCCCAATAATATACTCTTCCAGTTTTTCTTTGTTATTATCATTATTATTATTATTTATTTTATTTTTAAGAACTCTCACCATTACTGATTAGACTCACTCTGCTGGCTTATAAGCACTAGATACATATGCCATGGAGTCCCTAAATGATAGAAGATAGAAGGTGACCAGCATCACCCAGATTCTTGGAAAGGTTTGCTTCTGTGGGAATAGAACCTCGAATTGACCCACTGAGCCATTCTATGCCCCACTATTAACACTATTATTAATAATTAACATTTGTTATTGTCGTTATTATTAAATTTATTTTTTTTTATTGTTCTCATATAATCTTGCTGTTGTTATTGTATTATATAATCGCTATTATTATTATTATTTCTCGAAAAAGTTTTCAATTTTTCTGAAACTCAAAGAGGAATAAACTAAATATTAACAAAGAACTGCTAACAGATTGCCTTAACTATTTAAAAAAAGATAAATTTAAATTTCATTTCAGTCAATTTAATTTAAATCATAAATGAAGAAAAATCTAATAAGTTAACTATTCTTTTGAATGAATAAGTCATCAGATCGTTGCTGATTTCCACTTTGCATTCGTCGCCTCGGATGAAAAACGGACGAGATTTAATTAAACTCAAACATGAAATCAGATATATTATATTAGCGAATTCATTTACAAAAAGAACTGCGTTTTGGAAAATAATGACGTGATGAAAAAAAATTACTTATCGAAATTACTCCGATTTTTCCAATTAGCAAAAAATTTTTATTGAAAATTTTATAATTAAATTAATTTTAAATTAAGCTGTGAATTAAAAATTTAATTACTTGCAAAATCCCCGAACAAAATTATGTAAAATGAAATAATTTCATATTCTTTTTGATATAAAACAATAAATTCCTAAGAAATCGACAAAAAATATGACTCATTTAATAGTTTCCATGGAGATTTTCTATCACAAGTCCACGATGATCGTCTTCCTTCCTCACACAACCCATACCAAATCTATTAATGAGGAGCATTGTACTTCTTTAAATAGCTTATTACATTTGCGTGGTTTGTTAAGCAAGAGAACGATGTTCTCAAATATCTTGCAAATATTTTTTAGTAGTTAAAAGCCTCGGCCGGTCGCAAAGAAGAATTCTGTGGATTATATGTTCTACATGTCTAGTCCATCATTTTATTTATTTTGTTCTAGCTCACTTAATTCCTCGACAGGAAAAAAACAGCAAATTTTCTATGAAATCTTTTATTATAAAAGATTATAAAATCAATTCATAAAATAAAATGAGGTTCAGAAATGTAGACAATTTTTGTTAAGCAATACATATATAAAAAAGATTAAGCAAAATCTTAATTCTGAATTAAAATTTGGTATATAAAATTCGAGAATTTTTTTTTTTGTATTAAAATGCTTTCAAAATAATAAAATACGTAAAAATATGTGAATTATCTAGATTTATGATGTATAATGAGAAAAATAAAAAAAACTGGTCAAAAACGATCGCATTCACTTAATTTTGAAAATGTTTAAAATTAAACCATAAAATAACATAATACTATAAAAATAAAATTTTATACAAAAAAAAGTTCAAATTCCATTTATAATGTTCCTCTGAATGCTGGCATTTTTAATCTAGTATCCAGTTGCGTATTGTGCTCTTTCATTGAATAATTACTATAGTATCGCACAAAGTCTACTATAGTGGGAAAAAACAATTTCGTATTCAGGAAAGCAAAACCACACGATTCAGGATGCTTGATATCTCTGAATAATAAATATGGATATGGTGAAATTGCCAATCGCTTTTAACAGCTAAATAATTTTAATAATTCTTAATTCGCTGGTAATGCTTTCTTTTAATGGAATTGAAAAAGATAGAAACTTTTTATATTTACCGATATTCCACCAAACAATTATGAATATGATCGCCATAAGATAGTGTCAACGCGTATTGACCATCTTGCGACTGACTTGGACGTATTAAGAAAATTCCATCTGAATTCCCTGGATTGTGTTCCATCAGTTTTTTTATAATTTTGATTGCATTTTCCTCAAATAATCTCCATAAATTTAATGTATTTAATGTAATTCGTGAATTTATTGTTTTCTCTTTTAATTCTCCAGCGTACTTTAAAATGAAAAAAAATAAATTGTTTCTAATCATTATCATTATCCTTATTATCGCTAATTTTTAAAAGCTCATGAATAACTTCGAAAATCTTATTTTGGTGACATATTGCATTAAAAGGTTACAAAAGAAAATTGTTCATAAACAATATTATATAATGAAAACTTAAAAAAATATGCCTATACCAAAATTTCATACTGGTTTCATCTCGTAAATATTAAAAATGCACTAATAAATATGGTAGCTATTATGATTATTGCTCTAGGAAAGGCAAGAAGTTATAAGAAGTTATGAAGGACTAAAGGTAATTTTCCACAAAAAACTAAACATAGATGTCTCGTATAAGCGTGATCCCGTATTGCAAATTATTTCTGTTTATTCTAATCTGTATTATCTTTTCTCCTAAACTTAGTCTTTTTTACAGATATCTAAAAAGATTCTTATTGCTAGGTCATCAAATTTGTTGTGCTTCCTCTTTCACTATTTGTAATTCTCTAAAAATAACTGCGTTCAATAAATTGAATAGAATTAGTTGTAATTAGATTAGAGCGGCAGTTAGAACCTTTATAAAGCAATATTCTACAATATTCTACAAATTTTATAAATTTTAGAAGCGGGAAATTTCGAAGATCTATATTTTTTCGCTACTCAATTTTGGAGTGATGATCTGCTTTCCTTGTGTGATTTTTCAGAATCTAATGATGAAGTAGAATACCTTAGTGCAATCAGTCGCTAAATATCGATCTGGTTGCCACCGAAGATGACATCGTACCAAAACTTTTGACAAAGCAGGATGTTCTGCATCAGCCAGTATTGAAACTTCTTGCTGAACTTTATCCAGAATTGCTTCAGGAATTTTTTGCTGGCACAATCGAAAACGACACCTATCGAGTTCGCTGAAAAAAAATAAAGGATGTAAAATTGCAAAATGCAATGTAAAAAAAATAAAATTAAAAATTAAAACAATAAGAAAAAGATTTCAAGGAAATAAAAAAATAAAATAGAAAAGAAAAATTTGAAAAGAAATAAAATAAATGAATAGTACCGATGAATTTTCGAATATTTCGGCAATAAACTAATATGAATATTCTCATTTTCTTGTATATCTTTTTCAAAAATGACAACACATTCATTCGTTTGTTGTAACTGGTTTTCAATAGTTTCCAAACTGAATATTTGTTTGTTAATATTGCTTTCTTTTCATTTATTCATCATCAACTTCAACTTATTCAACTTATAGAACCCATACCGTTTCTTTTGCAAATCCAAATTGGCTCTCAAATATGCAAGATCTGATTCAGTAGTCATTAAATCTCCGTTCCTGAAGTTATCGCATCATATAACCCAATTAAATTGAAAATTTGAGACCATAATTCACTCATATATAGCTGGTATCTCATCTACTAGATAACAAAAAATATCTGCAATGAAAAAAACAGATAATATTAATATTAAAGTCCAAGTAATATAGGTGAAAAATCACGGATAAATCCATTAAGTATATACTTTGACAAAATAGCAATCTGTCCTTGGAATAGATCACGAGCAACTTTATATGCGGCTCGAGCCTGACGCTTCTTTGAAAGTTCTTCTCGTAATGAATCCAACTCAACGCAAATTTTTTCATCGAAACGCATCAAACGAATGTGAGCGGCACAAATGCCACGTAATTGGCAGAATAAATGCTCAATGCTATGCAGTCCATCAATTTCCTAAAACAAACTGAAAAATAGAGAAGAAAAATGAAAGTATTTAATTTATTGATGTTTTTTAGAAAAGGAAGAAAATTTTCTTCGAGAAGAATGAAGTTATTGAACTCAAATCGTAAAACGAAGAAGAATAATAAGAAAAAAACGAAAAAATCAAGAAATAAATCAATATTTTGTTTTCAGTTATTCTATTCAGTTATTCTATTCAGAAGATTTCATTTTAGATCACATCCTTTCATTTTAGGTTTATGATCAATAATTAGATTTTTTGTTTAAAAATCTTCATAAAATTCTGCTCACTCATGGCTATTTTATTTTCACGGTTTTTAATTTATTCCAATTATCAATTTGTTCACTTTTTTGTCTACCACTTTTTTAAAAATATTTTTTAAGAATTTAAATAATAATAAAAAGGAAACAAAACGATGCATAACAGCAAACAAATGAAACTTTCAAAATTTCACCCAAAATGACTTCTGTGCATTCTGTTGTTTTAGAGGAAATAATAATTGAATGGCGAGATGCACATTATATTCCTTTAACGAATTCCTCTTGTAATATTCAATTAATGATATAACAGAATCGTAGTGAAGTGCATCTTCATGGAATCCGCAACGATCCTTAGATATGATAATTTTAATCAACCTTGTCTTCTGGAAAAACAAAAGCAAGTTGGCACAATTTTTGATAATTTTAATGAAATTAGATAATAAAAAAAGAAATATACAAAGAAATATAATACAAAAAAAGAAATAGATAAACCCCTTCATGCTTTAAAGAAAGAGTATAATCTTTGCCGTTTGACGAGCGTCTAACACAAAATGTACCATTAGGACTATCCTGTAATATTATTAAAAAACGAATTGAATACAAAATAAAAACGAATTATGTTATTATAGTTATTAAACCATTAATAAATAGATAAACAGTAAGATTATCAAAAATTAAAAACAAAATTTAAATTTTAAAAAATTTTAAATTTCAAAAAAATTAAAGAATGGTTTTGAAATATATTAATAATAATTAATTAAATGGGAAATTTAAAAAGCAAATAATTGTGAAATAATTTTTAAAGAACTCGAATGAATCTTTTAAAATATTTTACATTTTTGAGAAAATTCAAATTAAAAATTTAACAAGCTGAAATCAACGAATTTTTCTGATCGAATAATATTAAAAATAATTAATAAGCCTTTTTACCAATCCATTATAAGGAAATTAAAAATAATGGGAATAATTTGAAATTTACAATAATTGTAAAAATAAAAAATAGACTCTAAAAAATATTTAATGGATATAAAAGAGGAAAATTTACAAAAAGAGCGTTAAAAATGTCTTCTTTGGAGGCATTTGGCCAATACCATTCTTGTTTTGACAAGTTTTGAGAACAAGGCTCGTCCTCTTCCATATATCATGGATTTTTCATAACCCTTAAATAAATAAATAAACGGCTAGATTGACAATAATTAATAGTTATCAAGAATACAACTGATAAGCTGCATAACGCAACAATAAATTCTTATAAATTTTCCCCATGAATCTACTGAATATATTAACGTAATCCATAAATGTGACAACTCTTATGTTCATTTGTCTTACCAAATGATAAAGGTATTCACGTTAAGAAGGATGTTGGAACATCGCATCAGCTATTTGCGACCCACTATCACGTTTCATCGACTTTGGCACTGCCTTTGATTCAATTGATAGAACGGTGCTTTGGAGAGTGATGGAACGTGACGATGTTCCAGAGAAGATCATTCGACTCATAAAGGCATTTTATGAGCGCACGTCGGCTCAGATCTGTATATTTGGGGAATTAATAGATTACTTCGAAATAAGAACTGGTGTCCATCAGGTTTGCCTCTTTCCCCCAAAGTATTCAACTGTGCGATAGACTGAATAATAGAGACCGCTTGTCGGCATTCAAGAGGCGCGCAAATCAGTCCAAAGCATCGTATCACATATCTTGAATATCGCTGATGATGTAGTCCTTTTTGCTGACAATAATGAAATGCAAATAATGCTAAATAACGTGTCAGCAACTGCAGCAAGAATCGGACAAAAGATCAACGTAAATAAAACGAAAAAAATCTTTTCGTCTTATGTGCAAGAAGCTGATGAAATGTCTCTTTCGCTGTTTAGGCACATTCTCCATTGTCCACCATAGGATTTGACGCATATTTCGTTATTTGCTAAACCGTGTGATCGTTGGCGTTAAAATCGAGATGGGCCAATCAAGACCTGGACTGATACGGTCAGAAAAGAACTTGAACGTATAGATAGACCAGCAATATATGGACTTAGACGATGGAAAAAGAAATGGCTTCCATTACTGTCGACGATGGTCTCGGACCGCACCGCTTGGAAGCGTCTTACCTTATAGCCATTGGAATTAGTCTAACCAGTAATGGTGAGAGCTGTTAGAAGAAAAAGATCAAAAATCGTTGTCGAAAGAGCACCAATGAGAAGGAACACGGAGAGGAACCACGTAAAAATATCCAAAAAATACCAAATAAAATGACAATTACCTGCGCAAAAGTGCACTTCAAAGTTGATGTTTTTTCAAATTCTTAGCGATGGAAGTCTGAACAAAGCAAACTTCGCCAACGCCACAGCTTTCACCCAATTATCCATTTCAAGATTGTCACATGAAATAGGCGCTTAACGCTAAAATTTATGGCTATCCGCATCTGTAATTTAATATATCAGCCGATGATTAGTTAACGGGGGATAGGAACGTTCGAATACTTACAGGGTGCAATTTTGGAAGGGAGAGGGTATATGCGTTCTGTGGTAAGTTTCGTTCAGTGGTCGTAGTGTTAACCATCTGAAAGCGGAAGTTCGCTTGTTCAAAAATTATCGAAATTTAGGGTCAATTAATTTCTATAAATAGTTTTCAAGACTTTCTTGGCATTTTAGACTTTTTTATTTACAAAAGACAAAATTATACGGGTTTTTGAATTGAATATTATTAAGGGAAGGAGAAGCGAATCGGTTTATATTTACTTATATTAATTGTGGTGTTATTAATTAATCGTATAAATTAGTCGTTTATTCGATTAATTAGGAGGGATTGGAGGATCAAATGGTAGTTTTCTGGAGTCAAAGCCATTATACGCTTTGCTCCACTCGAAACGAAAGCTGTAGCTAAAAGCGGAGCGCAGTGTAGTTGCTTGTGTTTTTATCTCAAGGAGGCTCTAGTGAAGGATTTAATCTTAACAGCTAGTGAAGAATTGAGGAGGATTGAGGATCCTCAATCTTTGCTCTTAATTTGCATTAATTTAATTCAATTTCAATTTGCATTTATTAAATCTTAATTAATTTCAGTTATGTCCGACCATGATGAATTAAAATGGGAGTGTGCCAGTTGCACTTATTTAAATTATCCGTCAGCAATTTTATGTACAATGTGTCGTTCATCGAAGAATCATTCATCGCCTTGCATAAATGAACCACCATCAACATCAGGTGATGACTGGAAAAAATTTGATGCAAGGAACGAACGTTGGTCGTGTTCCGCATGTACATATTTAAATGTATTGAAAGCACGAACGTGCAGCGTATGTTCTTCAAAACGACCTGAATATCTCAACTCGAAACCAGAACTAGAAGATACCCCTCAAATTGGTTGGTGTTTTTTCTATTTTTTTGGTGATTTCGAAGTTTTTACGATTTTTTTTAATGTGAATTTTGATATTCATTTATTTATCTTGCATTGCGCACTGATGTTATATCAAAAAACTCAAATTTAATTCAGAATGTAGCTTAAGCTCGCTCCCCTGTTATAAGATTTTGTACTTTTTTTCTTAAAAATTAAAATTAAAAAATTAGAAAAAAATTAAAAATTGTCCCTTATTTTTTTAATTACACAATCTTTTTTTTTGAATGTTAGAATAAATTATAGAATAAATTAGAATTTAACTTTAGAATAATAAATCAATGAAGGTGGACTATCTTTGACTATATTTTGATCTTTCTAACATAAATTTTATTTCATTATATTTTAATTTTAATCTTACTACAAATAGTTTAGATGATAAAGGTTTTGATCTTAGCAAAGCTCTTAACAAGTGGGATTGTTCTATGTGTACATATAAAAATTGGCCTGCAGTTAAAAGCTGCGTTATATGTCGAACACCTCGACAAATTGTGGAAATTGGCGACGATGGTATTTATTTATTTATTTCTTTATTTGATTCATTTTGGCGAAATATATTACAGTTATATCGCTTGTTCCCTTTATTATTAAATGCTAAACAAAAAATTGTTTATTCCGTTTGACTGGATATTCTTTTTTTCTTTTCTCCTCGACGGTGTGGATTTTACAATATATTTCACGCTATTTAATTTAATTTATTTTATTTCTTTAATTTATTAATGATGGTAATATTCGTGCTATTTTTTAGAAAAAAAAGAAATCAGCAATCAGATATCTTCAGAAGAAAAAAGGCCAAAATCGGAACAGATTGGTAAATTTATGTTTTAAAATTTCTCATATGATTTTACTTAATTTTTTTGTTTAAAAGGTCAATTTATTGGAGTTTAAAAACCTTTATATTTTTTTCGTTTGATTTTTCTATATTTTATGTAAATAGTTTAGATTTGGTGCCGTTGAGTCCGATACAAAGTACAGAGAAGGAGCGAAGAAGTCCGAATTCTTTTGAAACGATGGAACCTCTTCAACGATATTTAATTTGCCTTCAGAAAACGGTATATTAAAAATGTTAAATATTATAGCATCAAATTTCTATCAAAACAATCTCATTTGTAACTCTTTTGAATTGATGAAAATAGATGATAATAGATGATGGTAATCCTAAAAAAATTTTACTTTTTTCGAAGTCATTCGTTTTATTGAATCAAGCAAGAAAAATTGTGAAATTATGCGAACTATTTTTATTAACTCCAAAGGGAAGGAAAAATAGCTTAGAATTCGATTATTCTTTGTTATCCTAGTTTCAACTTTGCTTATAAATCTAATCGATTTATCCAGTCATTGGTTAGTTCCATAACAATTTTCAGGTTGATACGGGTTGTATATCTTTTCTTGAAGCAGTGTATCAATTAATTTGTCTAGATGATGATAACGTTGATAGGATACTTCATTATTTATATAATTATAGCGAGCAAAATCGCAAAATAACTGCTCTCGAAGTATGTATTGCATTGCTGGAGAAATATCTGATATTTATCAATATAGCAAATTCTAATTTTTCAATTTTTTAATTTTTTGAAATGATTGCTTGTCTGAAAAATATTCATTGTGGTCAATGAATGAGATTAACAATTTTTTTTTTTTCTGCTGGATTGACTCATCGAATTATGTTATTGTTTTTTTAAATGGACAATAGCACTTTTCGAAGGTTTTGTTTTTTATGAATTTAAACAAACATGTATTTTCTATAAAATAATTGTGTGTAAGTGAACTTGACCAGAAAAAGCGTGATAATTTTCATAAACTGCGAACTGCTTGGTTGCGCGATATGTAATTTTGTGAAAAACCTGTGAATTTAGAAAATTATCACATTAATATCCTTTGATCTTATCCAAAAATCTAATATACTTCATAAAAATATCTCCAAAGCTTGATATAACTTTGCTATGATCCACTGTTATCGTGAATTTTTTCATTCTAACTTCTTTTGGCATCATCTATTTCAGACCATATTTCTGACAGGTATATTTATAGGCATACAAAGGGAACTGAAAGATTTAGGAGAAGAATTAAGGGAGTATAGTGAGAGTTTCATAAGTGAAGAAATAGTATAGGAGTATCCGATCACTGTGAGAATTTAGAAAGTTTTTAAGGAGCAAGGCTTATGCTGTAAGTTTGAAGGAGGTTTCATCTAGCCCAAATACAATAATTTGTATTTTGTATGGTTTGTGTGTGTTTATTTGAAAAAATGAGGCTACAGTTGCAAAATGCGCAGATTCGCGCCACATTTATTCGGAGATCTATTGTATTTTCTCTCAAACACTGTTAAATCTCGTTATTACTCAGTTCTCCCCCCCTTGACGAAACCCACTGTCTTAATGCTTCTTCAGAACATGTGTGTGTTTACTGCATGCAATTAACATTCCCTCAAATTTCATATGCGTATACGTCTAATGTATACGTCTTCCTTCTCAAAACATTCATCTTATTTTTATATTATTTTATGACAACTATTTTTCAGAGTAGTTTGTTCAATCAGTTAGCAGATTTTGATAATACTATATTTTACAATCGCTCGTTTGTTGATATGTTGGACTTTCGAGATCAGAATTATTTATCCAACATTCCTGTCGAATATTATAATTCATCACCATCTGTGCAATTTCCCGGCTCAGGTATTGGTTTACAAATCTTTAATTCAAGCTTTGATAAGCTTTTAATGATAAGCTTTCTCATAGTTTTATGTGAATCTAGGTAAAGTACTTTTCTATAATGATTATAATCAAATTTATTCATCATCACACTTGAATTATTTTATAAACTATCTTATGAATAAATGACTCTTTTTGAACCTTTCAGTTTCTAGTGATGGCTCCGATGAAATTCATGCAAGAATCCGTGAGGATATATTTAATGATTTGGATTTATGTCGCATGACCAACAGTAGTGCCCTTTTTAATGTGCCTGAAGGTCACCTTTGTGCAAATTTTTTTTTCGTTATAAAATTGAAACTTGCACCACAAATCTATCGTTTAATTAATTAATTCATTAATTCATTTAATTAATTTTTCTAACTTTTTCAGTGGTATATGATTTACGAGAATGGTTAATCCATAGGGATAAGCGAGGAATTTTGATGAATTTTGATGAGAATCGTAAATTCTTTTCATTTTTTGAATTTTTTTATCCTTTTTTTACTTTTAATAAATTAATGAATCACTAGAAGAATATTATCACGGGACTAGAAGAATATTATCACGGGAATTGAAAGATCTTTTAGATTTAATGTACACAATATGCGGCTCAGATACGCATAATCCATCCACTAATCTCGGTCAAGAACGTTATGCACCTTTGATTTTGCGCAATCGTGGTGGTGGGCATAGTCTTGTCGATGCAGTATCACAAGTATTATTGTTATTATTATTAATTATTATTATCAATGATTCTTATTAATTATTATTACTAATGATTATTATTATTAATTATTATTAACCATTATTATTTTTATTATTACTACAATTTTTTGTCTTTTCAATTACAGTTAACTTTTAACTTTTAATATAGTTAAGTTTTGTTAGAATTATTTGTATTTGTGAAATGTAAAACTCATTGAATTAGGCTTTAATTACTGAAATCATTCGTACTGATTATCCTGATATTTATTTTTTGAGAGCAACGATGTTTTATTTTTTTTCCATTGTATATACTTTTTTAAATTTTTTAATTTTTAATTTAATTTTTGTTTTTAAAATTTTTATTTTTTGTTTTATTTTTTATATATTAATTTTTAATATATAACAAGTATTTAGGCTCTATGGGGTGTTATCGATAAGAATAATTTGCTTCGTGGTGCCGTTTACCGTACTTTATTTGCTCAAGAAATTAGGTAAATGTAATTTTTTTAAATACTGGCATATTTACTGTTTATTTACTTATTCATCCATTTAAATTATTTAGTTCCTTTTTCTTTTTCCGTTTTATTTGTTTATCTTTTTTTCTTAAGATTTCGGGCCTACTGGGAATCATGGATTTTAAAGCTTGGTTTAAATCTCTGCGTATATGCATTACAGCGTTATTGGGAAAATGTATTAGATTGTCATGAACCAGGTTCTGCCATGGAACAAGTATGTTTAAAATTAACAGCGATTACAATTTTCTTTAGAAAATTATTAATAATAATTTCTAGTTTTATTTTCGTCTTCACCATTTTCGTCTTTAAATTAAATATATTTTATCAATTTCAGATCCATATATTAGTTCTAGCTCAAATATTAAATCGTCCCATCGTTGTATTACCTATCGAATCATCGAAAGCAAATATGATTCCTCGCTGTGATAAGTCTGTGAAAGAAAAACATCCGATGGAAGGGTTTTATCCGCAGCTTGCTGTTTTCAACAATTATCGTTTGTGTCGGCCATTATTTTTGTGCTATGCCAATGGCTGTTTCCATGCAGTTATTCTACCTCCACCTCAGAGAAGTCCAGTTTTTGGTAGGACTTTGAAGAGTCTATATTATAATTATAATTTCAAATTGTTTAATCGAATTCTTTTTTAATTTTCAGGTAAAATCAAGGCAGATCGTGCAAAACGTGTATTCAGATATTTGCGTTGTCCTTCTTTTCCTCTTGAGCATTATGTGCAGTTTGCTGTGAATGATGCTGAAACCTTGGAGTTTATTAAATTCGGATTAGTTGTAGATGTCGATAGCGAAGGAAATCGGTGGATATATCACTCGTCATTTATTGTTCCCAAAGATTCTGAAATGGCAACTGAAAAGGATTCCGGAACAATTCTGTGGCGTAAGTTTTTCCCTTCCTTAATGTTATTATGTTCCATTATTTTATTTTTTTTTCATATTTCTATTCTTCAGATCGATGGATGGCGTCTCATTTTCCTCGAAAAAATTTTGATCTTAAAAGGTTATTTCTTTTTTTTTAATTAAAGGATTTCTAAATATTTTTTTAAATCTTAGGTTTCTAGTTCAATCAGCAATGCAATCATTTGGTAAGTAATGGGGAAACTGGTACTTTGCTGCGATCGAGATCAGGTACCGCGGATTCGATCCGTGTCATTTTGTTGGGAATAAGGTTGTCATCAAAAACGAAATCAGGGTAGTGATACAAGTTTTCTGACCAAACTAAGAGAAAAAAAAAGAGACAAAGGGAATTTCAGCCTATATTAATCAGTGGGAAGGGAAACGGAAAAATGGTCATGTAAGAAAAAATTTATTGAATAATTTTTGTGATTCTCTGTCACTTCTTCTATCATAATTTCAAACGAAATGTGGAATAGTTGCGTTTTCATATTTCAGCATATACTTACAAATTTTTATTATTTCAGAGTGTAAAGCGAGCTTTTTAGAATTTTGGTTTTCCTCAACAGCATTTTCAATACTATTCTTGATAAGAAATAACTGTAATGCTCACTTTTATTTTATTAGGTATTATGCAAATTATTTATTTTTAAATAATTAATAATAATTTCTGTCGTTCTTTTTTATTATTTACTGTGGAAGTCCCATAATTTTTAGATAAAGATCCATTTTTTGGTTTCATTTTTTTCTATTTTAAGGAAATATTAACGGAAGTTTTAAATTATTATTGTCATTTTAGTATCGTTTGTTTGTTTGTATTTGAGAGATGTACGATTTTTTTTTTAAACTGGATTTCTGGAAATTAATTAGTCCAATTATTTTTTGGTTGTAATTAGTGATAAATAGTAGAAGATTCTTCATACAGTCCATGCAACGGTCGGAATTAATTTAGTTTTACAGTTTGTTATTGTGATATATATTTTATATTTATGCGACACAGTAGATTCACAATGAGATGAATATTACTTTTTATGTACATACATAATTTATAAGTTTCCGGTGGTAAATTAACAGTTTGGGTCGGTGCGCTTTGAGCTAAAATTTTTCTTCCTCTTCTTGGCCATTAAATTTTTCTGGATTTCTTTGAAATACTTTATGTACTGTTTATTTCCATCAATTTTCTGCGAGATGTTTCATATTGGTTCATTAAAATAGACTTAATATAAATATATTTTATGTTTTATATAGATTAAATGAAATTAAATGGAATTGATTGGTAATAAAATACCTTGAAATTTAGTGGTAGCAACCTATTCACTTCTTCCATTTCTCCTGTTGTTTTGCTTTTCAAGTAAAATAAACGTGATTTCTGTACGCGATTTTCATTAAAAATTCGTCGCGATATATCTACGAATCTGCCATTAACAACTGAAAATTATTAAATTTTTACAAGCGAAATTTAATATACTGCATATTTTTTTTAAAAATTTCGTTTAATGAGTTCCCACACCATATTCAAATATGCGACAGATTGGGTTATGAATATTGCTTGGCCTCAATTGTGGCCATTGAGTTAGCCTTACCAGTAATGTTGCGAGCTGTTGGGCGAAAAAAAAAAGAATGAAGTGCTCTGGTTTATTATTGTGTGGTTTTATTCTAGAAGAGAAAATAATTGATTTTTGATCGCTTCGATTTTTTTCTTTTCTGATAAGTTTAAGTTTAAAAATTGCAATTTTGTATAAGAATAATTAATAAATTTAGAATAGATGAATTGCGTATTTTGTGTATTTCACATGATTCATAAATCATGAATACAAGGCTTACGAAACCAAAGGCCAATGTAAGAAGATTCAGGAATGATAATAACATACAACTCCTTCTGGTAGTTATAATTTAATTTTATATTTTATTAGGGCAAACCATTTACCGTGTCTCGATTGTTCGTAATTTTTCCATTTGCGATAAATAAAGCCAGCCGTTATGGTAATAATCAATGTAAACAAACATAAAAGAATAGAAGAGCAATGAGATAACAAGAAAGTTGAGAAGTTTTTCCTTTTCATAACTGATAGGTTCTTTGGATCTTCAGAAATTTTGCTGATATTTATTAAAATTGTTGGGCCTAAAAGTTTTAACCCTGAATTATTTAAATTAATTTTACCAAAGTTTATTCAATCGACTATGGAGCCATTGTAAGCGACAGGTAAATTATTCCGCTAAATTAAACTTAAATATTGCTCGGTGCTGGGGTGATATGTTGCTTCGCTGATGTTAAATACTTTAGGTTCGACTTCTGTTTGCTTACGAGAGTAAACATACCAAAAGTGAAATATTGGCGACCCACCTGCATTTCATTCTACCCACAGTGGCTCTTTGGCTGAATTACCCCACCGTAATAGTCAGAAAGAAATGTTGCTGCTCAAAATTCAAAGAAATGCAGCTAACTGAAGAAAAGGTGAAAATCATAATTCTGGTAGGCAATTATCGAACCTTTCGTTCTTGCAAAGGCGAATGTGCTTGTACTATTAATTCCTTTCTTATCTACAGCGATAACCCAAGTTTTATATTCAGTTGATGACTGGAGATTGTCCAGGATTATTTCATTTGTCGTACTATTCGTTTCCACCTAAAGTTTCGAAATATTGTAAAAAAAAGAAGCATGTTTCGTTGTTTCGTTACTTTAGCCTTATTTTATGAGTTGCAAATCACAGAAACTTGCAGTTTGATAAATCTTTGATAAATATTATGCAATACAATAAGTAAATATAAAATGGTTTACCGTAAATATCATATCCGAATTACTCGCTTGATAAGCAATGATGAATTTTGTGATATTACTGTAAAACGAAGGTGGTTTGTATATCCATTTCAAAAATAATGAATTTTCTTTTTTTTCATAGGCTCGAAAAGATAATATTCGAGGTCTGTAACTGGTGATACTGATTGGTTTATGAAGCCGGATCCAGCTAGATGGTTCACTCCAAATCATTGAACTATTATTGAACATTGCTTTTATTCGAAAACGATATCTAAATCTCCATAATTAATTATGGCAATTAAAAGTTAAGATTCAAGATTATTTTATTTTTTGTTTCTTTATTTTATTTTAATGTTAGAGAAATAACTGGTCATATAACATAATAACATAGTAAAATAAGCAAGTGGATCAGACATGGTTAAAATGGTAAAAAAACATTTCAAGAGAATATTTTCAACCGATAATGCCAAAATGGTGACTTTGGAGGAGTGAAGAAGAATGACTTGGAGAGTTTTTCCACAAAAAATAAGCTTTTGAGGAGCTATTCCAAATCGAAATTGCATGGTTTTAGGCCGTTTTCCTCCAGGAATAAATTAGATTGAACGATAGGATATGAAGTACTGAAATTAACTAATTCTGTTACCGATCGCTTTGAGAGAGGTCTTTTATCAAAGTTCTCCGATTGATTCGATCGAAACTTTTTGACACAGTCCATTCAGCACTTTCATTTTCCATTTGTGCCTCAACAAAAGTCTTCATAATATTTTGTTGGTCACTTATTGTTCCATTAAATGACCACTGCAGTTCAACGTCATTTTCTGCTGTTAGTCGCTGCACAGTGATTAGAAGGTTCTTTTTTACAGTATAGCCGTCTTCCTGAATTCAGATCATCACTTTGAATAATCAATTTTCCAGTTAATCACTGGTTTAGGCTTTTGATTGAACAATTTCTTTACCTGTAAGAGCTAGTTTTCTTTCAAGTTCTCTAACTGAGAGAGATTCAACTTAGAAGTTTTAAACCTTTTCTGCAGATCTTTACATACTTATTTATATATATTTACATCCTTTCCCTTTAGCCGTCTAGTGAAGCCTAAGGGGACTGAAGATTAAGGCTCTAAATAATGCATACAATAAAGTGATGTGTATTTGTATGAGTACATATATATATATATAAATATATATAAATAATGTAAAATGAAAATTATTTCTTATTGCAGTGCTTGGTAAATGAATAAAAAATTTAATTCCTATTACATGTGATTCCTATTAGTGATAAAGTAGGATTTTAATATAATATTGCTGCTCGATAAATATTTTTTTCAACCAAATTTCATGGTCTCTCTGAAATCTGCCCACAAATTGCTAAGACTTGATAATATAAGAATCACCTTAATTAAGGTATCATTATAGTTTTCTGGTGGTCGATTGTAAATGCTCCACAAATTGGGAATTATTGTTGTAGATAAGTGAAGTGACGCTTTTTCTGCAACGAATTTCATAAGTGAATATTCTACGGGGCAAGATATAACAACATAGCCAATGACAATAAGGAACTCCACAAGAAATGTATAGAAAACCATAGAATATAGAATATTGTAAGTCTGACCCATAACTTTAAGGTAAGCCTTTGATCTAGTGACATGATTAGAATTATCAGAAGCTTCGCAAGTATACCATCCTTCATCTTCTGGCTGAATATCCATTATTTTTAAAGTGGCTTTACCAACAAGTCTTATTCGTTTGTTACCAATTAATGCCACCCTTTTACCATCTGAAATCATACTTCATCAAATTCCTAAAAAAAATCGGGAACTGCTACCTGTTATTAGAAACCATATATGCATCTGTGCCTTACCATATGCATACATATATGTGTTTGAGCGAGTGTACCAGAGGGTATATAAGCTCACTTATGTATATTAATATGAGTCCATCAAAAGTTCTTCCGTCTGTCCGTTTGTGATCGAAGGAGTCATAGGAAATGATAGGGATGCCAACCGAGTTTGATGGGGAATTTAGCAATCGAAAACAATGTGTGAAAACGTTCTTTATTTTTGAGTGAAAATGATTTTGTATAATTTTTACTTAGCTTACTAAAATGATATAGAAAAATACTTTTGATTCAATTTTTTGAATAGTTTCATTGTGTTTATTTTAAAGTTTTAGGTTGATTTTATTAATCTATATAATTAATCTATATAATTAATGGCAAATGTTATAATCTGTCAATCGTAAAGGTTTTAGTAAATCTTTCGATGTTCAGCCAATGCTCTGTTGTTCATCATTATAACATCAATGTTGTCGCCATAGAGAAATTTCTCCATTCTTCTTCGTCATATGCAAAAATGGCCAGTTAATGGCCAATCGAGCAACGCAAATATTGGTTCCAAATTCGTCTTTGCCTCAATTATCTTTTGCCTTATGAGCCAAAGGCTTGAGCTTAGATTTCCTGTGTATTTGTCTATCGTTCGATGGGCTTTTCTGTTTCTGGTATATTTCGAGAAAACCTAACCTTTAATCCAAAGAGTTCTTTTAGCATTTGGAATAACCAAACAAACAAGGTACACTGATTCACCGATATATCTTGTCGAATTATCAGGCCCTTGCGATATTAAGTTTTGTTGACTTTTAGCTTTATTGTCAACATACAAGTTCATTGCACGACCTCTTTCTAAGCCATTGCCATAAATTTCAGCCTCGTCCATTGCTGGCCTAGATATACACTAAAAATAAACTTTAGAAACCATAAACTTTGACGAATTATCGGGCTCAATAAATAAGCTTAGAAATTTGAGTTAGAAGTTGTATAGAATTTGTATTTGAATATATATATTTCTGCACTTTTTCCTTGGCCACAGTAAATATAATGAAATTCCATGGGACAAGAAATTCATATGAATTCATATGGGTTCATATGAAATTTTTTAGACTTAATTAATTTCATTTTATCATTTCTATTATTTACTTTTCATTAAATGGTATATGGACAACATAATCTAAGGTCAAGATTCGATTCTTGCACATTGATTCAAAAGAATCTATCATTAGAAATCATTAAAAGTAAAATCCAAGGGATGCCAGTCCACCCACTCAATTTCTATTGCACTTCTATCTTTAAATAATTTTGGTGAAGGGGTCTGAACATTGGTGAGAGCCAAAGCTAAATTAGAAGAATAAGATATATTGAAAAACTTTCAAATATTCAGTTAACTAACCTGTACACTTCCAGAGAGTGCTACATTTGGTGTAAGTGTAGCATTGATTGGATTTGTGTAAAAATTCGTTTGCATTGAAAATCCTAGTTGATTCATAGCAATTACTAGAGGAACGCCATTGATATAGACCATAGGAATTTCGTAATGCAGATTTAAAGCCAGACAACTCAGCTGGAAGTTTTCCTCATTTGTGTGTTTTGCTAAATTCATCTGGAATAGTTATAAGTTTAAAAGTTGAATACAAATTGAATTTTATAGAATCTTATGAAAAACCTTCCAAAATTTTTCTTTGTCGCTTTGCTCGAGCATTAATTGAACATCGGTAGGAGCATGTACTATTAATTGGTAAAAAACTTTTGGAATTTCTGACAAATTATTCGTATTAACTGGATATCCTTCACATACGTATACACCATCGTCAGCTTCGTTCAATAAATTTATTACTAAATTTCCTGATATCTGTTGAAATCTTAATCGATCGTTGTTAAAAACGAGTCCGGAAGTTGATGGTTTCACCTGAATATCGCTGCTTCACATAAACATTCACTAGAATTGTTGGAAGGTCGTTTTAGAAACTCATCAACCGACCTTTGTCCACATTATTCTAACATTTAACATCATACATTCTAAAATAACAGTTTTGCCTTTGACTACATGCAAAATAATTGGTTCGAAAACAGACGATTTTATTTTCGGGTAAATGAGCACTGGAAAAGTGAGGTTAATTCGTGCAGATACGACCTGGAATCAAAAATTTAATTACCATAGTTACCATAAATATTTCTCTCTTGGTTGTTTCATATACCGAAGGATATATTTCTTACCTCCAATCTTACTGGGTACGGTGATTTCCTTGTTTTATTTGTAAATAAATTAGTGACAACGCAGTAATAGTCGCCGCTATCAGAGACCATCGAGAAAGCAATCTGCATTCCGCTCGATGTCAATAAAAACCTTCGGTCACCTATAAAAATTTCAGTATTTTTTTTCATAATGCACTCATTCAATTGTGCACAACGCCTACTCGTAAATCACTGCTTGAATTCTAATAAATTTTTCTATGGCATATACAATTATACTATTCGTTTCATAAAGATAAAGGAAATTAATGGAACCAGTCTAACAAATAATGGTGGTACTGTTCGGAAACGAAGATTTCATGAAAAATAAACGTTTCATATAAATGAATATGCCAATTTTTTTGTGGTGATTATTTGTCTGATTTGTTTAATGTGGAAACCAATTTTGTAACATAGTTAAATATTCAAAGTAAAAATAGTTCCCAAAAAGTCTTCGCATCTGTTAATAATAAATAATAAAATTGAAAAATATAGTATCAAAAACTGCTTGAAAACCTGACAAGCCAAGTTTTTTGACATTTTCATCTTTTTCGAAGTGAATTCCTGGAGGATTTGGTACGACATCAGGCATTCCCAAACAAGGAATTCGTATTGCTTGTGGTTGATAAACTCGTATTGTCTACACTGCTTTCATTTTAAATTTTGAAATTATTTTTAATTATATTTTTGTTCGGATATCTATTTATTCATATTACTTTTTCAGATTTAGCCGCATAAAGTAATATCTGAAAATATCTAGCAATGGCACGCAAGCAATGCAGTAGCATTGGACATTGGAACTTACTTCTATATTAACTTTCTCGAATTTACTGATTCTTGCTTTCCGAAATTTCACAGGTGCTGATACAAGCTGTGTATCAATGTGTAAGCCATTAGATATACGAATTCCACGAATTAAAGAGGAACATTGATAGTCACCTTCTGGTTGATATTGATTATTCAAAATACGTAAGCTGGAATTGGAAAAGCTGGAAAACTGGAAAAAACTAGAATTTTTCCAATTCAAAATTGATAACACTATGAATATCCATCTAAAAAAAATTACGTTGGCCCATCAGCAATAAGTTCATTTCGTACACGATCAATGCAGTTTTCGATTGGAGTATTGTCTTTAATCCACTGCACACTGGCTATTGTAGCACCACGCCATCCAGGTTCTATTTGACATGATAAGTCAATTTCTTGGTTTTTTATTAAGTAATACTGGTCAGCATGAAGAATTAGACGAGGGATTTTGAAGATCACTAAATTACAATTAATATTAAATAAAAGCTATTAATATTAATATTAAATAATATTAATTAATAAATAAATTAAAAAAGCAGATATTTCAAATTCATTACAATATTTTGCATCTATTTGCTTCTGAAAACACTTACTGAAGGGGCTTCTTCAAATCAGATGAAATCACTCACTGTTTTCCGCTTCCATATATTCTGAAGTCGTAAGAAGAAAGATAATCTTTACGAATGAAAGCATAATATTTGCTTCGAATAGATATATTCGATTTAACAGTAATCAGTTGCAATCCTCAGGAGTATAAGCAAATATTTCTATGAATTTCTTTAAAATTCGCGTTCGTCAAACCATTTGTTGATCCTCACAGCTTTGTTCGAAAAAAGTACTCGAGCAGTCGCGCTATCGTTAAAAATTATGGGCTAATTACTAATTAATCATTTGAATTAAAATGACCACTTTTTATGTGAAGGATTTTAGGCGGCGTGCAGAACTCGCTACTAGCCGGGGCTATTTTACCCAGCAAAAATAACAATAGGATGAGAGGAAAGGAATGAGCTAAAGTTATGACAAATATTATAATATTAATGACAAATATTTATACTTAAAAGCACAGTGATAGTTTTGAATTTTTCTTCATTTTAAAATAAAAATCTAATAAACTACCTTTTTCATAATTGGATGTACAAAATATTGAAAGCAATCTGCAGATACGTTAATCTCTATATAACTGTACTGTAGCACTTACACTTAGCGACACTTTTTAAGGAATATGAGAAAAATAAATTGTCAAGGAAGTTTCTGAAGCTAAAGTTTTAATTCATAATGCCGGAATATTCTGTGCGCCAGCGAGGTAATCCAATTCAGCGCTCATCAATTTTAGTCCCATTTGTAAGGCATTTACTGCAGCATGCATAAATAAATGAAAAAACGATTGAATGACAAACTGCATCCTGACTGCACAAGCTTCTAATAAGATCTCTAATAGCCAATAAAATAGGAAGAAAGAGGTAGAAGCGATTAGATCAAATTAAATTTTAGAGATAAGAAATATCTACTTGGTCAGTTATTTTTATACTTAGAAAAAAGCATGCCTCGCCAACTATGACAAAAGGAACTTTTGCAGGAACTTTTTTTTCGGGTCACATACAGGCTTTTACTATGTTAGAGTAAAGTAATAATTAAAAGCATTCCTATCTCTACTTACGCTGCCGGCTATTAATATGATCAGCAATTTTTGCGAGTCCACTTGGTGAGATACGTACAGGTAGATTTTTCATGGCAGACTTACTCCTGTCGAGAGTAAGAGCCGAACAGTGCCTCTGAACTCGACAATTCACGGTCCACTCTAATATCCAATCCATGAAGAATAGCAATCATAGATCACAATTGTTTCAAAAAAATTGGCATGCAAAAATTGATTAATCAGTAGTCAACACAATCACAATTTTACTACAATTTTTTGTTGTAATTTTTTGTTGTTTTGTTGGTTTTTTACGAATATTTTTTAATCCATCATACAAATAAATTTATGATATCATATTCTAATTAAGGGACCTTCATAGATCACAAATCAAGTTAAATGGCTTTTCTTTTCTTTAACTTTTCCCATTTCTACTTTTTCATAAAATATTTATTATTATTAATTCATTTTTATTTATTTGAAAGGGCGAAAAGCGCTATGTGCTTACAATTAACAACTGACAAGTCGAATAAAATGGGCGTTAACGGCACATAATCGCATGCTGAAAGACCGAGATTTCAAATTCCCCACATAATTTGAATTTTTAAGTAACATCATGGATGATACATGGATAATACTCAATCTTTTTAAGGATAATACAGACTAAAATTATGTCATTTGATAGCATATTCCAGTAATTGTCGAAAAAGTCATGAGTTCTAAGTCATGAGTTTTGCATATAAGTTTTAATAATTTTAGCCCATTAGATCTTGTTGGGTTTTCACAAATTTATAAAATCATATTTGGAACAATCTAATTTGAAATAGCTATACAGAATTTTATATGCATAAATTAAAACTTGTTTAATTCACTGAATTAGAAGACTATATATCGAAAAAGATCACTGAATTACTAAATGAATGAAGTTAACATATTAATTAGTTAAGAATACTATTAGCAGAGAGACGATGTAAGAATTTCTGGTGTTTTTCAATTAATTTACTTGATTTGGGATGCCTAGGTGAAAAACAGGTTGCATCATATTCAAGGAAAGGTCAAGCGAACGCTTCGATAAGAAATTTTTTCATTTCTATCTTTAAACAATGGAACAATAAAATTTGTGTAATTCTTTTAGTAAAAATTTAGCAAATTTAGTAAGGATTTCTTTACTACAGTTTTGCAATGAAGGTCAAAATCAAAATTTTCATCCAGAATTATAATCTGATAAGAAATTGCCAAGATCTCAGAAACATTTTTGTACTGCAATTTTTTATTATTATTTTAATGATTGTTATATTAATAGTATGACTTTATCATTATTATTAATTGTTATTATTAATTATTATTATTATCATTCTTAAATATTAATATTGTATAAAAAGATGGATATTATTAGTTATTAAGCTTGTATTACACTTATTGTATGGCAAAACAACAGTTCAAAAAACATGATTAATCGAATTTAGAAAATCGAATTTATAATTTTCAGTATAGAAGAATATATCAAACAATATGGTACATGTGGCCTAACTTTAATTACCTAGAATTACGCTTCATCTGAATAGATGGATATAAATAAGCGGAAGGGAACTGAAATCGTTTCGTAATCGAACTCTTTTTTCGAAGAAAAGTGCTAATAAAAGCTCAAAACATGATTTGAATGAGGAGGAAGACGAAACGTTTAAAAATATATTTCACACTGAGAATTTGTAAAATCTATTAATTAAGAGAATTAAAGAAAGGCGAACAAAAATTTTCAAGTAACCGGTTTCTATCAACTTTAATCATAGCGATGAACGATTGAAATTCCATAATAAAACAAGTAAATAGCGAATTTACAGCCATTTAAAGTTTTTGCTTCCTTTTTCATCATAATCAACTCTTTACGAATGCTTTATTATTACATGCATCATTTTAAATCAACTTTCCGCAAATAATAATCGAGAAAAGCTTGAGAAAATCAACACTCCCTTAAAGTGCTATTTTAAAAATCGGATTGACTTGATCAAGTCAAAATTCGTAGTGATTAAACAATGAACGGAAAATTTGAGCAAGTGATTTGACCAGTGCACCGTTACGCCTGCTTGACTAAAACTTATGAAGCCTTTTCATTTGCTAATTTCACCTCCCAGTGCTCCAAATAAACATCGAGATTTTCTTCTAAATCAGATTTTTTTTCATTTTAGAGCCATAGTCCGCTTTTTTAGAGGTTAACTGTAGCAAAAAAACCGTATAAAAACTGATTTTTGAATATGCAGTAAACTGCATAAAATATTCATTAAAAACGATTTGTTATTTGTTACTATCCAAATAAAATATATAATTATAAGTAAGAACATATAATTATAATCAGTATTTTTGAAAAACAGCGAAAGCAAAGGCTATTATGGGGCCGTAAAAATGGAAAATGGAAAGATAAATTCGAACCAGTAGTTAACTTGCCTTATCAATAAATTAATTATACAATAAGGGATTAATAAAAAGGAGGAGGTCGATAATGCAGTTCTCATAACCCCACAGTGATAGTTCAATAGCAATATTGTGTCGATCTATGGGTTCGAATCCATCCGGAGTATCACGCATTCGTTGAATGGGAGTGTCGCGAAACGGCAAAAGGAAAAAGGCTGCTACGAGGTCTGAAAAATTAAAAATGGGTCCTACCTAACATTTACCTTATCAACAAGTTCATTATTAATGATAAATGAATAGAAGCTTGACAAGGCAGTTTTAACGAGTTCAGAATAGTGTGTCGTAGTATGTGGCGTGCCAAAATTCGAATCAGCAAAAGAATTTGGTATTCGCAAGAAACTTGGGAAATGGGGCACAAAAGATACGAAAAGGTGTCGACAAATGGCCCAATGAAGGATATAAGCGTCAGAGGCGGAGCCCAAAGGAGTGGAAACGGGTCGACCTTCTTGCTTTCTCCGTTTCGCAGCAAATCGGTTTCCACACACCCTCTGAGAGTCACAACGAGTCCTGGAAGACCCGTAGAAGGTGTTTGTCGGCCACTGCTCTAATCTATGATTTTTTGTCATTCAAAGCACATGAATCCTAAGCAATATTTCAACCAATTGTCACTTTCAAATATTTTCAGATGAACCCATTTTTCATATTCAGTGAAACGTAGCGCTAGCCATTTGTTATATTGTAAATGTTTGGATTTTATTTCTTTCTTTTTGCTCGGAATTCATCTCTGACTTTTAAACACGGAGGGTCATAAAGCTGTAATGTTGCGAAGCCGAGGTGAAAAAATTATGTAATGTTTCTTCGTCTTCAAACTACCATTAACTACCATTAAGTATTAGTGAAATATGGACATTAACAAAAATTTATTAGAAATTCAACAAAAATTTGCATAAATGGGAAGGAGTTTTTGAAATGAAATTCATATGCAATTGTGACTGTAATCCATAAATTAAAAATTTAAAAAAATGGGGTCTTAATACGATATTATATTTACTGTGAAATTTTTTTTAAAATTATTATGTTTTATTATATTTTTGCATTTTTATATTTTTTGTCATTTTGATTTTGTTTGTTATCATTTTGATATTATATTTTTTGTATAAAAGAAAATTCATATGAAAGGTTGTGGTATTTCTTTTTTTTGCTGTGGCTCATTGTTGTTTTTTTTTTTTTTTTGAGTTAGTTAGTTGGGATTCCAAATACTTTCAGATCAGTCCAATTTACTAATCCATGGATGCGAATAATAGTGAATAATTAGTAAACGAGAGCGAATACAAGAAGACTGTTTCCAATGAATGTTTCCAGTGAAATAACACGTCTTATGGACGTAAAGAATGTTTCGTTCATTGAAAAATAAAATAAACTAAATAATTTTGATTAAGAATAAAGTTTTCTGTGTTTATGAACATTTCTGAAAAATCAAATCTGAAAAATTTACTAATGGCTTAATGCTTCTTCAGTACCAATATATCTGTCTACTGTGAAATTTTGACGAGGATTTAATATCAGATCCCTTTAGATCTCTTTATAGCATTTCGAGCACTTCGAATTCAGTTACTTTCATTTTTGGCAAATTCCTATGGTATCAGCACCTATATTCACCATTTCCTATTATTATACATCTTCATAAATACTAATCCCCGTCTTGTTTATCCAGTATAATCGCATAAAATACATATTTTTTCTTAAAAAGTGATTATTTCTTGGAAAAATAGTGTAGATAAATGAAAGTGTAGATAAATGAAAATGTCTTTAAATATCTTGAATCCACTGTAATCCTAAATGGCCAGGGAAAGGATGAAATTGTAATTCGGATAACGACAGCTAGAAATGTGTTTTCCGGTTAACGAAATCTTTATGGAGCTGTCGCGAAATCACCATAAAAATGAAAATCGGAGTTCATATAGATGCATTTCTCTCGATCTTGCTATATGGCTATGAAACATGGTCAATAAGAGTGGAAGATAAGATAAATTATCATCCTTTGAAATGTTGCAGTTCTATGGCGGCAGGATAAATATGTACGGAATAAATTTGACTCGGCCTTTGACCACTCATGTCTAAGATTTTACGGTCCGTCGAGCGGATAGAATCGCTCATTATGTCCATATTCGCTCAAATACCACCTCAAAATATTAATAATGTCATCAGAGAGCGTCGCTTTTGCTGGTTAGGACACATTCTCCGTCGTCCACCATAGGAGTTAACACATATTTCGTTGTTTGCCGAACTATGATGGTTGATGTCAAAAACGAGGAGAGCCAATCAAGACTTGGAATGATACGGTTAGAAAAGATTTGAAGGTATGGGAGGATTAGATTAGTGATTAGCGATTTATGGACTCAGATGGTGGAAAAAGGAATGGGTTCTATTATTACTAGCGATGGACCGAGCAACTTGGAAATATCTTACCCTTCTAGCCAGGAGGGCCAGCTTAACCAGTAATGCTGAGAACGTTAGAGGAAGAAGAAGTAGATAAATGAAGGCAGACGCGAATGAAAAAAAATCTCAGCCTATAGGCCAAATTAAAAAGTAGCAGTAAAGAAATATAGTATCGCGAAATGCGATGTTTCTATTTATGTTTTTATTTCAAATGTATTATTTCAAACCGATGTCCTCGAACCGCCAATGAAAACTTTTTTAATCGATTTTTTGGTTATTGCGCTTTATATATCAATAAGACATAAAGGACAATCTACAGTATATGTCGTATATTATGAAAATCTTTCTTCTGCACTTTAGGTCGCCATATCGTGCTTCTGCCCATGTTTGGCGCCATTAAGGGACCTAAGCGGTTGGGTCCCAATATTAATGTTTTAATACTAATATTAATGTTTAAAACATTCATTCGTTTAATGTATCCTTTGTCTATTCATTCTTTTCCTTTGTATTACCTTTTAATCTATTGGTTTAATTACCCAAGTTTGAGGTAACGAATAAAGATTTTTATTATACGTGCGGCGATCATGTGTTCTTTCTACTGTCCGTATAAAGCAGTCGGATCGAGGTTATCTTACATTATTAAGGCGTGGCAGGCGAGCATCATCCCACTGCTTCCAATAAATAATTTTATTAATCTATTTTTTATATATAGTATGGTGAACGTGCATTGCTTCTCATCTGTAATGCAAATATGTGGATAAGCCTGGTAAAAAAGAAGTGTGCAACATTTTATACAACACTAATTATGTCAACTTAGTAAAATCATCTTAAGTAAAGTTCATTTTACATGGATCATTTCGTTCAACAATCTCGACGTGGAATTGGTCAAACACGACCTGTTGGATGGAAAAGCATACCACCACCATGTGAAGCTGTTCGTGCAAAAATTTTAGAAAACATTAGACTTCGACAACAAAAAGAAGAGAAAGGTAGTCTCTGAAAATAATTTTAATTCTTTTGCTGTTTTCTAAATATTAATTTCCACTTGTTTTAAGTTGCTCAAAAAATTATTTTTTATGATTCCATCTGAAGTTTATTTTGGTTTCTTTGTCGAATGGATATGGTAATATTTCACGTATGGTTTGATTTTGCAAATTGCTAATTGCTCTATTTTTGTAAAAAGAAGAATAAAGTTAAATGAATTTGAAATTATTGTAATTATACACTTTTTCGATATATTTTCAATTGTTGTTCTAGTTTTTTAATTGAAATTATTTGCAGATCGAGCTATGCGTGTTGCGCGCGCAAAAGAACGCGAAAAAAAGGTTGATATGTGCACTTCTCATCAAGAAGAAATCGCGAAAATTGACATCAAAGTAAGTAACTTTTTGATATTTTGCCTTCAAAGAATTAAAATTTTATTCGAACAGTTTCACAGTTTTGCTTTTCTCAACTTAGTTTTTAGTTTTTTTTTACTTGTGAAATTGATATTTTCTGTTTACAGATAAAATCGATTGATGAAAGAATCTTCGAATTGGGAGTTTTAAAATCTAAAATTTTTTCTGAACTAAAAGAAGTTGTGGCCAAAGAAAAGATTGAACGCAAGAAACAATCATTGTGATTATTTATTTATTTATACACTTTTACTTTTATACACTTAATAACTATCACTAAGTAATTCTTGGTTCCATACAATATTTTGCAAAGTGTTTTTTTAGAAATTTTTGGAATTTCGAAATTTTGAAATTTTTATTTTATGTAATTAGAAAAGAAAATGAAGACAGTATGGCTAAATTATTTAAACTAAGAGATGAACCATGGTTCGCCATCAGTGACTGGATAAGAAGAGTTAGATTCTTATCCAGAAACAATTATTTAATAAAATTATTTTGGAGAAACATCAGATGTTACTATTCGCACCTAGCAATAGCACTGTATTTGATGGAAATTGCCCAAACGAATGCAAACATTCAAAACAATAAATGAAGACATGAAGATAGTATGTATTGAATTGAATCTTTCGCGGTATCAAGTATAAATACATATGGCAGCTGACAATTTATCGAAAAAAAGTCTGCAGGAATTTTTCTTTACTCACAGATGCTCTCAATTTGAGGGATATTGAGGATGAGTTTTGGCAGAGAAAATTTCCTATTCCGCCTCCGTGCAGTAGTGTTTATTGCGCAATAATAATAATAGTCAGTGGTGCAATCATCAATTAGCAAGCAGAATTTTAAATAGTTCAGTTATTCAAGTACCGCAATTTATTTAATTATCTTTGTTCATCAAATGAATTTCTAACCATTCAAAAAATTCAAAGTTTTCCCTTAATTTTTAGTTTGTTTCAAACAGTTTTACGATAAATGAATTTAGCCTGTTTTAATTTAATTTTTGAAGTCATATCCCTATCCTTTCTCTTTTACATATTGTTCATTCGTCGAAAATGTGAAAATGTGATCGGTGTGCCCTTCGTTGTTATTAAAATTTATCATTATCATTATTTATCATTCTTTTTTGTTAATATTGTTATTAATAATGTACTATTACTAGTTTTACTATTGTTACTGGTTTCATACATTATTTTAGTATATTTGAACAAATAATTTTTAAAAATCAACTTATTGTAATTTTATTATTTATTTAATCCGTATGGTTGATTTATGGTTGAATTTTGGACGGATAGAGACTTTCACAATCCATAATTATCGAACAAATTCCGCATAGCGCGAAGAATTTTGGGATGCATGTCAAGGAACTTCAGTCAGTAATGTTTAGTTTCTTTCCAGTGTTGTCAGTTTTTAATTTTGATTTGAGATTATTAACTGTAACTGTAACATTTATAACAGTTCTATTACTATTCACCGTATCAAGCGAAATTTATCAAAATCCTTTGCATGAATATTTTTAATTTGTGTTTCCTTTATTAATATTCATTCTGCATAATGAATTTCTTGGTCTGATATCGGATTATTCCTTCATTTCCATGTTTCATTCCTTTGCAATCATATTTATTTTTACCAATTTTCTTTATATATTAGAGAATTTTTATCAAAGTCATTTATAGCTAAATCAAGCGACGTTGTTGATTGTATGATTACATGATTATAGGATCATTGTGTCTTAAGCAAGTTTTCTTACATAAAGACTACTACGATTGTTTATAATTTTTGTTCCTCTTCATTCATTCGAATTTTACGAGTCATTTCGATTTGTAATTTTTTACGAGCTGCTGTTGTTCTTCTCGTGATAGCCATCTCTGTCCGCACCACCACTTGTTATTTTTTTATAATTCGTTCAAGAAACCTCATGTTGCTGTGTTAGCAGGATTATCTCGGAGACGTAACGGGAGTGCGTTTCTGCCTTTGTTGCTTTTGTTTTATTCATGCGATTATAAAAAACGTAATTTATCCTCATTCTTTTCTGTTAAGAGCCAATAAATTACTATTTGTTCGACCAAATAAAAACTCATCTCTCATGTCCAATTGTTTTTGGACGTAATTTGCCATTATAATCCCGATTAATATTGCCATCAGTTCTGCTTCTTCTCTGGATAATCATTCCACTTATAGAGATCAACCATAGCAAATCCTATTTTCATTATGATGGTACTACTTGATATCATACATACAAGCCGTGTAAGCTCTCGCCGATGCATCCACAAAGCACTTGATCCTCCTTTAAGCGGAATTAATCGAGATTGAGCATTTCGTATTTCCAGAATTCTGTTAAGAGAATTTTGTATTCTTGAGTCATCTCATTTAACATGGTTTTCCAGAGTAGCTGTAGTGAGGCATTCATTTTAGATGTTTCAGTGCTAGCAATACAGGACTTATTAGTCCAAATTATCGTGAATCGAATTGTAACAATTTTCTTAATTAATAAATTTGGTTTAAATTAGCATTTGAATTGAGTATTTTTTTTTAATCGAATTCCTAGCTAGTTCCTAATTGATTGATTCAGGTTATATCTTGTCTTCTTTATTAATTGACTTGTTGAAATGCTGGTGAAACTTTGAATATTCCCTGATTCCGCCAAACAATTCATTTATCACTTTGTAATTTTGTAGGGCGTCTTTGGTACTCCCTGCCACCAAACAGAATAAATATCATAGCAAGACTATCCGTGCGATGCACCATCGACAGATAGCTTAGATAGACATTGAGAAATCCTACCAATGGCTGGAAAAAGCTGGATTAAAAGATAACACTGAGGCATCATAGTGGGCACGAAGCACCAGATCCATTGAAGCAGAGATCTACCACACCAAACAGGATTCTAGGTGCAAATTGTGGAAACATCTCAGAAAAAGTCCAACAGTATGTAAAATGTGAGCAATACATTGAAAGACATAGCCAAATAGCTGGCATCATCTATCGGAGCATCTGCTCGGCATATGGCTCCCAAGACTGGATGGGAGAAAACTGTGGAGAATGATAAGGCGAAGATCCTGTAGGACTTCTTCATCCAGGCAGATGAATTAAGTATCGATCGACCAAATATCGTGGTAGTATACAAGAATCAGAAATCGGCACTGGTGATAGATATGGCTCAATGGGTTGTTGCTCGATTTGGAACGCCGATGCTGAGGTTCGATTCATCGCAGGAATAAACCTGTACAAAAATCCAGGTGATACTGGCAACTCATCTGTATTTCTATCGCCAAGGGACTCTCTGGAATATTGCTCAATGTGACAAACCATTGGAGCGAATTTAACCAGTAATGGTGAGGACTCTTAAAAAAAAAACTGATAAATATGCCAATATCAAGTGATAGAGACGTCAGGTAGAAGGAACATGAGAAGATTAGAGAAGTACTGAGGGCTGAAAGAGGAACTAGAAAAGATGGAAACTAGAGCACTTGGAACTGTGACCCCTAAACTAGAAAAGTAGCTTTAGAAGATATCAGTAAATAATATTAAAGATCTTTATCCAGATAAATTTATTTAAGCTGTTATGAACAGGTGCTGCGTGGAATCCTCAATCTCCCAGACCTATGGTGGAAGACCCGAGGTTAAGGATCATCATCACCCACGAAGTGAGAAAGAAAATTTTTTTGACAATATTTATTCCCGCTTTAAGTTTATCTTCTATTTTTTCTATTTTATTTATTTTCGTTTTTTTCTATTTTCTATTATTTTTCATCCTTCAATTTTTTGTCTTAGTTTTTTTATAGGAGTATATACCTATCATGATATCAAACATTCGGGTGAGTGCTGGAGACCCACCTATAATTTATCCCCAAGTGACTTTAAGGTGAAGGAGTCTGATGACACTGCGTCCGCCTCCTCCGATACGCATGGTACTCCCAGCGGGTGGTACATGCAATAAGTATGCAATCCTCAAGACTTAAGAATGTCATTTGCTCGCGAACCAAGATAATTGCTTGAAATTTTTCAAAGAAAACTTGTCAATGCAAATTGCACGCACGATGAGACCTTAGCAGCGTGGAACATCAGAACGCTTTCGGACCAAGCGATCATTGTTCACACTTTTTCTAAATATCGCGTGGAATCATATGCTTGGATACACGTCTTCCTCATTTTGTTTCTAGAGTAATTATTAAACTTGGCTTCTAGAGTAATTATTAAACTTGAGCAGAGATAGTATATCACTATGTTGTTTCGGAAAACTTGGAGCGAAATGGCGTAGCGATTATCGTGAAAAAACTCGCCCGCTGTGATTGAGTGGAAACTGGTAAAAGACCATATGGTCTATACCCCTTCTATTTCTGCAATATTCCGGTCATCAAAGTATAATTTGTTCCAATTTTGTTCACAAATGACTTGATAAGGATAAGTTCTATACAGACTCCAACTACTAAAAACATCGAAAAGTAACATGGTCATAATGGAGAGAGACTGTGGGCGTAGGTCGAACTCGATAATTGGTAAATATGGCATCGGAATCAGGTGTGTGAAAACTTTTTATTTTTTAGTACTAATACATGCTTCCGGTATCATCTAGTCACGTAAATTTTTCAGATAACGAAAACTTCAATCAGATTGATTGCGTCTTAGTCAGTTGCAGTTGGAAGAGTTCCGTACTAGTCGTTTCTATCTGGATCCGAAACTAGCAACCTTTATGGATCAGACCATCTTATCTTTCGAGTCAAGATTCTCATAAAACTGACAACTCGCAAGAGACGTCTCCTAAGATCCTTCAAACCTTCCTTCAGCTACCTCAAACTAAAAGAGAATAAATGCATTATTGAAGCACCTCAGTGAAATGGATATCAGCAATATCTTTGAAACGGCAGGTGAGTACTAGTCTCAAGGCATGTCTCCGAAAATCAGCCACATATTAGGATGTTTTGAAGAAAAACTGGTCAAGCAAATCCGAATGTTGGAAAAAACTGTCAAAGCGAATATCAAGAGATCCTGACTATCGAAGAATTACAACGATAACAATATGGTGGCACAGAAATCGCTATTGGGGCGATATGGCTTTGAAAATGCAGACGGCAGATTAGGCGATGATAGGATTTCGCCTTATAAATCAACATCAACTTTAACTTCAGGAATGGATAGTGAAATGATACGGGATAATAATGGTGTATCTGTTAAGGCTAAGGCTATTGCCTTGTAATGTGGATAGAATTCTTTTTAACCAAACTTAGCCACGATTCGCCATGTTGTCCCAGATAAGAATCACTCGCCGAGCCATATGTTTGCAACTGCAAACAGCCAGCAGAATAAGAAATCACCTCTGTTATCCAGAAGCTTAAGGCCTATAAAATTCCTGGAAAAGATGGTCTTCGGGCCGAACTCTTTAATGTTATCCATTGTCCTTCATATCACACCTTCAACAAATGTACTTTCTGGTATGAAATTAATCAAGAATTATTAAGAATGAATATTGCCCAATAAAAAGAGAAATACTGTTAGCTTACTAAAAAACAATAATTATTGCACAAATTCTTGCAAGAAAATGAAATAATAACAGGTGACTGGAACAAAGTAGTTCTACCTCCAATTCCTAAGAAAGGTTCTTTCCCCTATAGTATTCAACTATGCGATAGAATGAATAATGAACCGGTTGTCTGCATTCAAGAATTGTAGTCAGTTCAGAGCATGGTAAGATAGATGGAACATGCTAATTGCTGTCAGTTATGATGAAAGGCAAAGGCAAATACTAAACAACTGCAGCGAGAATCATACTCAAATACAGATAAATAAAACGAAAATCTTTTTGTCTACAAGAAGGCGATAATATAGCTATTTTTATCAATTCACTGCCGATTAAGGAAGTACCAGACTTTAAATTCTCGTATCCATTCTAATCCCATATGGTGAAGTGAAAAACAGTAGCTAAGAATGCGTTCTTCTGGTTGACAAAACCTTTATGGATCGTTGCGAAATCAAAACAAAACGCATAAAAACGAAAGTCTGCATCTATTTAGTTTAGTTCTGCTTGATCTTGTTATATGGCCAATGAGAATGGAAAATTAAGAATTTATCTATCATTTCTAAGATACATTATGCGAGTTCGCCGAATAGATTAAAATTTCATATGACTGCATCCGCTTTCTTCTAAAATATCACCTACATTAACAATACCATCACAGTGCGTGACCTTCGTTGGTTAGGTCAAGTTGGAAAGATTTTGAACTTATAGTGGACTAGCGATATATGGACTTAAATGATAGAAAAAAAATAGCTTCTATTCCTTTCTATTCTATACTGTCGACGATGGCATCGGATCGAAGAGTTTAAAGACATCTTGCCTTTGTTGCTTTGACTTTGGAGCTATTCTAACCAATAATGGTGAGAGCTGTTAGAAGATAATTTTACTTTCTTCGGTGATAATTTTACTTTCTCGATGCTATTTCCCAATTGTTATTTAATCAAATTGTCGTACTTTGCGAGCATCAGGTGATTGTCGAGAGTTACTATTGATTTCAAACATCCAAATGTTTTTCCGAAGTTGGAAATCTTGATTGATTTGTCCGTGGTAGCCCCCACTTGCTATCGTCCGTCTTCCAACGGCATTCTCTGAGAACCTTTGTAGAGCGTAGTCATCTAGTTAATCTGACATATCTGATGTTGCTTCATTCCGTACCTGATCTTGACATCAAAAGATCCTCAAGACCCTCATTATTTTTGATATTAATACTTATTTTTGATACTGATCGTTGTTGGCATAATTTTTCGTTTCAGCGTCCCTGAATCTGCCGAAAATTTTTCTATTTTATTTTTATGTTGATGGAATCCTTAATTCTGTAGTTCTAGATTTCTTAGTTCGAATTGTTGGTAGAAATTGATGCCAATTATTATTCCTGACTTCTAGAGGTATGGTCAGATGCTTGTTTCTTCTTAAATTCTCGTGTTCATTTCCTTTTAACTATATGTACTGACTGAATCACATGTATGAAGGTTCTAATTCTTATTAATAATTATTAAAGTATCATTCTCTTTGCTGACTCGAATTATCTTAAGTTTTTCGACTAGTGCATTTAAAATATATAAAGATTATGTCGAATAATATAATTACCGTTAAATCTCATTGTAAGGATTTCTTACCCTCGCTTTACAACACCTTAATAATATTGTCTGATTGCCATTAATTGAACATCGATAGGAGCATGTACTATTAATTGGTAAAAAACTTTTGGAATTTCTGACAAATTATTCGTATTAACTGGATATCCTTCACATACGTATACACCATCGTCAGCTTCGTTCAATAAATTTATTACTAAATTTCCTGATATCTGTTGAAATCTTAATCGATCGTTGTTAAAAACGAGTCCGGAAGTTGATGGTTTCACCTGAATATCGCTGCTTCACATAAACATTCACTAGAATTGTTGGAAGGTCGTTTTAGAAACTCATCAACCGACCTTTGTCCACATTATTCTAACATTTAACATCATACATTCTAAAATAACAGTTTTGCCTTTGACTACATGCAAAATAATTGGTTCGAAAACAGACGATTTTATTTTCGGGTAAATGAGCACTGGAAAAGTGAGGTTAATTCGTGCAGATACGACCTGGAATCAAAAATTTAATTACCATAGTTACCATAAATATTTCTCTCTTGGTTGTTTCATATACCGAAGGATATATTTCTTACCTCCAATCTTACTGGGTACGGTGATTTCCTTGTTTTATTTGTAAATAAATTAGTAACAACGCAGTAATAGTCGCCGCTATCAGAGACCATCGAGAAAGCAATCTGCATTCCGCTCGATGTCAATAAAAACCTTCGGTCACCTATAAAAATTTCAGTATTTTTTTTCATAATGCACTCATTCAATTGTGCACAACGCCTACTCGTAAATCACTGCTTGAATTCTAATAAATTTTTCTATGGCATATACAATTATACTATTCGTTTCATAAAGATAAAGGAAATTAATGGAACCAGTCTAACAAATAATGGTGGTACTGTTCGGAAACGAAGATTTCATGAAAAATAAACGTTTCATATAAATGAATATGCCAATTTTTTTGTGGTGATTATTTGTCTGATTTGTTTAATGTGGAAACCAATTTTGTAACATAGTTAAATATTCAAAGTAAAAATAGTTCCCAAAAAGTCTTCGCATCTGTTAATAATAAATAATAAAATTGAAAAATATAGTATCAAAAACTGCTTGAAAACCTGACAAGCCAAGTTTTTTGACATTTTCATCTTTTTCGAAGTGAATTCCTGGAGGATTTGGTACGACATCAGGCATTCCCAAACAAGGAATTCGTATTGCTTGTGGTTGATAAACTCGTATTGTCTACACTGCTTTCATTTTAAATTTTGAAATTATTTTTAATTATATTTTTGTTCGGATATCTATTTATTCATATTACTTTTTCAGATTTAGCCGCATAAAGTAATATCTGAAAATATCTAGCAATGGCACGCAAGCAATGCAGTAGCATTGGACATTGGAACTTACTTCTATATTAACTTTCTCGAATTTACTGATTCTTGCTTTCCGAAATTTCACAGGTGCTGATACAAGCTGTGTATCAATGTGTAAGCCATTAGATATACGAATTCCACGAATTAAAGAGGAACATTGATAGTCACCTTCTGGTTGATATTGATTATTCAAAATACGTAAGCTGGAATTGGAAAAGCTGGAAAACTGGAAAAAACTAGAATTTTTCCAATTCAAAATTGATAACACTATGAATATCCATCTAAAAAAAATTACGTTGGCCCATCAGCAATAAGTTCATTTCGTACACGATCAATGCAGTTTTCGATTGGAGTATTGTCTTTAATCCACTGCACACTGGCTATTGTAGCACCACGCCATCCAGGTTCTATTTGACATGATAAGTCAATTTCTTGGTTTTTTATTAAGTAATACTGGTCAGCATGAAGAATTAGACGAGGGATTTTGAAGATCACTAAATTACAATTAATATTAAATAAAAGCTATTAATATTAATATTAAATAATATTAATTAATAAATAAATTAAAAAAGCAGATATTTCAAATTCATTACAATATTTTGCATCTATTTGCTTCTGAAAACACTTACTGAAGGGGCTTCTTCAAATCAGATGAAATCACTCACTGTTTTCCGCTTCCATATATTCTGAAGTCGTAAGAAGAAAGATAATCTTTACGAATGAAAGCATAATATTTGCTTCGAATAGATATATTCGATTTAACAGTAATCAGTTGCAATCCTCAGGAGTATAAGCAAATATTTCTATGAATTTCTTTAAAATTCGCGTTCGTCAAACCATTTGTTGATCCTCACAGCTTTGTTCGAAAAAAGTACTCGAGCAGTCGCGCTATCGTTAAAAATTATGGGCTAATTACTAATTAATCATTTGAATTAAAATGACCACTTTTTATGTGAAGGATTTTAGGCGGCGTGCAGAACTCGCTACTAGCCGGGGCTATTTTACCCAGCAAAAATAACAATAGGATGAGAGGAAAGGAATGAGCTAAAGTTATGACAAATATTATAATATTAATGACAAATATTTATACTTAAAAGCGCAGTGATAGTTTTGAATTTTTCTTCATTTTAAAATAAAAATCTAATAAACTACCTTTTTCATAATTGGATGTACAAAATATTGAAAGCAATCTGCAGATACGTTAATCTCTATATAACTGTACTGTAGCACTTACACTTAGCGACACTTTTTAAGGAATATGAGAAAAATAAATTGTCAAGGAAGTTTCTGTTTCTGAAGCTAAAGTTTTAATTCATAATGCCGGAATATTCTGTGCGCATAGCTAGTTACGATGTGCTTCCCCTTATCTTTCTCCTCGTTTTTTGTATAATGCTAATAGCAGTGTTAACATTTCGGCACCCAGTTGCATTGATTCGCTGTATTTTTCGCTTAGACACATTTAAACTGCTCTGTTTTACTTTTCGATTCTTTCACCATAGATTTTAACTCTTTCGCATTCACCGTTCCAATGCGATTCGTCATAGAAAGCATATTTCTTTGGTTTATTGTGCAGAAATTTTCCACATTTCGACCTTGGATTTTTGTGAAGAAACAAAGAACAATACCAGTCTAAATCATTAATTGTGAGAATTATTATAAGAATATAATGAGAAACGTCCATTGAATAGTTGGTCAAATGATTTGAAGACTTTAAATTAATTGAAGAACAGGAGAAGTACCTACAAAATTTGATGGAATAGTATGGCCACCATAAACGAGGGAAGAACCGTAACAAATTTTGGAGAAACGGTGGTTTTTAATGAAGCTATGCCACTGTTTTGGTGGAGATTAGGCCTCTATCTTTAAAATTAAAATTAACAAATGGATGAACATTTAGCAGACCAGTTAATTTAATAACGCTAAGTTTGCGAGGGCAACTACAGGCAATCTCCGGGAATTAGTGAAGGTCAATCATTCCTTAACACACCTCCCAGAGAAATTAAATGTAAACACCAATCAATGAACTGGAAAATGTATACCAATAAAAGAAATAAATAAGGGCAGAATGGCATACATCTAGCCTTAAGTTACTGTTGATTGACTATTGTTGTAAATATATAATTGTAATACTAATTCGTTCTGTTTAAGACATACATTAACCAGTCGAAAGTGGCTGCTAGTGTCTTGAAAAAAAAATGACTATAGCTATAATACTTTGGCTTACTGTAAAAGACTAAGATTATTCCAAGTTTTCTTTGATGCTATTCCTTAATAAAGTCTTTTTTCTAGCATTTCAGTTGATGAGCCATCTATGCGTTCAAATCTGACCTATCAGTCCAGGTTGGTTGGTTCTCTTCACTTTTGTCGCCATCTATAACAGCAATAAGCAACAGAGAGATAGGCATTGATTCCTGTGATGGATGGCCAAAAACTTGCCTTAACAGGCGACGCTTTGTATTCTTTTCCTAACGCAGATGGAGTGAAGATGAATCAAGCGAGACTCCGTCCACTTTATGTGTACATAAGATGTTATGCAAGAGTGATCAAAAGATATCGTTGGTTCTCACTGGCGAAATTTTAAAGCCGTATAGCAGGACTGCGTGTTAGATAGATATGGATGTTTATTTTGAGGCTGATTTCGCAGCGATTCTAGAGAACTTTCGCCATATATACATTTGCCTTCATTTATTCAAACTTTTCATTTTTATCCATTCGAGAGTGACTTCGAATATCTTCCTGGTGCATCTTCCTCTCCGCAAATCTTTCAATTCTAAATTCTTCACTTTTGATTGATTTGGTAATTTAGAAATCTTTTAAATGGTTTGCTTATGTGCATCACTTTTCTTTTGGCGATCCACAAATATTTACATTTATAAAAGATCCAATACGTAATATTTGTTTAACGAGGTTTAACTGATAATTGATTATATTTGACTGCTACAAGATGATAATAAAATTTGCTTCAGTTTTAATAATTATTATTAAATTAAATAGCAAAAAATTAAATAAATTTGTATAAATAAAGATTAAAAGCAGATTAAAATAAATAAAGAATTATCAAGCACTCACCATTCGGCTAACTTCGCTGGCTGTGATTGCGGTTAAAAATTTTTTTCCAGGGAATGAGTGATAGTGATTATCTATCCCTACTATCCGGACTTTTTAACAGATATGCTTCCGTTGAAGCCACAAATTCTCGTCTCTCAACTCGATAATCTAGGTCATTGTCCACTCCGCTACCTGGGCTCAAAGCATATAAAAAATTCTTAATTGTTTCATCATTATGACTAGAAAAAACTATCAGAATTATAGCAGTTAGCTAATAAATTGTTGAAGTGAAGCCCCCCTGAATCTGCATTCAGCAATTTACTTACTACCATTTTAAACGGAAGAACGCTAAGAATACTCTTTCAAAAAATTTAATTCAATAAACAAACACCACATCTGATGATCTGAAATTCACGGACTCACTCTGGGGTGCGCAATTTACAAAATTTTTTTAAATGGAAACATGGAAGATCTTAAATGTTCTATAATCCTTAACACTACTTTCAATCATAAATGTAGGCAGCAGACCATTTTAACATTGTCACCATAGTAATATTATCCATTCGAAGGATGCGTGGTGTGTTGTCGATGAACATCATGAAAGACTGCAAGTTTAAATTTCAAACTACTAAAGAAACCCATGAGCAAAAAATGCAAAATGAACTTGAAAAATGAACTTAAAAATGAACTTTTAATTGAAAAATGAACTTTTAAAAATGAAAAAGATGAAAATGAAACTTTTTCATCTTTTCCTGAAATTATTTGTCGATATTTTAAAACTTTTTTTAAAATGCTTATTCACTTGCTTATTTAAATTATTATTGTTAAATTATTATTTAAATTATTGTTTATTTATTTGCTTATTTATTTATTTAAATTTTATTTATTTAAATGCTTATTTATTTGCTTATTTTTTTGCAAGGGTAGAGTGGATAATAATTCAAATTATCGTGAGAAAAGTGTACCAGATCTTGTCTCCGACAGGATTTATCCTATCATTAAAAATTAAGCTGGCCACTGGCCATTTATATTTCTATCGCGCCAAATGCCTTCCTCGAAAAAGATTGCACTTACACTTCAAACGAACTCGCTTAGCCAGAAATGTTGAAATGAGCGCTTACTAAATTTTGCAATGTTATTTCAAATAACTATGAAATTCATTGTTTTGAAATATTTTTTAAATGTTTGTTTTTTCTCTTTTCATTTTTATTTTATTCTTCCCCTCCCTTCTATTTTAATCTTTTTTATCATTTTCATAATTCATTGAAAAATAGTTCCATAGATACGTAATATCTGTAATATTTAATAATTGCTATTCGACGACAAATATTTCAGCGAAAAAAATCGATACATTATGCTACGATGCTGAATAAAAAGAGAGAAATCAATCGATCGATGCCGATAAATTGCATTGTTCGTGTAACTGCGTACCAGAACAATCCGGATTGATCCGGATTTCTCTTTCTCTGTTTCACTATTTTCTCATCAATTATTTTTCTCAGCCAATCATATTTAAAGATCTATGCTCTACCCGCCTCCTTTTTTCTCCATACAAAATTGCACTATTGCATTTCCTTTTTTTCCTAATCCCGCTTATTTTTCTTTAATTGTTTACGCAATTCGTTTATTAGGTTCAGCCTTTGACCTCTTCTGGTCCAGCTGATTGAGTGTTTGCGGTTCTTTCGATGAGTCCGGTCCACTGGGCCTGATTTGATTTGCATATTGCATTAATGGTCATATTTTATTACAAAACAGCCGCCGATTTAGTCATTTTAAGCTCTGATGAATTACGTTGCTTTACAGCAGTCAATCACCGTGATTATTTATTCGAAAATTCCTTGTTTGAAATTTAAATTTTTGCGTTCATCATTTGTTTCATCCTTCGGAAATTACTATTTTTATCTCTTTTCTACTTTTTGCTTTCAGTGTTTTTTGCTTTATTTATTTGAAGATCGATAGACCACTGTCTTTAGTCCGAAAAAATGATTTGATAACGCAGATCTTGCTTAGAACTGAAGATTTATGTCAGTCTGCTGACTTTTCGATTCTTAACTCAACTTCTTAAACTTGATTGATCTTGACTTGAAACAGCGCAATTTATGTATTGCTGCATCTTCATTCATACATCTTCATATAGTGAAGAGAAAAAGAATGTTGCGAAAGAAGATTACAAAAAATAGTAACTGCAAGACGATATAAATTTCTCTGCTCTTGTGTTCAGGCAGAGCTTTTAGCTTCAACTGGAAAGCATGCTTCGATCCACCAATATTATCTCTTCTCTTCATGAAGAGATGCAAAGATTGCTTCGGACTGGTTAGCAGAGTACCGTCAAGGGAACCTTGCGATTGAGTGGTGCATTGGTGTGACGATTTATGCTAAACCGAGACTAATTCATCAGATCAGTAATCAATATAAACAGTATTCGTGCAGTTGTGGTAATCAAGAATAAGTAAAGTCTTAATATTTCCCACTTTTATCGGTCATGTTTCACAGTGTAGGATTGTGCGTATATATAGACACTTCACAACACAGACGTTCATTTTGGTACTGATTTTTACTGAAGTATGGTGTTCCACAAAGTGTTATGAGGAGAAAGCTATTGCTGTTCAGATTGCACTTCCGCCTTTCATTTGGTCATCTGGTATAAGAGTGGATACAACATATGTTCGTAGCAGTTCCTCAGCTGGTGCTGAAGTCATGAAATTAGGTATTTCATCAGCTTTTGATATGTATTAGGCGAAAAGATTCCGTCTCATTTATTACATTCGCTTAACTTATCGATACATGGCTTTGTAAACCTGTAAACGTTCATGAATGTAGGTGAAATGGACTCTGTCATCAGCGATTCAAAATCTTTGGTACTGTATTCTAGAGATCTAGACTGACTTTCGTGATGCTTATTTTTGCTGTCCATAATCTACCTCTCTAAATATTTCGGCAGAGAAAATGTTCTGTCTCATAATGCAAAAGCTAACGAATATACCGATATGTCGTTATCAGCTGAATGAAAAGGCAAATGACTAGTACAGTACTTGTATACTATATACTGTTATTATTATAGAACCGTTTGACTACAAAACTATAAAAATCATTTTATATGGAAATCTGTCTAAAGGATTAAGAGAACATAAAAAAAGATCGAAAAAAGATATATGCATTATCAGTTCCAGATTTAGGTTTTTGATAAAATTCAATACTGTCTAGAAACGAATAATCGATCACGTGTTGCGCTTGATTGCTCGCTCGCTTATTTTGTTCTTCCTAGCGCCATCTTTTTTACAAGTGCGACGATGGTAAGCTTTGCACATTAAACCATTTAATTCATCTTTAATTTATAGATAAATTAATAGGATGAACGAATTTACTCGATGCGATATGTGTCGAGCCCGTTTACGAGCGTTCACGTTATCGGAAGATCAAACAACTTGGCTATTTCCTTGCTTGCATGCCTTTTGTACTACTTGCAAAGCAAAATGTATTGGAAGTTGGTAATTGGTCTTTTTTCAAAAAGATGACCCCTCTGAGCTTTTAATTTCTATATTTTTATTCATTTCTAGTGAACTTTCCAATTTTCTTCTCAAAGAGCTGCATGTTATAAATAAAGACCTGTGAAGACCTAGAATCACTATTCGGGACATGTAATATTTATAGGTAATGCTCCATCATATGCGATTTGTCACATATGTAAAAGTGAATTCCCTCAGTCGCACATTTGGAGTCTTCCAAATTCTTCAGAATGTAGTGCGCCGTTAGTTTTCTTTTATCTTATTTATGTTTATGATTTATATTATAATAACCAAAAAGGTCCAATAAGAAACGCACATATGGGTGAGCAATTCTTATCCGATGGACGGCGAAACTCGAGAGCGCAGAATTCTTATTTCACAAGCATGATAAATTTAACGATGGTTAACATTCGCCTTTTCGGATTATGTTTTCCTCATTGCCTGTTAGTAATCATGAGAAATTCAGGGATTCATTTAGGAATGAAAGGGTTGCCAGCACCATCAGGATTTTTCGGTAAGCCGGAGGTAAGAACTTTGGTGCTTGAGACGATAAGCTGATAAACGGCCAGTCGATTGAACTATATCCAAGATAAGTACTGGAGTAAAATATTTATTTTTTCGATTGTAAAATTGTTACCAAAAGAAAATTGGCTCAATTATGAAATTGGCCTCTAATCGCTTAATCATCTTCTTCTAATAGTTTTCATCATTACTGGTTAGGCGGGCTCCACTAGCTGCAGGGATAAGACAAGGGTTTTTCCAAGCTACGCGGTGTCCACAGGAATAGAAGAAATAAAAAATAGAATTCCTTTTTCCATCATCTAAATCCATATATTGCTGGTCCATCTATACGTTAAAAAATTTTTTCTGATTGTATCAGTTCAAATCTTAATTAGCCCGCCTCGCTTTCGATGCAACCCATCACAGGATTTAGCATGTAATGAAATATGTATCAGCTCTTGTTGTGGGCGACAAACATGTCCTTATCAGCGAAGGCGATCTTGATGGTACTATTAATATAAGTGGTATTTGAACGAAAGTGGATGCGTACATGTGAGATTTTATCCACTCGGCGAATTCGTAAAATTTACCTTAGAGATGAGTGAACAGAGGCAGATAAATTTTTTATATTCTCTACTCGCACTGACCATGTCTCACAACTCTCACAGCCATATGGCAAGATCGAATGAATTACGGCTATATAGATGCGAACTTTCATTTTTATGGTGATTTCGCAACGGCTCCATAAAGGTTTCAACTGGAAGAACGTTTCTAATTGCTATTATCGGGTTGAAATTTCGTCTTGTGCCTGGCCATGACATTCATTCGGTATTAGAGTGGATCCAAGGTATTTAAAATCGGGCACTTCCTCAAGCGGCGATGAGTTTATAAACAAAGGGTATTTTATCAAAGGGCTTTTTATAGGATATAAGATGAAAAGACTTTCGTTTTATTTTACGCTGAACCTGAATCCGATTCTCGCTGCAGTTGCTTGTTGTTTAGGATTTACAAAAAAAAATACGATTCGGCGGATGTTCGGTGAAATTTAGTTAATATAAATCCAAGATATGAGTGATAATTAAGGTTAAATGTAAAAACATTTTCAAACTTGAAAATCATTGTCAAGAGTTAACTTAAATTTCTCTTTTTTCTTTGGTGGGCTTCCACGTGATATAAAAGAACTGGATTGTAACCTTTGCCTCAAGTCTAAAGAAATTCGAACAGGGTTGGACCTTGGAAAGGCAAAGAGAAGTTTTTTGGAAGAAGGTGCCACCGCTTTGGAGTTATTGCGAGATTGATGCCCTATTGGAATTTGTTATTTGTTCTGTTTCGTATTACCTTTAGTGTTTCAGACGCATTATACGTCTTGACAAAAAGGTTTAAGCAACATTAAATAATAAAAATGTGTAATAAATTCGAATAAAACGCCTATTTGACAACATAAAAAAAAAAAAAAAATAAAGGATAAACTCTAAATGCAACAATAAGAAAATCGGCCTCTTCGTTCGTTAATGTTCAAGTGGATGCCGATATTTATAGTCGACCATTCGAATAATAATCCGAGCATTACCTGTTGTTTGTCTTTGACTACCTTTACATTGCTGTTTGAACGCACGGTGTTTTCGGCGATGTTATAGAAGTAATAGAGTCTGAGGACGTCTTTCGAGAGGCATCGAAGGTATCCTTAACGGCAGTCAGAGGCTGTTGCTTTTTCCTGGATATATGCACATTAACTGGCAATTATTATACGATGTTTCTTTGAATAAAATATTTTCAGTTATTTTTTTATTTCGCACTTTGCAATTTTGTTCTTTTTCACAAATATTCACGTAAATAAATTAATTTTCATGTTTTGTTATGTGAATTTCTTTAATTTTTTCGCTTAAAAATGGGAAATATTATTGTAGAAAATGTGATGCAGCTGCTTGCGTGGAAAAACTGCAGGCAACGATGAAATGCATTAATTGCAGTGAGTTATTATGTGACATATGTAGTCAAGCACATCGTCGAGTAACCGCGACCTCAACTCACAGCTTACAGCCGGTTTATATTTTAACTGATTTAAAGGGATTTTATAGTCATTCTTTTTCTTCCAGTAGTTCTTAGCGTTGCTGTTTAAATTTCGCTGGCTCCGCTGATTACATGTGTAAGGCATTTTTAAGGTGCTAGATCCAATGTTATACCTGAGAATAGCAGAAGCCATTCCTTCCTCAATCGTTTAAGCCCATACATCACAGCCTTTATTAAAGATCTGACCGCATCAATCATAGACTATGATTCACACTTTCTCGCTTTTGGCGTCATCCATCAAAAAATTTGGCAGTCTGCGCAGCAAAAATTTGTGCTAACTAGTGCAGGCTACGGTATATGACGATACTGCTAATGCACTGAGCGAAATTAGAAGTTTTAGACAAATATGTAAAATTTATCTTGGGCATAAGTGGTCAAAAATTGCGTAGATAAATTCTTAATATTATCCATTCTTATTAGCCATGTACAAGAAGATAGTACACATTACAACATACCAACTTTCGTCTTGAAGGTGATTTCACTGCAATTCCATAGATTTTGCCAAATGAAGAAAACACTTTTATTAGATACGGCTGTCGGGACTGCAGTCTCTTCTTTTGCTTGCTTATTTGGTGCAAGGTTGAATCGATAATAATTGTTTATCGTCTGGTAAAATGTAAAGACTTTCGTTTTATTTACATCGGCTCTTAGCGATTGTTATCGGTACACTGCCTAGTATTTCTTGCCTCAGAACTGTTGGAACTGCAAAAAGTACTGCTTCATCATTTCTTTTTAGATCTCCTATATTATGCTGTGGACCTCTCGAGCATCGGTAGTTAGTATACTCATAGTCCAATCAACCTATAATCAGTTGTACAATTGAATTTGGTAGAAAAAAGGACGAGCCTTGTCGGACACCTTATGCCTCCTTATTTTGAAATAAGTTCCATGTGCATAAACCTCTACCAATATACGCTGGTAATATATCTTTATGAGTCGAATGATTTCTGGAAAACTGTCGTATTCCATCTGTAGAGCTGAATTCTATAAATTGAATTGGAAGCAAAGGCAAAATATTATTTAAAATAAACATTTACAATTCTCGAATTCTCGTTGAATTTTCATTCTTTTGCAGATCAGTGTTGGGATACCGGAACATGCGAAGTGTTCTATACATAGCAATATGAAAATCATGATTTATTGCAGCTGTGGTTCGGTGAATTTTATTTCCGCACAGTTTTGAAAAAACTGGTGAAAATAGAATTGAAATGCATGAGCCTTTTCATGTTTTTTAGTAAAAAAAAAACTAAGAAAAAAAATTTTTTGCAAAAATTTATTTTCATATTTAACTGTTCAAAAAAAACCTTTTCTTACTCCCTGTGGGTGGTACCAGTCAACCTCGAATTCTCTATCAGAAAAAAGCTCGAGAGCTTAAAAGTTCTACGAAGTGTTTTAGCTATTCTGAACAGAGAACTCTGATATTACTCCTGGAATCTGATGGAGCCGCTTCGCCAGTTTGGAGATCATAGCCCCATCTCCCCAAATGCTCTGTTTACAGCTGGGACTACTTTGGTCTTTACTTTCCACATCTTTTCTAGTGTCTGCCTTATTCAGCTCTAGTTTCTCATATTCGTTCTTCCTACTGTTCTTTCTATCACTTGCTGTTGCTTATATTGGTAGGTACCAACTTTTGGTACTAACTAACTTTACTAACTTTTGTTAGTACTAACTTTTGGTTCCTGCTGACTAATTTCCCCTGTTACGATATTTGATTGATTGGCTGGTACTTCGTTGTCTTTTTGAATGGAAAAGTTCCACATAATCTTGTCTATTATTCACGATTTTCTAGGAGTCATGGGAATATCTAAGGTATATTACGGGAACAGAATTCCTACAGATAATGCCAGCTATTTGGTTATACTTTTCAGTATATGTAACGTACCATTCATTTTACATCTTGTTATGCTGGATAATTTCTGTGGCTTTTGTGTCTAATGTGGTAGGTACTTGCTTTGGTGGATCTGATGCTGATGTGCTAATGCTGTATATTAGTCTAGTTTTTACTAAACCCTGGTAGTATTCCTTAATATCGGTTATTCAACCTATGGAAAATATTCCTTTGCCATGGTACTTCTACTTGATCTTTCTCTTCCTCTTAACAGGTATTCTATCAGCAACTCATCTTATGGTGCCATCTTGCTGATATATTCCTGGATGCTCCTTCTTTGCCTCTTTCAAGATACTGATTCACCAAGCCCTCACTCATCTGCTGGTATATTGGAGTCCTTGGATGTTAGATTTAGTTTCGAGGTGGATATTTAGGTGCATTATGAGGAGTTTCTGGGTCTTCAGCGCCCATATATTGTCCATCTCACTGTGGTACCTGCGTATCTGATGGTTAGCGAGGTGTATTTATAGCATGGATTCTATTTTTCCTCTTAAGCTAGCTATTCAAGATCTGGTCTCTTATTCATTGATACTATTTGGGTGTTGCATTGCTTATCTCTTCATCGTGGTTCTATTATTGGAGAATACCAAGGTTCTTATAGCTGATCAGTATATTTGCTGTATACCTCGTTGTCTTTTCTACCGTTAGTTCTAATTATCTTCGCTGTCTATCATCCGGCCACATTTTCCGTGTCAAAATAATCTTTGTTGTAGATTCATGTTTGGTGAATCAACGAGTTTTGTTTAGTTTTTTAGCACACAATTGATTCATGTTGAAAAGTTAGGGTAGATGGTGAATAATTGAGTTCTTGAACTTGTATCCATGTCCACTTGTAACTAGGAGTTTGGATTGAGAGGATTGAGGGAGTTTAGACATAAGCAGAACATTAACGAGACACGACATACTTTAAGTGTCGTTTTTCAGTCCCATTAAGTTTTAGATGAACATTTTTAGGATTTTGGTAACTTCATATAGAGCCAGACATTCATATGTAGGGCATTTAGGTATTCATTCTTTTAGTCACCAAGTTCCGATTCTTTTGCTGGAATCTTGAGAGATTGCTTTATCTATGAGCAAATGGTGTTTGGAGCCTCTGGTGTTGTTCCCAACGTCTTGAAATGCATTCATTGGTTTTATATTTATTATATGGTCATTACATGAAGCCTGATGGCCTTTATGCCTGATAGGACTTCCATATTTATCGTGAGACAGGTTATTAGCCACTAGTTGGACGCTGTTATTCCCTTATTAGAGTCTTTCATGGTTTAAATATCTTTTTTGTTTATAATACTTTCCTTATGTTGACCAGTCTTGGAGAGTTTGCCACAAACACCTGGTTCTATAGCTAGGCCTTCATAAATCGCCATTAGTTTGCCATATATTCTTCCAGTTTGTTACATATTACTGCACTGCAATTGAGAATAAACATTAAATGGATCTTTGGAAAACAGAACATTTATCTTTTTGGCCTCTACTAGCTAGGCTGGTAGACAATATTATGAGCTTTGTTTGGCAGTTCCTAAGGTTTCTAAACGAGTGCAGTCCTTGTTTTTCCAGTAGCCGACTACTATTGTTAATCTATACTCTTTCTCCAGTTGTTCCAACTGATTAACTTCATTGCGTGGTGCTTTAATGTATCCAATTCTGCTCTAATATTATTCTCTAGCCTTATTTTCCAGGGACGACATGCACTGCTATTCTTCTTGATTCTACATCCAAGTATTTCCAAAATTACAGCGACTGTGGAGTACACTATTTCATTGGTTTATAGTAATAGGAATTTTTTGTGAGGGTTTTTTTCGCACTGAGCCTCGATAGTCTAGTTTATTTAGTTTATTCGTTTACATCCATTTTATTCGTTTTTTTTTTGCCTCATATCAATTGTTTTACTTTTGCAATGGTGATAGAAGAAAATTCCGAGCATCCCAGGTTATTGGTTATTAGAGGAACATCTTTTTTTCGGATTATTTTGGATGTGGGATATAATGCATAATTGATCCATGTCCAGTTGAGCGATCAGTTTTCTTTTTTCTATACCAAAACATTGCACATCAGGGCAGCAGGTAGAGAAGTTAATCAGTTATTGTGGATGCAGATCCGCTCACATTCTTTCTTATATTTCATATAACCCCTTCCATTAGATCTATTATTGTAGTAGCATTTCATCAGTTTCAAATTATTTTATCTTGTCCATATAAAGTTTGTTCTAGTAGCCATTTAAACACCAGATACTCTGGTTTCACAGCACCTAGTAGTTCTAGCCTACTTATTATTATCAGATAGTGCAAATCCTGTTTCCTCATCATCTAAGGCGAACTTATTCAAACTAGACGACGTCCGAACTGGCGTGATAATATGCGACACTATCTTATTTGAGAAGAGCAGATAAGTTTTTAGGGTCCAAAGGCCCTCATCGAAAAGGCATTTGTTGGCTGTGAAATTTTTGTCTTGTATACCATATTAGTCGCGCACCTTAAGTACATACATATTATATGTACATATGTATCAATATATTTCGATTTGTTAGAAATAAAATGGCTCATTTTCAGTATCTGTGCAATGAATGTTTATTATTGCGAACACATGAAGCACCATCTCATAATAAGGTATCATTTTCTCAGCTTGCACTATCAGATGTTCCGTGTGATAAAATCGTATCATCAGCGGTATCAGAAATTTCTCATATTGAACGTAGGTTGGTCTATTTCAGTTATTCTCATTCTTTGCAGTGCCATTTTTCGCGATTTTTTTTGCAGGACCTTTTTTTATTTGTAATAAGCAAAAAAGAAAAAAGAGAAATTTGTATTCTCTTGCTTGCTATCTAATTTATTAAACAATAATTTTTTAATTTTTAAATATTTCAAACAATTATGATTTCGGTCACTTCCCGATTTCAGTTTAGAGGTGGCACGAGTTCGTAAAAGTGATCTCGTTCAATCTGTGAATAATTTAAAGAAGGAAGTGGGCAATAATGTCGTGCAAATTTGTCAAGCGGTTTAGTAAATTATTTTTGAATTTTTTTATTTATATTTTAATCGTTGCTATTTTTTATTTGTTTTTAGCCAATAGCCAATAGTATATCGCCAGACAGAATGAAGAGATAAGCGGGTTAAGCGGGCCTCTTTTCAACTTTCCATCATAGCTCCATAAATTTCTTACCACCTCTGTTTAAAATGATTTTACGAATAGTTTTGGTCATATTTTTAGTTGCAAAATATGTCAAATATAATATTCAGGTTATGCAGAGAGGCAACGATTTAATATATGCATTAGATTCAGTTCAACATATGAAAATAACTGAATATGATCGTCTACGCAAAGAACTTGATTGGCAACAAATGAGATTTGAAAGGGTGTTGTTTTCTTCTTTTTTGTTTGTTACAAAAACTTTTTTATTAGGCGAAGATTTCTACTATTTTTAAGTTGTTTTTCTTTATTAATGATCACCTTTAGTTCATGAAAGAGTGAAAACTATTTTTTTTTCAGATAAGTGCTTTTGTTACACAAGTGAAGAATTTTGAGGACGAAACAGCACGCGTTTTGGCAAAAGTGTTTTTAGAAAATTGCGCACGTGTAGTCAAGTATAAAAAAACTATTAATGAGGTAAAAATTTGATTAGAACAGTAAAAGATTGTTACTTAGTTTCCTATTTAAATGAGAAATCCTTTGCACTTTTTCTAGGGATTGCTGAAATTCTTATATTTTACAAATATATATATATATATATATATATGAAAGAGTTATGAATAATATATCTTTAATTTTATTTCAATTTTTGACCATTCTTATTTCTTAGCGAAGCCTTAATGGATTGCAACGTCCTTCTCAAGTGCTTTTCAAGCCAGATACACAGTCTGTAATGGATGCGATTGGTCGATGGGGTCGTGTTTTAGCAGATACCAATGAGAACAATGGTTCGCTAAAACCGGTTTGTTTTTTTTGTTTGTTTTTCAAATTTCCAAATTTTTTTCAGGTTTTTAATTTTTTTCATTTTTTGCAGAAGATTTAATTAATAAATTTTGCTTGATTGACTGATGCAAGCCATTGTACCGTTAAATTATCCACTATTACAGTTTCAGGTAGAAGTTGTAGCTGCTCCCGCAACTTCAAATCCTATCGATGTGCCTCTTTTCAATTTAAATCAACAAATTTTACGTTTTCCAACTGTAAATATGGCATTGACGTCAATTCCAGTTGATTATCAGCAGTTTCGTCCTCAAATGATCCCTTATGCTTCCAGTAAAAGTACTATGCAAATATCTGGAAATACTCGACTCATTCAGGAACAGCAGCACTTACAAAATTTGCACCAAAAAGCACATTTGCAACAGATGGGATACCGACAGCAGTTGCAACGAATGCAGCAATTGCAAAAGCAACAGCCAATGCCCAAAATTGCACAAGAGGTCACAAAACATGCTTTGAAATCCGAGTCGTTGTTTTGAAACCGTTACAGACCATATATTTTTGACAAAGAAAGTTTCCTTAAAAATTTAAAATTAATTTTAGCTTCCTGCACATACACTGGTTCCTCGCCCTCCTACTATTTTGAATATTCAGCAGCCTGCGACATTTCCAGCTCAATTACAACAGATTCCATTTTCGGTTTTTTCACCAGTGCAATCTGTTCCTCAACATATTTCTGCTTCTACATCTTATTCAGATCCTAGGCGTAAGTATGTTATATTTCTGGGGCTGTTTAAATCTTTGAATGAAAATCAGCAATTTTATGCTTTAGTTTTCTTAGCTAAACAGTATGAACTCTATGGGGAATTGGAAAATTTTTTTCTGATGTTTTGATTTTGATTTATTTTTTTCAAATTTAGATAGAGAAAGAAAATAGGATAAAATGAGATGATTTGCTTTCAGTTCCAACTTATAATCCAGTTAGTCCAGTTAGCCCACATCAGCTGTTTCCTGTGACATCAGCTGTTTTATCTACCGGGCGAATTGGTTATCAAGCCTCTCCTGTTCAGCATCAGATGGTGCCGTTACTTTCTGGAAAAGATTCTTTAAATGGTTCCTATTTTCAACAAAAATCTTTTTTTTTCTAAATTATATATTTCGGTAACGAATTTATTATTAATAGAATGAATTGCTCACTTATTTTTATTCGTTTTATGGGAATTATAAATGTATCGCTTGTGACTGCATTTTCATTTTGCTTAAGGTATTCAAAAATTTGAACAGGGATCTTATATTCCAGCTAATCCGATCACGTCAGCAATTCTGACGGAAGCATCATATTCCAAAGGTTATGCTAATAATTATCAGCAAACAAATTTACAAATAGCTGATGATATTAGCAGAACTTCTGAAAATGCTAAGTATGTCCAGTTTTAAAAACTTGTCCTTTTTTTAAATTTTTAGCTTTTGCATTTTGCATTATATCCAATTTTTTTCCCTGCTTCTATAAAATTATTCCATCAAATTATGTAGTAACCTGTAGCCTGCATAGATGTGTTATTATTTATCTTTAAAATAATGAAATTTCTTTCATTTTAGTTTGTTGAGGCAACAGGTTGATAAAGGAAAAGAACTTTCTGCAGAAATTTCGGTGATATCGTTAACAAAAGCTGTTCGTCAAGCAACATCTGATTATGATGCTTCATCCGGAGGAGCAAAGTTAGTTTTGAAATTGGCTTTGGCTATCTAAAATATATAGCATTTGCAAAAGTGCATTGGAATATACGAAAATGTCTTTTTTTTTCGCTTATTTACTTCGAAGTCATCCTCTATTTTTTAGTTGCACGCCACCTCCTAAAGATCCAATGCCAGCATCCGTGGAAATATCGTCGAACTGTACACCATTTAGTTCCTCAGAAATTACTGATCCAAAACGAAGTATTCAAGGTTATTTTGCGAAATATTTGAGTAAAGATCGTATAATTTTTTTCTTTTATTGGTCCTATTAAATAAATAAATTCAGTTTCAAATTCAGTTTGCCTTTTTCACCTAAATTTTTATTTTGTTTTAAGCAATAATGCATGGAAAGGTCAAATCGATAATTATTTCGATAAAAAATCGATGATGGATAAAATATTGTTTATTTAAATTATTTATATAAATTTCGTTTGAACAAATTTTCTTGAGTTTTATTTTATAAAAAAAATTGAATAAAAATGCTTAAATGCAGATAAAATAGCTGAATATGACGATGGAAAATGGGATGATTATTGTTATGTTTGCCAGCAAGGATGTGACGAAACAACTGGTTCATTAGGGTGTTGTGCTAAATGTCCTCGTGTTTTTCATAATAGTTGCCATATTCCTGCTATTAAAGAAAAAATGGAATCTTTACCGTTAGCTTTCAGTGCTTTCTCTTTGAAAAGAAACTTTGAAACTGCTATTTTTAAATGAAATAAAAATGGAAAAAGCATAATAAGAAAGTAAGAATAAAGCTAATATTAAAAAATGAAAGCAGAAAATAAATTTTCTTTCCGACATGTTGATGACTAATGGACACTACCAAAAATTTTTCTGAAACAACTATTAATAGAGTTGGAAATCTTTACACATTCTAGATATTCTTTCATTTTTCACCTCAATTTCTCAGATCGTTACGGATCAAATATGAAGAAATTTCTTGACTTCTTAGATAAAATAAATTTTATTCAGGGATGATTGGGCCTGCAGTTTGTGTTTGTATGCTGAACCAATGACAGAGCAAAAAGAAAAGATGGGGCCTAATGAACGATTGGTAAAAATTTTTTATTTACATTATTTACAACCAAAGAAATTATGTTGGCAAGCAATAAAAGTGCCAAAAAGAACAGTTGGGTTAGGTGAACGCGGACTAATAATTATTTGGCCTGTTCTATGACGTGGAATGAAGAATATCCAAGATAAAGATTCTTGCTATTAAAGAAAAAATGGAATCTTTAAATGGAAGGCATCTTGCTTGCAAAAAATTACAATTTTTGCATATGACAGAAAAAATTAAAATGAAAATTTTGTTAATGAAAAAACTATTTAACTATGTAGGTCGCGAAGGCATTAAGGAAATAGAGCAGGAGACTTTAGAATGTCTTTTTTAAGAGCAGCAGAAGAAAATAAGGGTTTGGTATCAAGGAGAGTTCCAGAAGCGTGCTTAAAGGAAAATCCAGCATTTAATAAACTTGATAAGGTTTCAAGTTATAATATAATTGGTTTGAAAGATATTAAAGATATTAAGGAGATATTAATCCGTTTTTTCTTTCGGGTCAAGTCCATGGATTGTTTTTTGTAAATCTTTCAGATTTGAAAAAAATTCTTCCTTCTCTGTTTTAGCTGTGCTCTAAGGTGCTGTTGCGGTGCTATGAAAAATTTTCATTTGTCGAACCTTTTATTGCTCCAGTTCCTAAATCAATGGCAAATTACTACTCTATAATAAAAAAACCCATGGATTTTGGTACTATTTCACGAAAGTTAAAAGAGCGTGCAAAAGATGCATTCACAAATGTTCTTCAATTTTTGCATCATATGAATCTAGTATTTATGAATTGTTCAACCTTCAATCATGTTAGTTTTTTGGTAAATATATGTGTCGATTCGTTTGATTTCTAAGCATTAGTTTACGAAGGAGCAGTGGTTGATTTTTTGCAATATAATATATTTATTTAATATAATATATTTTTTTAATGTTCAATTATTTTGCTAAAGTTTTGTGGAAATGTTTGTGCGAAAAAATTAAAATTAAAATTTTGTTAATGAATTCGAAGAAATTCCAATCTAATTCAAGACTTAAAATCATGTCCATTTTATTCCTTGATGGACTAATAAGATCATTCAGAGATAAAACAATATAAAATTGCAATAATATCATGTTTTTTTTTAACAGCCGGAAAGTGAAATAGCTCGGGCAGGATACACGATTTATCTTTTATATAAACAAGCTGTAAATGAATTTCTGCCTTTTCTGAGTGGTTATGTTTGGTCCTATGATAATTTGTATGATGCGTCTTCGAACATACAGGTATTATATTGTTTAGATATTTATTGGAAAAGCAATTGGGAATTGTCAGCCTAACCTTGCTTCTGACGAAAGTTCTTTATGAATTATTCTTTATCCTTTGTTGTGATTTGTAGCAAATGTTCTTTCTTTCTTCTATTCGCTAGTAGAATAAATTTTGTGTGAAAAAAAAAATCGATATGATAAAAAAATTCGAAGGTATGGGGAATCCTTAAGATGATTCGAATTTTGAAAAACATATTTCATTTTTATTATAATCATATTTTTTTTGTTTTTATTCCTGTCGATTTTTCAATTAGTCAGTATCTGCTGTATTCTGTGTTTTGTTACATCTTATTTATCTTAAATTATTATGACGCCGAAGAAAACTGTGGTTATCCTAAGCCAAAAATTTGTGTTTGAGTTTGAAGACTCTGCCAGCCTTGGAATTCGAAAAATGATAAGCTTAAAGAAGCTGTATGTCAACCTGCAACCTTAAAATTTGTTAGCACCTTAAAACAAAACAAATGTGGAGCCTTTAATGGAAACATCTCGTTTTTTGAAGGAGTAGTAGATATAATGTGGAGCTCTTAATGCCGTCAGATCTAAATTGAAGAGAGTAATGAAGGTGGTTTTTTCTTTGAGTCCAGACCATTTAAGAAAATATATAATCCAAAGAGAAGAAATCAAAGTTGTACTTAATTTTTCGAAACACTCTGAGGGGAAAATGAGCTCAGTAATATCGATATTTTCGAGATATGATATATTATAGATTGTCCCTATTCAGTTTTAAATTTGAAATTACGATCGCTTCTGAATAATAAGAAGAAAAATAATTCTTGATAATGTGGACTTTTATCAATTTTAATTTTTTCTATTCAACATTTATCTCTACAATCGTATGATTATAGTTTTATTATTTATTATTACTAGAAATTTTATTATTACTAGAAATTATACTACTGAAATTATACTCAATCTGTCTTTCTATTTAATATTGGTACCAGCTAATAGATTTTATTCTATCTTAGACCATCACGATGGACCTAACCAATGTCAGGTAGATCGTAATCCTGCAGATTCTCTGTGAAACGTGTGGTTTCTCGTGCACTATCTTTATTTTTAATGAATTCTTTTAATCATCAAATTTGGAAACATCTCGTTTTTAGAAGGAGTAGTAGAAATTATTCTTTTAATTAATGCCTGATTAGTGCAACAATAACTATAGGGCAGATAGCTTGCAACAAATAATTTAATTTAATTTTTGTTTATGCTGAAAAATCCGTACTAATCTTCTTATCGGTCTTTAAGATTGGCCATTACCTTGATCATGACCAATCGTTATCTGACCTACATCTTTAGTTAAAGCTTTTGTTCTGTTATAGCAGATAATAATGACAAATATGCGCAACAAATTATTGCAAGCTGAAATTAATTGTCTGGCAGATCATTTGAGTGATCTGATTTAATTATTCGCTTCCAAGCTGCCAATAATTCTGTCTCAGAATACACCACTGTTAGAGCTGGTGTACTATTTGTCCGTGGTTTATTATTCAACATTTATATTAATGATATTATGCGTAATTCCAACATTTATTTTATCTTTATGTTGATGACTGTAAAACATGCATATGAAAAATTGGATGAATTTATCACCTTTATAGACTGATTTGAATATCAGCATTAGATCATTTAAGCACTCATTAAATGAAATGGACGGATTAAATTGTCCGATGAAAAATGAAAAATTTCAAGTGGTTTAACGATAAAATTAATTTTCAAAGTAATATAGTAATGTAGTAGAAATATAGTTTAAAAAATCTAGAATTTTATAAACTAAGTTTTCGTTATCTAAAATAAAACGCAATCTTTTTCTACTCAAGATTAAGTAAGCCGGTAGGATCGAGGGATCAAACAAAAATATATTCTCACTTTTTTATTCAAAATATTCAATAATCCGCCAATTAGTTGAGGATAGAATGGCTCAGTGGGTTGTTGCTCAATTGGGAGTGCCGATGTTGGAGTTTTATTCTGCGTGGGGGTAAACATGTACAAAAATCCGCGTGAAGATGGCGACTCACCTGTATTTCTATCTCCCTGGCATATTGCACAATGTGACAAACCAGTAGAGCGAGTTTAACCAGTAACGTGGTGAGAACTCTTTAAAAAAAAAAGCGCCAGTTACATGACCAACGACCAGATCAGAATTTAGTCGGAACTGCATTTATTTGTTGCTATTTATTTTTACTTCATAAAATACTTTTCTTTTTCAGCTTTTTTTCAGTTTTTTATAATTGTTTATTGCTTATTATAATGCGTTATAATAAAGGTAATTAGGAATCGTGCTGATATCTAATTACCTTTATTTCTGAAAATATTGCAGAAACGAAGCAGAAACATATACAAAAAAGATTTAAATATTATCTGCGAGGCACATCTCACTGAATGAAAATTTATTAAATTTAAATTTAAAGCATAAATCAGTGCGCTCGATACCAATATTTGATAGATTGTTTTTATAATCTATGTGGTTTCTATTCGTTACGTTCACTTGTAAAATTACGTCAAGATCCGCACGATAGACGTTTTCTGTTGACAGCTTTATTTAATTTCAGTGAGGTAACTTATATTGAGCATGGTTCTTACTCCAGATTCTCGCTATTTTTGCTCGTACTAAAGAAATATTCTTCTGAAGAAAATTTAAAACGGGTTGGCACCTCTGCTACTGTCTCGATTCCCTTAATTTCTATGATGAATTTGAATATTGCTAGAGGTAATATTCTGAAACCAGTTTGCCAGACGAGTAATACATCCTAGCACTAACCACTGGAAGAAATTACCCGCCGACACTGTTTTTGCACCATCGGTCTCGAGTTTACAAATAAATTGAATAATCCATAATTCACATTGTTTAAAATAGTTCATTCATTCTCACCATCAATAATAGCAACATTTTCTTTGCCTATGTTTTATTTTTTGCATTTTACTATACTTACTTTTATTTGTTATGTTATTAGTTTGATCATTGTTGTTGTTTATTAATTATTTCATGTTATGATTGTTTACAAATATGTGGCTAGTCTTTCTTCTAAATACGAAATGATTTTAGGGTCAACACAATGTTCAGAATGACGAAAAGTCAAATAGTCAAGACGATATCTCAGAAATACCAACGAAAAAATCAAAGCCTTCTGTCAAATCGGAATTCGACTAATGGCGCTCATTTTTGCCAGTAATTCAGTATTCTATTTCTTCTTGTTTTTTGAAGTTTTTTCTTCTAACAGCTCTCACCAATACTGATTAGGCTGGCTATCCTTCCAATATGTTCAGACCGATGCCATCAGTTATAGTCATTCATTTTTCAATCGTCTAAATCCATATGCTACCTATATTTTCAAAATCTTTTCTATATCTATCAAATTCTGATTAGCCCTCTTGCTTTTGACGCTATCCATCACGGGGTTTTAGAGTGGATTCAAAATATTTAAAATCTGACACTTCCTCAATAAGTGATGGATTGATAAAAATAGGTATTTTACCAGCTTCTCGTATATACGGCGAAAGATTTTCATTTTATTTACATTGATCATAAGTCCAGTTTTTGCTAAATTGTAGACACATTATTTAGCATCTTTTGCATTTCTTTATAACTTCCACCGAAAAATATATCATTATATTCATCATCTGTGAGGCTGATTTAAGCTGATTTATACTCCTGAATGTCGGCATATAGTGTCCATAATCTGTCGCATAGTTAAATATTACGGCATAATCTGGACGGACACCATTTCTTATCCTTATTTCGAAAGAATCTGTCATATATCGATTTGTGCCAATATATGCTGGTAAAATGGCTTTATGAGTCGAATGATCTCTGGGACACCATCGCTTTCCATCATCCTCCAAGGCGCCTTTCTATCAATTGAATCGAAGGCAGTTGCATAGTCAATGAAATTGCAGATATTTGAAGCGATGTTCCATCATTCTTCTTAACATGAATATCTGGTCATCCTGGTCTAAATTCGGCTTGGCTTGATTAGAACGCATCCTGCTGCCATAAGTCTATTGAGTAAAAGAGAAGCAAAAATTTCCGCTGAGATGTCTAGTAGACTGGTTCCCGACAATTGTCGCAATATCTTACCTTTCTTGGGAAATAGGAGCAGAATTGCTTTGCTGCAATCATCTAATATTTATTATTTCTTTCTTCTATACCAGAGAGTACATTTGTCTAAGGTGTGATATATAGGACGATGGATAACATTTGAAGAGTTCGACCTGGAGACCATCTCCGAAAATCTTATTGGTCTTATGTTTCTGGATGATATATTGTTTCTGCTAATTGTTTGCATTTGCAAATATGATTTGACGATTCAGTGATGTCCCAGATGGCGTATCGTGGTTAAGCTTGGCTTCAGAGAATTCCTTATGAGGCGATCCTTAATATTCTTAAGAGGTACATCTTTGCTATCCTGTACCATTCATTGATTGTTCTTCGGGTTATAATTGCTATAAAGAAGGCTTTTCTATTATCGCCTAATCGAGCAGCCGTTTCCATGTTCAAGGTCATATCACTCCAGTAATAGTTTCTTTTTCCCGTCGAGTTTAATTGTTTTTTCGGAGTATTTGATAAAAAATTTGTGGACCTTTTCGCCATAATAATAACGAATTATTAATCAAATTTAATGTAAAAATTTGCTTTGGTAAGAGCGTATTGTTAAGTACTTCGTTGTTGTCCTTGTTATTTTTAATTTTGCACATAAACTTTTAATTCATCAAATGATGTATGTTTGGATAATTCAATTTGCTTATAATCATTGGAGATATCGAAAGATTTTTTGGAGCATTATTTTGTGCCCATGTTTAACTTTGTGGATCTTGGCTAACATAGTCTGGTCCATTAACGTTACTTTCAGTCACGGCAGTCTAGCAGCTATCCCGTACGAAACATTTTCAGCGATGTTTGATCAGAATGTAACTAATATGGTTTCATAATATTGTTTATTATCTGCAGAGCTCTTTTTAATGAGATGTAATACTCAACGCCGAAATTTGAATAAAACATATCTGAATATATAATATTTATTTATATATATTTAGATACATATACTTACCATAGGATCCAAAATGGTAGTTGTAGTGGTAGTTTCTTCCACGCCTATTCCAGTTTTTCCCTGTTTGTAACTGATAATAAGGATTTTTTTTGCTCTTCGTAAAATTTATTTATAGAATAAGATTATGATTATGACATTCGAAAATTTTTTCTGAAAATTGGCTTTCACCATTCTTGGTCGCTAACAATCTTCGCGCTAAATTAAAAGTATCAATTTTGATTCGTATCGCGTTTTCCGACAAACCATTACGTTGTTTTCTCAAATCTGTAGTTTGAGTTCTTTCATTCCATTTTTTTATTTGGCATATTGGTTTATGAATATAAAATCCTTATTTTTGGAGTGCCATCTTGTCTTAAGTTAAAATCACCAACTATTTATTTATTTTATCTTTTTTATTTTTATTATGAAATTCTTAAGCATATTTTTTTTGCAATGTGCTTTTTTTTTATACCTTACTATGATTTTTAATAAATTATGATTTTTTCCCACTTTGCATTAATCATTTGCATTTATAAATTTTAATGCGGATATTCAGGATTTTTTGCTTTATGGTTATCCAATTTTGCTTAATCCATGAGAATTATAATTGAGATATAGCTTCTTTTCTTGATATCTTCAATCCATTTTTAAGGTCCTAATAGGGATTGCAACTCGTTTTTTTTCTTCGACTGATTCTGCGATAGATCCATTCTTGTTTTATCTTTTAATCACAAATTTCAGATGAGTTGCTCGCCAGTCATTTGCGTCGACAATATTTAATATGATAATATTTATGGTAGTTCTAAATTCTGAATTCTGAATGATTTAAAATAGTTCGTTTAAAATTTCTAATCCTAAATGAAAATCATTATGAATATAAGCAAATATTTTTTATTCGTTATCACAAACTCGTAGTGACTAGGGAGGGGATAAGAAATTATAAATTGGAGAGAAGAGGTGGGAGATTAAGGGAAAATAGTAGAAATTTGGTCGGCATAAAAATATAATATGATAAATTTTATTTTTCGTTCCTTTAAAAACAAAACTGAAAGTTTTCTTATCAAATTTCGAATACATTCGTTCGGCCTCTTCTTGACTACAATAATACATGTTACTCCCCGAGACATCGCAAAACAGGTAAAATAATTGAAGGACTCCAAAAATATTTTCTATGACGCCTCTCTTCTAATAAAAATTATAATTTTAATTTTAATTATAAAAGAACACTTCTACAACATAACATGGATTCTTTCTCAGTAGAATTAAACAAGATTTAATTTACACATATAAGATTCTGTATGGTTATGTTAAATTAGACTGCTCGAAATCTTATAACTTTAGATTAAATTTGAATCCAACAAGAACTAATGGCTTAAAATTACTAAAACCTATGTGCAAAACAAAACTAAGTTATTAACTACTGGAACAAATTACCGAACGATGTAGCTTGTGCGTCATCCTTAACTGTCTTTAAAAAAAGACTAGATAATATCATTTACGATATTATTTAAAAACAAAAAAAAAGAGGAGGCGAGAACCAGGTAAGAACTGCAGGAAGTAAGAAATCTCGATTTTATCTTCAGGTTATATATGTTACTTCGAATTGTACTATATTATATTGATTTGTAATTTCCTCTTTAAATTGTTAATTTTTGTTATATTGTTTTATAATTAATTTTATTCATGTTATTTTTTTTGTGTTTTCTTTTTTCTGTTATTATTATTAACTGTTATTATTAATACAAGCACATGGCGTTGTCGCCCTGCTTGGCTGGTTGTCAATAAATAAATAAAACATAACAATAATATTAAAGGAAATGATTTTTAAGATGTCGGGAGTGGAGTAGTTTTATTATAGTTCTGCCTGTTATTATAGTTCTCGTTTGAACGGTTTTTTTGCTTGTGCATTTGTAAAATTGATGTTAGAACTACAGAAAATCTGCTTTAACACTACTTTCACAGGTTTGAATATAAATATCCACTGTTGTGTGTGAGCAGAAGAGAAATTGTTATCTTTAGAAAACCGGTGACATGATGGAAAGACAGCCACCTTATGCCCTAGATCACAATCTTCCATTTTTTTTCTCCTTTTTCTTTTACATGAAAAAAAAATTAATGGTTGAGTCAACGATATTGGAAATTACTTGTGATTATACCTTACTACAAATCTCAATAAATTTGAATATGAGATAGAAAATTGTTAAAAATTTTTTCGGCTTTATATGAAGATTATCTAGCTTGATTTTGCTTTCGCATAAAAACTCACGTGAAACAAATGGTACTCTTGGTCTGATAAACCAGTGGTTGTTCCTGAGATGATCCTTAAGGTTACACCACCTGACTCCATATCTTATCTGGAACCAGTGTTTAAGCTCCGCGTAATTCTGTTTTAGTTGGGCCATCATCGGAATTATTTGAGGAGCGAAAATTCTTCCCACCATTACTGGTTAGGCTGGCTCCAACGGCTACAAGGGTAAGAAGCTTCCAAGCAGTGCGGTCTGATGCCATCGTCGATAGTAATGGAAGCCATTCTTTTTTCCATCGTCTAAGTCCATATATTGCTGGTCCACCTATACGTTCAAAATCTTTTTTCACCTTATCAGTCCAGGTCTTGATTGGTTCACCTCGCTTTTGACACCAACCGTCACACGGTTTAGCAAGTAACGAAATGTGCGTCAATTTCTGTGATGGACGACAGAGAATATGCACTAACCAGCGAAGGTGGCGCTCTGTGATAAGATTATTTATACAAGTGGTATTTCAACGAAGGTAGATCGTGTGATATTTTATCCGCTGGACGGATCCGTAATATGTACCTTAGACAAGAGTGGTCAAAGACAGATAACTTCTTGATATCCTCCACTCTCATTGGCCATGTTTCAGAACCATATAGTAAGATCGAACGGATCACGGCAATATAAATGCGGACTTTTGTTTTTATAGTGATTTCACGGCGATTCCATAAAGATGTCATCAACCAGAAGAACGCATTTTTAGCTGCCGTGATATGAGTTGTAAGATCTTTGTCTTTTATTATCAGTTATCATCTTTTGCCTGTCCATTTGGTATTAGAGTGGACCCAAGGTATTTGAAATCGGGCATTTCCTCAATCGCCATGAATTTAAGAGGCATTTTATCAGCTTCTTGCACATAGGACGAAAAGATTTTCGTTTTATTTACATTGATCCTGAGTCCGATTCTTGCTGCAGTTTCTGATACGTTATTTAGTATTATTTGCATAACTGTCAGCAAAAGGGACTACATCATCAGCGTATTCAAGATCTCTGATACGATACTCTGGACTAATTTAGACCAGTTTTCAGTTTTCAATCTTGAGTGCCGACAAGCGGTGTCCATTATCGAGTCTGTCGCACAGTTGAATACTGTGGGAGAAAGGACGCAGCCCTGACGGACACCTGTTCTTATTTTGAAGGAATCTGTCAGTTACCCATATACACAGACCTGCGCCGACGTGCGCTCATAAAATGCCTTTATGAGTCTAATGATTTTCTCTGGAACATCGTCACGTTCCATCACTTTCCAAAGCACCGTTCTATCAATTGAATCAAAGGCACCCGTAAAGTCGATGAAACATATGGCAGTGGGTTGCAAACTTAACGTGAATATCTGGTCAGCACAACCGCGTCCTGGTGTGAAACCAGCTTGATTGGGCGCATCTTCTGTCCCATATTTCCATAAGTCTGTTGAGTAGCAGGGAAGCAAAAATTTTTGAGACGTTTAGTAGCTGATTTCTCGATAATTGTCGCATTATGTCCTGTCATCTTGAGAATTGGGAGTAGAATTGCTTTGCTCTAATCATCTGGTAATATTTCTTTTTTTCCATATTGAAGAATACATTTATTGAAGGTGCGTTACGAAAGACGATGAACAGCATTTGAAAAGTTCAGCTGGAAGACCGTCTTCTTCTGGAGTTTTGTTGGCCTTATGCTTATGGATAACTGAAATTATTTCTTCTTCTGTTGGAGGCTCGCAGTTGCAAGCGTATGCTTCGGCAAACGTATCTTCATGTTTAAGTTTGGCCTTTTTTCCATCTTATGAGGCGATCCTTAATACTTTTGATTAGTACGCCATTGCTTACCATTTCACTGATCGTTCTCCGAGTCATAGTTGTTTTATGAAGAAGGCGGAATAGTTTCCTATTATCGCTTAATCGGGCCGCCGTCTCCATTCTTAAGGCCATATCACTCCAGATATCTGTCCCGCCCTGCTGCTTTCGTTGTAAATATTCGATGCACCCGGTAGTCAGGATCATATTCGTTCGTTCTTTGACAGCTTTTTCAGATAGTTGGAATAATTGAACAGTTGCTTCTGATATCAAATTAGCACACTTCCTACTAGTATGCCCTAGAAGTGGTTGATTTATGGAGGCATTCCTTTAGTTTGGACCAGTATTCATTTGCCGTTCCAGAAAAATCATTGATATTTGTATTATTGAGATGCTTCAATAATTCGGTTTGAAATATCCTCAAATTGTTTAGTTTGAGATAGTTGAAGGATCTCGGGGGATGCTGTTTTCGAGTTGTCAATTTTATGCGGATCTTGGCTCGAACCATAACATGGTTAGATCCTTGAAGATTGCCCGTTTCAGCTCCGCGATAGGAACGAGTACGGAACTTTTCCAATGGCGACTGACTAAGGTATAATCGAACTGGTTGAAGTGTTGGTTGTCCGGGAGTTCCACGTGACTAGATGTTTTTGTAATGCCGAAAGCAAGTATTAGTAACAAAAAATGCTCTTCGGCATAACGAAGAAGACGTTCCCCATTGGCACACCGGTTTCCGATGCCATATTTGCCAATTGTTGAAGTCATCGCAGATGTTTATGATCTACGCGAGCACATTCCAGTCTCCCTCGATTATGATCATGTTTCGGTAGAAACTTCGGTAGAAACTAGAAACTTTGTTAGCAGTTGAAGTTCCGCATAGAACTTGTCACGCTCATCTGCCGACAGCGTTGGAGTATAGACACTGATGACCGAGATATTGCATAATACTCTTAAAATGGACATAGGCCATACGGTCGTTTGCCGGTTTCCGCTCAATTAGAGCGGAATGGGCCTTGTCAGATATGACAATCGCTGCGCCATTTCGTCCCGAGTTATTCGAAGCATCACAGTGATATAGCCAGTATCTCTGGTTAGAATTAATAATTGCTCGAGACCTCAAGTGAAGAAGACGGACCTCCAACAGGCGATATCCACACGATACTTAGACAAGGTGTGGACAGTGATCGTTTGGCTTGCAACGTCCATAAGTATTCTGATGTTCCACGCTGATACGGCTAATACCTCGCAGGACTGTTCCTAATACCTTGCAGAGGGCTGTTCCTCTTTTATAGATTTCGAGCAATTACCCTAGCTTGAGAGCACATTTTATTTACCAGCCTTGGAATCGCTTTAAGCCCAGATTGTAAACTTATCGCATGTACCACCGGGCTCGAAGTATCATGCGCGTCAGGAGATGCGGACGCCGTATCAAGTGTATCTGACCATTTCACCATAGCACCATAGAATCACTTAGGGGTAGAGTCACAGGTGAGTCCCCAACAGCCACTCGGACTTTTGACATAATAGTTTACTCCTACCAAAGACAAAAAAGAATTAAATTTGATAAAAATTAAATAAATTTTGTATATATTTATTTCATTTCATTTTATTGTGGATTTTTTTTTCGAAACTTCTGAAAGAGGAGCGAAAATAAAAAATGATATTTATTTCTCATTTTACCTCATTTTTATCTTATAAATTTGAATCAATGGAAAAAACGAAGAAAATGGCTGAAAAATGGATGTGAACATATGGTGACCATATTTCTTTACCATGTTTTCGCGAAAAGAGTATTTCAAAAAAAATTTCACTGGTGTCAAAAAAAGAAGGAAATGTTTTCCGTCTATTTTCATCCATTCCGAAATTGCAAAATATTATATTGTAGATATTATAAAGATAAGATTATAAACATTATAAATTATAAAGAGCCGCAAACGCCATGAAAATATATGCAGTAATCACGTAGTGGGCCGTAAAAGCTGTTCAGCTTTGCGAAACCTGTTACAATTATTCTTTATCGTCCATTTTATCCATTGTGACACCAAAATCCACTTTTTTGGCATCGCACGGTATCTAGCAGCACTGCGTTCCTTTCTTATAACCAGATAGTCTTAGAATATCTCCTCAAATCCCATGTCATTTCTAATCCTGTTCTGTACTGATGCAAAATTCTTATCATAAGAAAATAACATTGTCCAAAAAGTATTGCGAAATTGCAGGTGCTGTGCCACCTTTTAATATTATTTAAAACTTGTAATATTGCTAAGCCCTTCAGAACCTGTCAAGTTCTTCCCTTTGTTGTGCTCGTTTGTCATAATCCATCAGAACATCATTCGAAGCTCTCATCTCAAATTCTGTTTGGCACCACCCTCCCATATTTTATTCATATTTTATTCCCTTAATACCCCGTCAAACCTTGCTATAAAAGAGCACATGACTGACGATTACAGCTGCTACGGCGTGAAGTATAGCGAGAATTGGAGTAACAGATGTATTGATTGTATTTGCCTTAATTTTCTTATTTACGTACATTTATAATTCAAGTGCTTTTGAATCGTCCAGTGTCAGTGACAGTTGCAATATATGCTGATGTTTATCACGAGACAATGAAAAACAAACAGTTCACGCTGAAGATTTTCTTTTTAATTTTATCGCCAGGCTTGGTTTTGATGTTTTCAATTATAATCAAATATAATTATCAAAATTACATATATTCACCACCCTCATTTGATTAAAATAGCTTTATTTGCCTTATCATTAAATAAGGAGTGAGTTCATTTTTTAATTAGACTAGCTCCATTGGTTGTTAAAAATTCTTGTCCGGAGGCTAATTGGCAATAGAAAAACAGATGGGTTACCAGCGCCACCCAGATTTTAATGTTTGCTTCTGCCGGAAATAGTAAGCGAAATCTTTGCCTCTTAATGCACTAATCTAGTGATTGCTGTCCACTAGGCCATCTTACTCTTTACATTTTATTTTTTTCCGTGGCATATGAATACAAGTATGTCGAAATAAAAAAAAGCGATATGGACGAAGTGATTTTATAATATAATTAGTATACTTACGAATTAATTCATGAGAATAAGAAATATTCTACAGAAAGGTTAATGATTAAGTAATTAAGATTAATTCCATTTTAATCCATTTTAATTTTATTCCATTTTAATTAAACATTCCGAATAAAAGTTAATTTAATGAGGTCGAAGATATCCCTCTATTATTAGATTATTTCAATTTTATTAATTGTAATGAATGACAAAGACAGCTTAACATATCGAATTTCTTTTTTATAAAATAAGGAAATCAAATTAAAATAGTTTTTACTGAAAAAGACTTTCTTATATTTTAATGTTCTTATATCCCTTTACGAAAGAGTATTTTAAGGATAAAAAGAAACGCAGCATGCGGATTTGAATTTGGAAAGTTTCACTCACACATAAGGGCAAGGATTCGCAACTATCTATGATTCTTGAACGCTGATTGAACAGTCTTAATAATTAACAATAACAATACAAATAATTAGATAATATTAGAGATATCGGATAATTTCTCCAAAGTGATGCTTGTGGAGTGTCTGGAAAAGATCCTCTGCGCCACCTAAGTATCTTCATATAAAGGATAAAAAAGGATAAAAGGAAAGACAGCAGCATTTTAAAAATGCATACTAGCTAGGACTTAACCTGCAATCAAAGGACTAGTCAAACAGATTGGACCCTAAAAAATTAAACTAAAATAAAGTCAAAGTGAAAAATACCTATCACCATTCTATTTTTGTGCGACGCGACCAAGAGATCAATATTTTTAATTTTAAAGGGACAAAAAAGATAAAAGAAAGACTTCATTTAATTTTATGGACATAGAAGATGTACATCTAATAAAAATAAAATGATAAAATAATATATGTAATCGCAGTCATAAATTATGAAATATTTTGGTACACCCGTTTAGAAAGCTATCTAAACCACATCGGATTATATCATAAATCAGTTACAGGTGATGCAAGGATTGTGCATTGAATAATCAATAGCAGTTGTACCAACAGTACGAGGTGACACTCGCTCATAATGATTGTTCAGAAGACTATTGCCTGGAGCACCTTGTTGTAACTGATAAACCACATCTTCGACCATTTCTTTTAATTCGTAGAATGTTGGCCGACGTTTTGGATCTTCTATCCAGCAAACAAGCATTACTTTCTTATATCTAAGAAACAATGATTTAAATTTCATTTCATTTGGTGGAATATTAAATCAATTCAAATCAACAAACAGTATCAAATTCATGAAATGGCATTATTTATCATAATTTTCATTAACAACTTACAATATGTTTGGGCACCCCTTTGGTTGGCTTAATCGATGACCGTTTTTTAACAATCTAATAATTTCAGAAGTTTCCAAATCACCATAAGGTATTAGGCCACGCGTAGCAAGTTCCCATAAAACAACACCATATGCCCATATATCTGCTTTGAATGTATACTAAAATTGTCAAATTGTAGGAAAAATACCAGTTTACTCACTGATTAATCATTGAAGATTATTAAACCTACTGATAAATTGGGAGCAAAATGATCATTTCAAAGAAAGTGTCTCAATAACCCTAAGTACTTTAGCAAGTATTAGAACCTGTTGTTCCTCTAATGATTCGATAGGCATCCATCGAACAGGAATTCCCCGATCTTTATTGATAGCTTCATACATGCCACACGCGGAAACATCTCGACTTAAGCCAAAATCAGCAATTTTTACAGTAAGATTCGCATCCATCCTAAATTTCTCATATTTATTCATTAAAATTCTAAAAACCAATAAAAAATTGGTAAATAAAACTGAAAATTTCATTTATTTCTTAATAAAAAGATTGCATGGCTAGGTGTTGACAATTATAACATTTAGCGATTTTAAACTAACTGCTATGACTGGTGTATATCGCTTAGCGAAAAGTTTAAATAAATATAGTACAATATTCATAATACAATAAATTCAATATTTATGTATATGAAATTTTTATTTATAATGAAATGTATATATTTACTGGAAATCAGACAAAAATTTTATAGGGATCTGGCATCTTTTAAATGAAGAAATTATCGAAAAAATTCCCGAAACTTTTAGCGAATTTTTTCGATCTCTTGATAATGACAGAATTAAATATACTAGACTCAGACTTGTTCAATTTTCATTCATTTATTAACTTATAATTTATTATTAAATTTTGAATAGCACGTTTCTTCATGCCTAATTAGCATTTACAAAAAAATATGAAAGTTTTTCGCAACGCAAAGCAAATTTTAATGCGTATTCAAATAAGTGAAATGAGGAATATAAGAAAAAGAAATAAGATATAAGAAAAAAAATGTAAAAAAACCGACATGCAATTTCTTGCAGCCAGATCACGATGAATGAAGTTTAAGCTGTGCAGATATTGCATACCATTAGCAATTTGTATCGCAAAACTAAGCAAATTGCGAAATGTTAATTTCTGCAAAAAATTAAATAGAATTTTTCAACAAGGACGAAACATGAATGATATAAATCGAAAAATTTTTGGGAATGTGGGATATATAAACGGCAAAAATTTAAAAATACGAAAAATTTTTTCTTTCACGCAAAGAAAAAATTTTCAACGCATATGATGAAAATTTAGTTTTATAGCAGATATCTCAGCAACTTTAGATAATGTATACCCTAAAATGAAATTCCAAAGATTTTTGCTGACAAGAACTGGTATAAAAGTTTACAAGTCATTTTTCAAAAAATATTTTTTGGTAGCCCAGAGTTACCTCTAATGGCTAAAGTAATATGGAACAGGGATATAAAATAGGGATATGGAATATAATACTGATTTTCTGGGTTTTAACTTTAGTGAAATAATTTTATAATTTTATAACTAAAAAAATAATTTTAAAAAAATGATCCTACATAAGCCGATATGCCACATTCCTATTTTTTACGATAAGGAAACAAAATGTTCCAGGAAAAAGATGAACTTTACCAAGAAGATGGAGAACAATAATTTATATGAACAGATAAAAATAATGTAACAATAGGACAAAATGAAAATTAAAATATAGTACATTATCAGGATTGATAATATAATGCCGAAGATCACCATTTTCCATATAATCAGTGACAATAATAGGACAATAGTTTTCAGTAATTGAAATGCCTATTAAACAAGCCACGTTTGTGTGATCGAAATTTGCCATAATAAGGCCCTCACGTAGGAATTCACTGATCCCAACCGAATACTGATGACAATCAATTGTTTTACAAGCAACATCGCGTGATTTTCCATTTTTAAGGCGATATAATCCTTTATAAACTATTCCATAATTACCTCAAAATAAACTATTAACTTTAATTAAGCAATTTTAATTATTTATTTAGTAATATGCAATAATAGGAGGGAAAATTTAAGAAATTTTTGGAAAATGCAATAGATGGTTAAAATGCTATATAGAATCTTTATTTTAAATCCTCTATCACGACTCACATTTGAATCTTAGAGATAATCCCTTTTATAACCAAAAAAAGACCAATCTTTCAAATCAAATTTGTACAAAAGAACTGTGAATTAAGCGAGATACGCAGTGAACATTGGAACCAAAATGGCATCAAAGGATAAAGATAAGTGGAAATAAGTAACTATTTAGAAGTATAGGTATAGTAAGTATAAGTATAGTATAGGTCAAGAAGTATAGATGTATAGGTTTTGCATTTAAAAAAAGACCAAAAAAATAAAAGAAGCAAAAATAAAAACTAATTGGCATGAGCATAAGAAAATGTGGTTGGAATTTACATTCAAATGTTTCTCTTACTACCGCAGCTATACAATAAAAAAGTTCCCCACGGAGATCAAGGAATCGCGATGGAATTTCAATTTCGATCGCAAAAGCTCTACCAGAAAAAACAAATAAAATATGCATAAAAAATTTTTTGCATGCAGTACATATTTACATTAATAAATAAATATATATATCCAAAACATTACTTAAAATATATTTTGATTGAGATCGAAGTTTATAAAAAGCACAATACATTAAGAGATACCATAGGAATTGGCTTCCATATTTCATGAAGGAGTTAAAAGGATTTTGTAACTAAATTAAGTGGGGAAATAACAGTACAATATTGTTTTGGCCATAATGTTAGAATAGTGATCTTTGCCTTGGTCTTGAAATCTCCTGCTTTTATTACACGAGGAAATTCAAAAGAAACGCAAGATTTTAGTACAGATATGGTCTTCTTTTCAAATTCTTTCCAGAATTAAACGCTTAGAAGTAAGGGAAAGTACAAAAAAAAAAATAAAAGCAGGAGTTAAATATGAGGCAAAATTGCTTGGAGCAATTGTTTCGAAAACTTCGAAATTTGGCAAATAACCAATGATACGTTTCCTTAGGTTCAACAGTACATTATAATGTTGTATTAACATTAATAAATATGCTATATAAATATATACATATATATATATATAAAACAAACAAACCTTTTCCAATTTCATCATGGATTTCTAAATCATTTAGAGAGATCCTAAGTTTCGGATCAATGTCCATGAAAAGATTCTTATAGGAATATAAAGATTTATTATTGTAACAAAGCGAATAATGACCCGTATATGCGTTATTTTCTGCTGAAGATTTCAAAAAAATTGATGAGAATATTTTCAAATATTTCAAAAATATTTTGAAAATAAGAATGTACAAAATATTTAATAAAAATCAAGATTTAATTGGTTAAATTAATTAAAATTGATTATTCGATGATGATATTATAAAATTTTTTAACACTCTAATTAATAGCTATTTCGAAAGAAATAATCGTAAATTTAGAAAGATATTATGTGATGCCAAGTTAAAGAAGTATAGATATATAAATAAATGAGCAAAATTTAAAAATTGCCATGTCCAAAGATGGAGCCATTCAACGTAGTTAGATCGACTTGTGAACCTGTAGCATCAGCGAATTTGTTTTTTAGATTTACCCTCTAAAATATAAAAAAAAAATAAAACTTCAATAAAAATATAATTTCTCACACAAATTAATTACTAGAATAGATTGATGCAAATCGCCTCAGTTCAGGGATAAAAAAACTGAAAATAAATTAATAAGGGTACATTATCGAATTTAATATAGTACTATATATACTATACAAAAATATTATCGATATTAGAAGCATTTAATAATTGTTAGAAAACCATTATTCGCTAGATAAGGAATTATTTTTTTTAAAAGCCTTCACCATTACTGAGTGGACAAATATACCAGGGAGACCCTTGCCGATAGAAGTGAAGGTGAGTCGCTATCATCACCAAAATTTTTGAAATTTTTGAGGTTTACTCCTGCGGGGAGTAGAACCTCAGTATCGGCGCTCTGCAACAGCCCATTGAGCCATTCTACTCGCAGAGATGAAGAATTAACTAGAAATAAAAAAATTCTATTAAAAATATTTTGAAGAAAGAAACGAACCGCTTGATACCTACGAATAATCCATACAATAAGCAAAATAAGTATAGCAAGAATAATTATCGAGAAAATTGATATTAACATTTTAGTTCGTCTGAAAAACCGATAAATCAAGTTTATTTTCATAAATCATAATTTTTTTATTTTGAAAAATAGAAATTCTTTATTTTATTAAGCTAAGACGACTGCCTGATTAAAAGCTTCTTGACAAAGTAAATTGTTGAAAAAATTCAAAAAAAATATACTTAGTGCCTTTCGTACTATGACTTGTTTCTGGTGAATCAGAAACAGGATTAACTGTGTAAGATACATTATAAGGGCCAAAATTTTGAAGATCACCTTCAACCAGAACTGCACATCCTCGAGGAGAATAAGGAGATACGGAGACAGTGCATATTATCCTTAAAATAGAGAAGAGCTAAAAAAATAACTTACAAATAACTAAACTGTTAAAAATCAAAGCACTATTTACAATAGGTTTTTTTTGGGTTTTTGCAAAATGCATCAAAATTAATTTGCAAGCAAACACATAAAAGAAGTGTATAAAGACATGCCTTTTTGACTGCACAATTTCAATGGAACAAGGTTGATCACAAATTTTAACGCTTATTTCTTCCAGATAATTAAATTTTCGGCCATAAATTTCATACTTAGTTCCACTTTTTTTGGAAGAAGGTATAACCTAAAATAATTTGAAATATTATCATCAAATAATTCAGCAATAAAAAGGACATTTTACCTGTGTTATCATGGTAGATGCTAGCATTTCTATTTATCTAATGCTTCTGAAAAACTTGAAGAGGACCAGCCACATTGTTAAAAATATAAGAAGGATATCCAGAAAACAGAAACCGATATGAACCGATCTACAGTTCCTAAGATGACATTCTGGTCCCTTCATGAGTAAGGATTTAAGTAAGAAAACAAATGATAAAAAATTCAATAAAAAGAACGAACATGCACGATATAAGGCAAACAAATTCCATTAAGAACTTGGTAATCACACTTTTGCGATAATGAAATAGCAAAACCTAGTCTGTTTGCTGTTAGACACCATACACATTTTAGAGGATCCATCCATGCAATATCGTCCAACGCATAACATGTATCGTAAAAATTTGAACAAGATATTTTTAATGTTGATAACTGAAAATAAGATAATATTACTGCAGTAAAGAAAATAATAAAAATAGGAATAACAGGTTGCTATTTTTTTTTCAATACTCATCATTCTTGATTTGGCTGACTATATATTCTGGATCATAAATTATCATCTGAAGTCAGGAGATATCAACCAGACTTCACTTTGATGATAGACTTAGACTTACTACTGTCAAGGAACAATGATATGATGGGTGTTTCTGAGAACGTGACCATCCCCAATAAATTTAAAAACATTTGGCAATCCATTCATTTATTTTCAGTTATTCCAAGAGAAAAAATTGAAAAACAAAATTTCAAAGGACAAAAATAACCTGATTATGTGCCCTATGAACGTAAACGATCAAATTTAGCGACACATCAATTGCAAAAGAAAAAGATGAATCCAAAAGCGATTTCTTTGACCAAAGCACCACAGCTTTCTCATTAACTGAACGGCGGATCTGAAATTAATGTATATCACAGAGGTATTAAATAAAACAGTTTACAGTTTATCAGCAGTTTATTGATAACATAAATAACAGCATAGTTAATCGTTTAATAATAAGTAATTGCCCTATATAGTTGTCCATTCGAGTTCAGTATAAATAATGAATCGGTATCTTGGCCACTCTGAAGTGCTATTATTCGACCAAATGAATGCGCCAGCCTAAATTTTAAGTTGATAAAAAATAGCTTATTACAAAATCATTTGAAAACCAATGTCTATTATTGTAAAATTATGAGAAGCAATTAAATAAAATCAGGAAATAAATTTCCAGTGGCTTTTTATTTTAATTATATTTTTGAACAATATTTGTATTTTGTAATTTTTAACAATATTCATACTGATCAGTGAAAAAAAATAAAAATATTAAATAAGCTTGAAATATTGGGGAAGCTGAGATGATATAGTAAAATCATACACAGCAAATAGACTGCCTTTGATAGGACTATAGCTTTCAATCCATCCATGTCGATAAGCTGTTGAATGATATGGAATTGTGTTACAATTATCAATTGGTTGACTCGAAAAATCCTAAATAATTTTAATAAAATAAATTAACAAATTAATTATCTTAATGAAAGGATTAAATGAAAGAATTGCCCATTGAATTCTAAATATTTCTTAAAATAGTGAAACCTAAAATTTACCGCTCCATAACGTGTGCAAGATAATACCGGTCGTCTATCAGTTCGCTGAGTGAATACAAAACAGTATAAAGGAACGTTTTGCGAGATATCGATCTTGGTGCATCGCTGAAAACAAATTGAATGCCTGCGGGGGACCATTTATTAGCAATGATGATAAGAATTGTTTGATTATGATAATTGTTTAGCGATGATAAGAAATAAGGATGATTTAGATTACGATAAGACAATAAGGGATGCACGATTCATGTCCCCTGACAGAAGCAAACCTGTCATTATATTTGCAAATCCCGATACTGCTTCTCTTCGCAATCACTCTCATTGATGGCAACTCACAGCCAATATAAAATGCTTATGGAGAAATAAAAAGAGGAAAAAACGCATAAAAGAAAAATTAAGTTACATACATCATAGGTAATTATTGATAATTATCAGTTGGATATTTAAGATTATACGAAAGACACTTATTTTCGGTTTCTCTCAAAAAAGTTTTCTTATTGCAAATATAATTAAAATTTATGAACATAAATATGATAAATGTTGAATGCGAATATGTGAGTTACATCTAAATTGTTGACAAATGCTTCGTGCTGGCAATCATCCCATAATTTTTTCAAAAATCTGTCAACATCGACCATCCTATACGAACAAATATTGGTTATACGATGATTAAGAGACTGGAATACTACATATAGTTCATCAGTTTCTTCACGATAATACGCAGCATCAGCTTTTATATTTTCACTGATTTCTGAAATTAGTTGCCAGAAACCTTCGCTTCATAATAGAAGCAGAAATAGAAAATGAAGATAAAAAATTAAAAATTAACCAAAATTTCCACAAGTAATTGCCGAATCAATCCTCGAATCCACATTAATGCTCACGTCATTCTCGCACATCCTCGATATTCTAGCGGAGAAAAGTTTCCATTCCGTATAATCTGATTCTCTCAATGGATCTTGCGGCCGTAATATGCTATCCAAGAAATATGTAAATCGTCCTCTACTGAAAGCCAATACCATTGACTGCTGCGTGCCTTTGTTTGCGCCATCAGAAAAAATTGCATTAGGTGTTTTACGGCTAAAAAATTTTAAAATAACCATTAGGCAAGATTATTTACAAAATAATGCTTTATATGAAGGAGAAGTATAGTTAAGCAATTACTAATCTGAAGCTTGAACCAACTTCTATTCGATTCATTCTCTATGGCGAAAAAAAGCTTATCAATTGAAGTTTAGTTTACGACGTTGAGGAACCCATCTGTATTTCTATCTCCAAATGGCCCCCAACGGACTACACTCTAATACACTCTAATAGCCAATGCAGCCCGCCAAGTGAAAAGGTTTCGCCAATTCATTGCCGGTCGAGGAAATGCCTGATTTCAAATACCTTGGGTCCACTCTAATACCAAATGGACAGGTGAAAGATGATATTATAACTCGGATCACGGTAGCCAGAAATGCGTTCTTCCGGTTGACGAAACCTTTATGGACGATCTTACTATATGGTTCTGAAACATGGCCAATGAGAGTGGAGGACACCAAGAAGTTATCTGTCTTTTGACCACTCTTGTCTAAGGTACATATTACGGATCCGTCGAGTGGATAAAATATCACAAGATCGCATCCATCTTCGTTCAAATACCATTTGCATAAATAATGTTATCACAGAGCGCCGCCTTCGCTAGTTAGGGCAAATTTTCCGCCGTCCACCACAGGAGTTGACGCGTATTTCGTTATTTGCTTAACCATGTAACGGTTGGCGTTAAAAGCGAGGTGGGTCAATCAAGACCTAGACTGATACGGTGAGAAAAGATTTTGAACGTATAGGTAGACCAGCAATATATGGACTTAGACGATGGAAAAAGGAATGGCTTCCATTACTGTCGACGATAGCATCAAATCGCGCCGCTTGAAAGCGTCTTACCCTTGTAACCGTTGGAGCAAGCCTAACCAGTAATAGTGAGAGCTGCTAGAAGAAGAAGTTGGATCACCAGTACTTCTATCGCTAAAACATTCTATGACAAAAATTTCTCCCAAATAATGAGCGCTAACCAGTAACTTACTATTATATTATACATTTATTCACTGCTCTGAAAATCTAATTTAATATAATCGATATTTAAATTCATTTACAAATAATCTTCTCCGGTCAACAAAAATGAAGAGAAATTCACATAGTATAATAATTTGCTCATTAATAGAAAATGGTCAATAGTTCTGCTCTTTACTTGCCTAGCATTCGATGAAACTCGCTAATTAAATCTTTTTAGAAAAAAATAATGAGAAATTACCCATCTGCCGATTTAAGAAATTTGTGAGGGCTATAATGAAGTGGTATGTTCATGCTCACTATTTCTGATTAGACTAGCTCCATTGGCTGTATAGTTAGAAATTTTTGTCAGGGAATCATCTGATGATAGACAATTCGCCAACACCAGATAACCAGATTTTTTGATAACATGCTTATTCTTGCCTGGGGCAGAAGTTAAATCCTTGCCCTTCAGCACGTGCATCTGGGACGCTATCCACTCGCATATTATCCTTCAGTAAGAGCTAAAGTGGAAATTAATATCAAAATTATATAAAATTATAATATAAAATTAATATTAACACTTTAAATTTTTTTATTTATTAAAGATTCATTCCTTAAAAATCTTAAAAAATCAAGAATAAACCTTTCCAAATAATTCCTTTTCCATGAATTATCATATTTAAGCGTGACCATTTGTTCATTGTTGCCAACATAACGAAGAACTATCGAATTGTTGAAAGCTTTTGTTGCAACCGCTGTAACAGCGCTTACATTTTCATTGCTATCAGGAGCATTCAATGCTAGCTTATAGCATTTCAAATCATCACCACCATCATCAAGAAAACATGATCTAAAATATCCCATGGCTTCTCAGTTAATCTCATTTTTTACCATGAATTTAAATTTTATAGGACTTTATATTTTGATTTTTTATCGAAGTAATTTAAGAAATCATTCGATTTAAATCGAATTCTCCAAAAAATTAAAAAAATTAAAAAATAAAAAATTTACAATATTCCAAATATTATAAAATTTTATCAAAGATTTAAAATTATAAATGTTGTAATAACTATTAAATGTTCAGGGGTATGATTATTGCTCTTCTTCATCTTTTAAATAAATAAAGAAAATAGTTGAAAGTTGGGCAATATGGCACATACCGACAGAAATCATGGACACAAAAGAATACAATATTTGAGTTAAAGAATTTCACTTCCTTAATTTCGTCTAATTTGTAATCAAAATCGGTGCTGTATAGTTCCAATGCCGGTGTTTCACTGATATTGAATATTACCAATCGTTTAGTAAGAATAACAGCAAGTAAACCATCTTGTGCGGTTATTCCCAAGATTTTTTCTTGATAAAATTTTATATCAGTTTTTTCTCCCATTACAGAACCATCGTTCCGTTCTAATTTATCGTGAAATTCCGTAGAATTAATTGTTAATGAAGTAATACAGCAGTAGTTCAAAAAAATTATTATTAAAATCCTTTGATTATATAGATTAGAATGGCGCATTGCCTCAGACTTCAAACTCCAGTTTTTCCAAAATTATGTCATAGTTTTTCTTTTGCTGCAAAATAAATATGCTAAAAAAAATGATCTGGATTTAGATCGAATCGCTTTAAATGATTTCGCGATTATAGTAAGGCAATAGACTCAAATTTAGAGAATTTTTGAAAATTTTTCGAGAAGAGAGCAAAACATTCGAATTACGAATTAGAATATAAAAATATTTTGGCTTTTGAAAGTAAATAAAAATTAAAATAATAAAATATAAGAAAACAAAATAATTTGCAAAAAAGAAAATCGAGTTTTTTGCTTCGACGGAATTTAAGCAAGTTAGTTCAACTTCTACTCCTTGGTAAAATAAGCCTGGCATTAAAAGCACAATTCGAATGGTGCCGGAATTGACTGACTCTCTGTCGAAAGACCTATATTTTTAAATGACCAATAGAAGATGCCAAACCGGAATATTATATCGAAACCGGAATAAAAAACGAAGAACATATTACGCAAATAAAATTAATATTTATGGAAATAAAGCAATTAAATATGAAATGTAGATAACAAAATTTTTTTCCTTATCAGCAGAAATGATTTAAAAAAATGAAATCAAATTTTTCATAATCGGCCATATTGTATTGAATATTTCCGCTGAATGCATCTTTGCAACATAATGAAAAGTAAAAAACAATTAAAATATTATAATTAAAATATTTTACTGCTATATATTTTATTGTTTTTATTATATCTTTATTATATTTATATATATATTATTATATATTATATTTATTTATTTTGTTTACTTATTTATGCATTGTTTTTCATTTTCATTTAAAATTAATTAAAAAAATAATGAAAAATTATTCATTTTTCCAAATAAATGACCACATGATATATAAATAGTTTGGTTGGCAATGACAAATTATATATGATTCTATCCAGAAAGTGATTTTATTCCTACAATCTTCAGGGGCCTAACAAACCAAAAACATTAATTATTGATGCGATTTGAAACACTCAATTAATCGGCAGAAAGTAAATGGCGGTTCAGATCAGGTTATTGAGAGGTTTGGCTTTCTCCCAACAGGAGCAAACTAACTTAAAAAATATCGATGGTATTGGCGATCCACTTCTATATATATTCACAAACGATGTATTTACAAATGATTTTCTAGCGAAATTTCTAAAAATTTCTAACAAGTAGTGGAGATAATTGGACTAGAGGCAGTGAGCACCATCCTTAATTTTTTTGATTAGTAGAGCAATAGCAATAATGGCGAAAAAAAAATTTTAAATTAATTTTAAAATTTTAAATTTCAAATTTCAATTCACAACTCGTAAAAATAATTTGGATAATTAATAATTTCAACAAATTCAATAAAATTGTTTTTTCCAGGCAATCATTAACACCAATCGATAGCTTCCAGTATTTATAAACACAGTTTTCTGATATCCAATAAATATATAGAACTGTTATAAATATCGGTTAAGTTTTTCTAAAAATTCTATTCACTGCTGGTTCGTTAGCTCATCATACTGGACAAATTTTGCCAAGGAGTCACTTGGCGATAAAAATACAGGTGAGTAATCGGTACCACATGGATTTTTTGACAAATTTATTCCTACCGGGAGATCAGCATCGGCTCTCCAAGGTAACCGACAATCCATTGATGCATTTTATTTTTTTTTCATTGACCATTGCCGCTGGACGAAGCGTGATGCTTTGACCGAACAATCTCGGTGGCAATCACCTAAGCAACCTACTCGTTAGAGTACTTTGTACCAAATTAAAACGACTGGTTAGGACGATGGGCGATTCATTTATTTGACAAGCATAAAGAATTATGGATGATGTGATTCGGTTCGATATATAATGTATAAAAATGCATATTAAATTATTTATTTTTAAAAAAAACAATTAAACGATTAAACTAAACGATTTTTTGAATAATTTGTTTTAACTTTATTTTTAGCATTTAAAATGCATTTTTTATTTGATTTAAATTTAAATCTTTTAAATTAAAATATTAAAATTAAAAACAAATTATTAAGATTAAATTTCTGTAAGGATGGCTTACTGATTATTACTAAAGAAGTTGAATCATTCAATAGCAAATGGATTGCTGACATCTGAAACCAAATGACTGAAAAATGCTATATGATATGGTAATTTAAAAGGCCTCTTGATCAAATTAAAAAATGATTGGTTTTATATCTGGATAACCAAAATGAAATTTAAAGCATCAACCAACTGTTCCAGTTTTTTATGGACTTTATAATTCTTTTTCTTGGACCGGCTTTAAAGTTATTCATGAGGAATAAAAAAGGCATATTAAATATACTTTTTAAGCATCTTCTTGGAAATCTCACACTTATAGCTAACCAATAATGGTATATCGAATAAAAAGAAAAAAGCAGAATAGCGACTTGAGTTTCTAAAATTTATTTTCGCTACCTGAGATGTAAATAAGTAAATAAATAAGAAAGAAAATGTTTACTAATGGCAAATATCGAAAAATTTCGATGATAATAAAACAATAAAGATGTTTGCAGAAAACGAAATCCATACGAAGTTCAATTATTTTCTCATTTTTTTTTAAACAAATGCTGCAAAAAAGAAAATTAGAAAGAAACTTCGATAGGTTTTTTATTAATGTAAAAGTTGATTAATACTTTACAAATGACTAATGGAAAACAAAATAATGAGACTTAATACGACCTGTGAAATAGGAGTTGTTACTTCGATACATTTCTAATAACCAATCAACTTTTATAAAGTAAAAATTCCAGGAAGTAAGTGGTTAATCACGTTCACCATTCCCCGCTCATCGTTTATGATTGAACTAGCTGCGCTATCAATTACTACGATTAGAAATTTTTGTCAAGGAGATGCTTAGCGATAAAATAGAGGCCGATCGTTAAATTACCCAGATTTCTTAATGAAAGGTTTGTTTCTGTAAGTGAAACGATGTTCTGAAAGCATTCTGAATCAATGGAAAGCATAATTAAGTAAATTAATAAATAAAGTACCATCATGTTTCCTTCCTTTCCTTATTTTTACTTATCTTTACTTATGGTTTCCTTCCTTTCCTTATTTTTACTTATCTTTACTTATGTTCACAAATTTTTTTCTCCACTTTTCCTTCGTATTTTCATGATTTTTTTCATATCGATTCATCGTTAGAAGTTTTTATATTAAAAAAAAATAAATTTATTTAAAGCAACCGATAGATAAAATTAGTAAATAAAATTAATCTCGTCATGAACGATGAATTTCATTTTCGCATTTCGTCTTCTAGTTGTTCTTCTAGAAATATAAAGTATCAAGTATAAAGTAAATGTAAATATTATACTAAAAATTATTTAGTCAGCACTTTTACGGTGTTTCGAATTATTTTCAAGAAAAAATTAGAGAGGCAAATTATTTCAAAAAGAAAAAGAAACTGACAATAAATCCAATCCAACTGATAGCAGGATAGACGAGTTGCTCGGATTATTATCGTCTTGAGCGTCAAGGGTTTGTATCCCGCAAGAGTGGATTATTTATTAAAAAATGCGGATGATGCTGCCGACCTATGCATTGCTAAATTAACCCCTTAGCAAACAATTCTCATCCTATCAATAGCCGATGGAGCAAACCTAACTGAATACAAAAAAAGGAAAACCGTGTTCAAAGGAGTTCTCTTTTCATTATTTCGAAGATATAATCTATAAGCATCATTCTATACAAGTTATAATCAAATATATTCAAACAATATTGTTTCACTATTGTATATTTATTTACTATTTAATAAAAATTATCAGACTGATAAATGAGAGTCGAATGCTATTAATAATTATTAATGATAAACCAAAAAAACTTTTAAAAACATATATGTATTTTTAATAGCAAAGTTCATTATAAAAGCTCTAAGAATAAATTCTAATCACAAATTACGATATTAGTTTGTAATATCATAATTTCTATGCATTTGAAATGTTCTTTTTAAATATGTGGATATATCCTTAATATTTCAGAAAATATGATTTTTCAAGTAATATTATGGAAAAAAATTTTTTCATGATTAGTAACCGAAGTATTATTGACATTGGTTTTTACATTGGAATTCGGCAAATTGATGATGGAAATAATAAAGTAATTGCAAAATATATTTCGCATAACGTGGATAAGCTTGCCAAAATTTATAATAATTAATGAATTATTATTGCCAATAATAATAATAGTAATATATGGTGGAAATATATTTAAAAATGTAGGTATTAGATGAGAATTCGATTAAAAGGCAATTTATGCCCCGCGGTCATAAAAAAAACCACTCACGAAGCATTTCGAAGGCATTGCAAATATGTATTTAGAATGGTGAACTGTAATAAGAATCAACTGGAATAAGCAAACAGCAAAAATCAACTAAGACAGGCGAAAGAGAAATGATTTTTACAACACATTGCAGACGAGCAAAACATTAGAGCGCATCACATCGTTTGGAGCAAAATTACAACAGAAGAGGAAAATTATCGAGAAATGCAAAGTCGATAAGAAGAAATTTGTAGAAGTTTAAACAAATCATTTCAAAATATATTGGGAATAATTCATGATCCGTAATAATGCAACAAAATGAATTGCAGACCAGTAAAATAATAGACCAATAAAATAGATCAATGAATGAAAATTTTTCAGTTAATATTTTAGAAAAATTTTTTCCAATGTGTGATAGCGTATTGTGATTTATCTTATCAGTAAGCAGAACTTTAAGATTTAAAATGCTCCGCTTTAATGTTATCATCATAAATATTATCAAGTTGATAAATCGATCGCTGAAAAAAATTCAGATTCCTTCGCATTTATGCCTTCTGATATCAGGAAATAAAATTATGATACCGCTGACCTACTTATAATACTATTCTCAAGTGCCTCTATGGCATAGAAATATTATCTTGTGGAGCTAACGAAGACGAAGCTAAAGTTCTAATACTTTTAGAAGAAATATTTTATTTTTTTTATTATGAATTTTTTTATATAGCATAATTTTCCTTCATCATGGGAAATAAAATATTTTTTTAACCAAAAATAATGAGAATTTAATCGAGCTGTCGAAGTTCCATTTAACCAATTTTATAGAAAGAAGATTGTGGGGATAAAGTGGGCTGTTGCTCAATTGGGAGCGCCAGTGCTGAGGTTCTATTCCCCACAGGAGAATCTGTACAGAAATCAGGATAATGCTGACGACTCACTTGTACTTCTGTCGCCAAGGGACTTCCTGGCATGTTGCCCAATGTGACAAACCAGTAGAACGAGTTTAACCAGTAATGGTGAGGACTCTTAAAAAAAATTAGAAGGAGGCAAATTTAGTTAAAATTTGGAAATAATATAATATTATGAAACCGGGGAAGTCTGGAGTTAAAAAAAGGCTAATGGAACAAATTTTGGACACATGGACGAGACAAGATAATATGGTGAAATGCTATAATAAAAGGGATTATCAGCTTGTGGCTCAACGCTTCAACCTTGGAAAAAAGAAGCTGCTCTCTCAACTGGAAAGGAATATACTCTGCACTATATCGCAGACCAAATGTTCTAAAAGAAGAGGAAAGAAGGGACGTGCCACAGTTGGCAAACTGGAAGTTATCTTCCAACATCTCCATTATAAAGGAAAACAATTGACATAAGGCAAAAAACCATGAATACTGGCTATAATTAACCATCGAGTGCAGAGGATCAGTAAAGTACTGCCATATAATATACTTGAAGGTGCAAATAGAAAAATTCAATTCAAAATTCAACAGTGAATTTGTATGAATTTGTATATGCCACAGCCAATGTAATTATGGAAATGCTGGGAAACAAAATCAAGAAAACATGCCGTGCCGCCCCTGGAAAAAAAGAATAGAAAATAAGATTAGAACACTACGCAAAAAATTGTAGAAAGGCGTGAAGATTAAGAATAAGATTCGAATACTGGAAAAATACAAGAGCTGCACTCCATCGGAAACTTTAGATACTGACTCATAGCCGCCTAAACAAAGGCCCATTAACACTGGCCACAATGCTAGGGAGATACGCTAACGAAACAGCGGCTAAAAAGATAAATGCTCTATTTTCCAAGGAACCATCCAAAATGCACGCTCAACTACAGTGCTACAATATGGTAACATCACCACTAACACCAGAAACTAGACAATACTAGAAGAATATATGAGAGAAACAGGAGATTCATTAATGCAAAATGGCTTCAAAATCTGAGAACAAGTCACAATCTTTCAGAGCAAGAACCAGCTATTATAACAGTTATTGATATCCAAGCGCGACTCAAAAATATGAAAATTTGGTCCAAATATGATCAAAGCTATTGTTTAAAGAAACTAATAAAGTCCATGAAACTTGGCAATATGGATTGACTTTAGGAAAGTCTATGCACATATATCCACATATGGGTTGTGAATGTCTAGCTCTATACCAAAGTCGTCAACTTTATTAAAAACTCAATCGGACTGAGGAAAAAACGAAATCGGCTCAAAACAGCAAGGTGACCCATATATCTCCCCTATTGTTCTGCATAGATCTAAAACCTCTCAGGCCCCTTAGTCAAATAATAACAAGAAGTGGATATGGATACAACTTAAAGAGCGGAAATACCATCAGCCATCTTCTCTATATGGATGACATCAAGTTATATGTTAAAATCTCACTCGGATTGAAGAAATGTGGTAGGATGGCAGATAATAAAGAGAGGAATAGTGGTTAAGACTGATGAGATGGACCTGCCAACAGGACATACAGGCAACCTGCAAGTCCCACAGTCACTTGACAACCACGACAAGAAAGGTAAAATCTAAGTACCACTAAGAAATAAGACAAATTCCGAAGAGCCAATTCAATGGAAAAAACAAATTCCATGCCATAAACATGTATGCCTTGCCAGCATCAGACAAACAACTGGCCCACAGATGGACTGGAGGTTGACAATGGAGGTTGCTGATGTGAAGACTCGAAAACGCGAAAACTCCTGACAATTTAAACTCCAACACCCAAAGATTATACAACAATTAGAAAGAAAACGCCTATGGTTTGGTGAGTCAAAGTCACTATCTTGAATGATTCAGGAATACATTTCAAGACGGCACCAAAGGATGAGCTAAGAAGATGCCTGCTGCATCAGACATTAGGCAAAGAATGTGTCATTGCAAAGAAAGACCCTTCATGAGATGTACCATCGAAGCATTGATCATAGCACCATAAGAACAGATACTAATCCATCAAAAAAATAAGGAAAGGAAAGAAAACAAGGATACACAAAATTATTCAAAAATACCTCAGAAATACATAGTGGCAGGATGTAAAATACAAACAGAAACAGCATATACTAAAAGACATAAGCAAGTAGGTGACATCATCTACAGGACAATTTGCTGGGTATATGGTTCAGACCCCCACAATACTAAATGTGAGATTCCTCAAAAATCGTGGAAAATAATAAGGCAAAGATTCTATGGGACTTCTCATCTAGGCAGATGAAAAGTGTTGACCAGATATCAATCAGATATCATGGCAGTAGACATATATATAGCAAGTAGCAAAAACAGAAACATTTGGAAGGAATGTGAGAAATGTCAGAAAAAATATCTGAAATATCTGCGGACCAGGTGTGGAAAGTAAAAACCAGTGATAATTGGAGCGCTAGAAACTGTGATATATAAACTAGAAAATTGGTTTTAACAGATTTTAGGAACTTCAAGAACTTCAGAATATCAGAGCTAACATATCCAGATACTTGGCAGAACCTTAATTCTCCAGGTAGAAGAAGCATGATTAAGGTGGCCACCCACAAGAATGAAAAAAGGATTTTTTTATAAGCTGAAGGATTTTGCTTACAATTTTATATTTTTTATTGCAAATATATTTTTCCAACGCAACTTTTTTGGAACCGAAACCTTGAACTACTCATAATAGTTCTTTAATAAGTCTGAAATTGGAAAAAGAAATTAAAAAAATCTCACAAATTGATTATAATTGATAAAATAAAGCTTTTATAATCTATTGGGACGGCCGAGTAATATATTGTTTTCATTAATATCATTGATTCCTAATCCTAGTTGAAAGCAAACCTCCCATTCGAAATTCGAGTGGTGTTGGATATTTTTATCCCCATTTGACTCTCAGGTGCATAGCTCTTATCCTAAAAGCTGCTTAAGTGCGCCAAACTGGGAATGCTGCTAGAGCTGTTTTAGAAAAAGAAGATTTTAGTACGAAAAAAAAAGAGGAATGATTAGATAATATGACTGAACAAGTTGTTAGTAACCAACTAAACCAAAATCCAAAGTATTTTAAACAATAAGTTTTGTTTAAAAAATTTCGAAAAAATTGAATTGAAATATTCACAAATACCTTCTTTAGCATAGTCTAAATCCAACATAAAATTTAGCAAAAAACGGTCAAAAAAACTTATAAGAATTTTTATAAAATATTAGAAAAAGAAAGAGGTCAAAAAAACTCATAAGAACTCATATTTTTATAAAATATTGGAAAAAGAAAGATCTCGTTTATCGTACTGAGAAGCAATTTTTTGACGATTTTCTGATCTGAGAGGAGTAAAGGAACCAGTATAAAAACGCCTGTACTTCTATCACCGTACTCATAACCAGCGAAGCTAATTTAGCCAGAAATGGTGACTCTCGTTTACCAAATCTTTTGGCCGCATTTGTAATAAAATTCACAATGAGACGATTTCCTATTTTATTTTATTCTATTTTAATTTCAAACTTGTTTGAAACGAATACGGAAAAATTACATTCTAAATAATTCGATTCGATGAGAATCGCATACATTTATAATGTTTTGACGAAAAGGGAAATTCTTCGAAATATTTTTTAAATATTTAGAAATTCTATCGGTTTTTGCAATTATTTTAATATTTTGTAGCATGACTGAGCGGGTATATTACTTATTATTTCAAGCATCATAGCTCAAGCAGCATGTTCCTGGCATGAATAAAGCTGGTTAAAAGATCCGAGCAGTTTTCTAGGCTACATCCTAGTTATATCAATGAAACGAGCCTGCTAGAAATGATAATCGGCAATTAACATTAAATTAGCGAAGCAAATTTTAAAATTTTCTTAACTTAACTTCTTCAGATTATTTGTTTCGACGATTCAATATTTAATATAAGATTTAATAAAACCTACAAAGTCACGAAATAAAAGGACTAAACTGTGGTTAAAAGCAACCAAAAATTTAAATTATAGGATCGGCAAAATAGGTAAGGTGAGAGATGTGAGACGCTGATTTATTTAATAAATCAGGTTTTGATAAAGTAATAAGTGAAATTCTTCAAGGTTTTTCTGAAAATTCTATTTTTAAGTAGTAAATAAAATAATAAATTAAGGATTAAAAGAAAATAATAACACATTACAATTTTTTAATAATTAAAGACTTGTTAGTTAAAATCTAATTGATTCCTCAGATCGCCTTACAAATACTTCGCTTTCCAAATGATTCTATAGTAATTTGAAAGGTTAAAATAATGAAATATTCATATTTGCATTTGAAATATTTATAAATATTTGTATTTACATTATAAAATGTGTTTTTTAATATATAAAATACAATCCCAAAAAATTTCATTTTACAGCTAAGATGATCGGATTCACCCAATTAAGTTTAAAGCCCATTTGAAGCTCGATTGGTTTTTGTAGATGCGCTCATCAATTAATTCAGAAAAACTCTTTATGCAGTGTTAGCTCCAGAATTGCTACAGTTATCAACGTCGAAAACAAGATAAAGTATGGAAAATCTGCAAATACTAGTAATGAAATACTTTCTATTATATCTTTTTCAAATTATCGACGACAAAAGCGATTAATTATTTAATTAATTTACGAGACCATTTTATTCAATTCATAAAAATTCATTGTGCAAACATTTTTTTCTTTAAACATTTTGAAGGGATTGTTATTTTTAATGCGAATGTGGTTATCAACCGGTTAGATGTAAGTGATCCGTGGACAATAGCCTTTAAAATGATGTTACTCGGCGGACATATTGCCTTTTTCAGATCCGTCGTTCAAATCGTTTTATTTTTTCTTCTTTATTGCAGTTGCGTTCGTGTCCAAAAAATTTCTCGTTCATCCCTCAATCACATCAAATTTTTGATAAATCAACAAGTTGAACGGTGCGTTTTCATATTAATCAGCAAGGAATTCTCTTCCTAAGTGAATTACCAAAATTTATAAATTATGCCATTAAATGTGAACTATAAATGGATTATGCGGTACTTTATTCTTACATTTGCATTAATATAGCCTAGTTTGCTCAAGATCTTTTGTCTAAAGTTCCCGACGCTGACAAAAAAGCCAATGGAATCCTGAAATAAAAATTTCTTTCCTTTTTATTTGGCCTTTCAGAATTTTGTTCAGATTTTTGAATAGATTATCAATTTATCAATTCATACCAATTCATCGGGATTTTTGATTCATTTTATAAAATATAAGTTTTCCTAAAACTTCTTCCAATTTCTCATGAGGATTTTGAAAAATCTACGCTAAAATCTTTTGAAACTTATATTATATATTGTGAAAAAGTATTTTATTAAGGCAAATTGGAGTGAACATTCAACGACTTCAAGAAGATGAGATAAAAATCAAAAGTATAAATCGAGTTTTTAAATCGAGGCAAGACGAATTGTCGATTAATAACCCAGACGAATATTTTCAAGTAATGGATATAAAAAATAAATAAGAATATATTAAATTAGCTATTATTCATTTAGAAATACTATATTATTTTGTGATTTCCTCTTTAGATGGTAATTTTTGTCATATTTTCTTTTTCTTTTTTGATCATTAATTATTATTATTTGTTATTTTAACTGTTGCTATTGTTAATATAAGCACATGGCGTTTGTCGCTCTATTTGGCTGGTTTTCAGTAAATAAAAGAATATAATGTTCCATCAGGAATTCAACATATTGCAGGGAGACATTGATTTATCAGAAAAACAAGCTGAAATTATCAGTAGCAGTCTGGAAAGTGATCAATTATCAAAAGATCATGAAAATTCCAGCACCAGATCGAGGAGGTTCTCCTTATATTTTCGTGCTTTTTATCATTTAGCTTGGTAATTTATCATAAGATGGAGAAAATGAGTGATTTCCACCAGTTTTTTTTCTTTTAATAGCATTTTCAATTTCTGGGTTAATTGGCTTTTTGATGTCTCCTCTTCGCCAAAGAATTAGACAAAAAGAGCAGGTAGTGCAGTGCAGTTCCAATGAACAACACCCATAATTGATTCGTAAAATTTCATGATATAATTTAGAAGCACTGGAAAAGAGCCACTGTACAACAAATGGGATATGTCAAGGCCAATTAGTTACGAATTCGATGAATCGATTCCGCTCGCTACACGCCAAAAAATTCGCACTGCTATTGCGATGTGGGAAAACAAAACATGCATACGTTTTAGTGAAAATGGTTATAATATTGACCGAATTGAATTTTTTGACGGAGGCGGTTGCTCGAGCTTCGTTGGTAAAACAGGTGGAACGCAGGTATTTGATATGATACAATTTTTTACAATTTTTTCTTTCCTTTGGGAAGAAATGGCGCTAATTTATTCTTCAGGGTATATCAATTTCACGAGGATGCGATAATATTGGTATTATATCACACGAAATTGGCCACGCATTAGGAATTTTCCATGAACAAGCTCGACCAGATCAAAGCGACCATATTTTTATTAATTATCGTAATATTCCTCTGAGTAGATGGAATAATTTTCAGCCAATGCGGAAACACCAAATAGACACACATAACCTGCCATATGATACAGGTGTCTAAATTTAATTTATACTATGCTAAATTTATCTGCTTATCCTATCTGCTTTTATTTATCCAGCCATTCTTTTTTTTATTTGAGGCTCGGTTATGCATTATGGTCCATATGGTTTTGCAAGTGATCCATACATTCCAACGATTACTACTAAGAATAGATTTCAACAAAATACTATTGGTCAGCGTGAAGGACCATCGTTCTTGGACTTCGAAGCAGTCGATCATTCTTTGTTTAGAATCTTTTTTCACTTTTCTCCACTTATGGGTGAAAGAAATTGGTGCAAAATTTTGGAACTTATCATATTTTAATGCATTTTTTAAAAAGTAATCTATTGTCCTCTAAGGTAAAGCAAAATTCATTCTTTATTGACCTTAATAATTTAACAGATCAATATAGCATATGGCTGCAACAATCATTGCCCAAGAACTTTTTGTGAGCACGGTGGCTATACAAATCCCAATGACTGCAACAGCTGCTTATGTCCAAATGGATTCGGTGGTCAAAGATGTGAAACAATTCAGCATTTAAATTGCGGATCACTTATAAAGATAATTATAATTATTTGTCGACCTATACGAATAATTCTCAGCCCAGCTTTTTCAGCTTTTCCAAATTATCGAACAACTAGCCATATTATATTCACTTTTAGGTTTGGAATGAAGTAAAATACATCACAAGTCCTTTTTATCCCGAATTCTCGATTCAAGGACAAGAGTGCGCATGGCTTATAGAATCACCATTTGGAACGAATGTATTTTTCGAATTCATTGATAATTTTCATATTGAATGTCATACTACTTGTGATGCTGCCTACGTCGAGATCAAAAATAGAGCTGACTTTCGAACAACTGGATATCGGTAGTTTTATGATTAGGCTTCTCTAATGCTATTATGAAAGGAAGAACTGGATGCAGGAAGAAAAAAAACAAGGCCTTTTCACCAAAAGCCATTTGGAAGCGGGAATATAGATGGGTCCTCAGCAACATCCAGAGCTATCCGTTTATCCCTTAATATAACTGAATGCTTTGGATAATTTCGTCACTTTATTAAATTACTACTAAATTAATCATAATAATCTCAGATTCTGCTGTTCCAAAAAACCGTCTGAAATTTTTAAATCCGAAGCAAATAAAATGGTTTTGATATATCGAAGTGGTAGAGGCAACAAAGGTTTCAAAGCAAGAATATGGTCAAATGCACCTCCAAAAACATCCGTAACTACTTAACGATTATTTATTCAAGATTTTTACTTTACTTTTATATTATCATTCTTCTATTTAGAAATTTCAAATAATAATTTAATTGAGATAATGATTTAATAATTTTATAATAATAATTTTCAAGTAATGATTTAATTTAATTCAGAGAAAATCTTACTTGAAATCTTACTTTTCTTGTTGCAATTCTACGATATTTTCAGGTCATAATAACCAGCACTTATCAACCACTGTCTGCAGCAACTGCATTTACAATTATAGCTACTGCTTTAACTCATTCTACATCATCCAGAATTATGACATCACATCATCGCAACTTTTACACCTCACCATCTTCAATCATTTTTTCTAGCGCACAAACTGGAAAAACATTCAATAATGGAACTGGAACTACAGAGGCAATGCGAATCCAATCACCGCAAAACACCAGGACGAGCCTAACTATTGAATATACCACTCCGGCACCAGTGAAAGGTTAATCCAGCATATTGTGAATTACTGAGAGAAGATGGTTGAGCGTCTTGCTTCAATTGGCAGGAGTTATTTTGCCATTAAAAACGAAATCTGCGATATGAGCCTACCTTTCTCGTTTTAACAGTTAATGATTCCAGCCAAACCAGAAGTAGGAGCAATAACTGCAGCAATAAATAGCGAAAAAAGCGAACTAATTTAAAAAAAGTTAATTAATTATTAGTTTAAAGCTTTCTATGTGACTTATTTTAGTGGCATATAAACCTTATCTCTATTGTCTTCATATTATATGAAGACAATTTTATTTACAATTGTTAAGAATGGCGCAGACAGTACTTTACTACTGAACGCCATTTTAGGAAGTAAATTTAAATTTAGAAGAAAATTTAGAAGAAAAACGTAAAATATCAGTTTTAATATTTTTACGATTTAATCTGAATTATCATTCTGAATTTATAGAAGTTTGCAGTTGATTCTTGTAACTGTGGTGAATGGTCAGAATGGACAACATTGTGTAGCCAACAATGCGGAGGCTGCGGTAAAAGGTCCCGAATAAGGTATTGTTCAAGGCAAGATTGTCGAACGGAAGATAAGCGGACTTGTAACTATGACGCTTGCCCTCCAGGAACGAATTTTCTTATCAATAATGGCGAATTTCATATTCTTTGGAAAGTATGTTATTCAGTAAATTTATCTAAAATACATAATTTGCTTAAGCGCCCATCCGTTTACCATTTGCAAAAAAGAAAATTAAAGATGCAGCTAATTTAAAAGTGCAAATTCATCTTCCAGTAAAATTCACAAATTCTGGTATAGTCGGCTATTGCCTATTAGGATAAAGGCTTTTTCTTTTATTAGAGAGTTGCTTGTGGATAAAAATGCCATTTGAATTTCACTTTTAACTGATCACTTTTGCCAACACTCAGATTTTATAATGGCTTAAATTCTTTCATCAATATACCAATACACCATTCGACCATCTTGTTCTGATTGATGCTTCTAATAATTCGAAACTCGAGCTAACAAACAAAAAGTTCACTTTTTTATTTAGGGTTGTTGTATTGGTTTATTTCGATTTAATACAGAATGCTCTGCATTGGCCGATGGTGAAAATCCTTTCCTTGCTTTTCTAAAATCGTTCTTGACTTCACAGAATCCGAAAGATAAGGAGATAACTGATAATTAATCATGACGATAACAAACATTCCAGGAGAATTATCGAGATCGAATGATATGGAGTTCTTTTTCAAAATTATATACAGTTATATATTAATTATAAACTAAATAAATAAGTAAATAAACTCTACAATAAAATATCGATGGTGAAAGCAAAAAGAAATTGCAAAAATCATTAAAAAGCATAAAATAAAAATGTTGAAGAAAAATCAAAAATTATCAAAAAATCAACCAATTTTTCAACAAAGAAAAGGCACAGTTCAGTTTTTCAGTTTTTTTTCACAATTTTTACAATTTAGGCCCACTCCTTCACTAGTATTTTCTTTTTCAACTAATAACACTTATTATTTCTAGTTTGAATGCTTCTAAATTTGACCCACTAGTTTTCATCCGAAGAAAAACTTAAAGCTATAAGCACAGTTTAGTTCAGAATGCCATCAGTGTTTAATGGAAAAATAAAATGAATAAGAACGAAATTGCTTTTTTCTGATGAAAGGTAGGAATGTGGCTTATATATCTATTATTTAGAACCATCGACTCCAAGCAAAATTGCTAATAGAATTATGGAACGGTTTAAATTGCAAACTTTTGTACAAACTTCATGAAATAGTGAAATTTTTCGTGAATGGTACTTTTTGGCGCAAATTTTCATCGTTTGGTTTCGTAAGAATCTTCCATTATTTCATTCATTCTTATTTGAGGTTAAGATGTTTTTGAAGAAGGATTTATCAAAATGTATTCTACATTTGCCATTTGCCAGACGGTTCTAAATTTTATGAATTATAAAGAATGGAACTAAATACTTCGAGAATAAGGAAAAGGAAAAAATTTAAATTAGAATATAACAAATTTTCAAAAAATGAATGGTTTTTAAAACTTTCATATAAATTAAATTACTCTTTTATTGTTTAAATGAAGAAATAAAAAAAAATTAGAGAAAAGTTGAGTTACCAACCCCACGCCGAGTTAACCTCATCCAGTCGATTACCAGTTATTTCTATCTGACCTGCCACGAACTGCTTTGACGTTTTCATGCAGAACGCACCCTGACCGCAACAATGGCATTTTTATCATCGGAGTCATCGAATTCCCACTTCAAATATATTTGTCTTTATTCTATAATTTTAACGTTACAACGCTGAATATTTTTAAATATTTTTTTGCAGTTTTAATATTTCCGTTTTTACGCGAGTTATTTCGTATACGAATGCCTATTTAAAAGAAAGCGAGGTCTTCTCAAACTGCGCTGTCCTCTCTTAACACTGCTCACGTAATCTCGTAAGATCTGCAATCTCCCATCAACGCGTCCACAACCGATACGTTTATCATATCCAAATCTTTATTTTCAGTCAGCAAAAAGATCAATGTAAAAGAAAAATTTGATGATTTGATCCTAGAAGCGATATGCAAATGAAAGTGAAGGGCCAATGAACAGAGCGCAATTCGCGAGGAAGTTCAATCGAGTCCTAGTCTGTTCGTGCCATCTAATTTGCACCAATTCCATAAACTCCGTCTTTTCCCTATTTTATACGAATGTAGCTTCGCATTTCTATGTACCGCCCATGTTTTATTTTTACGTTTTCCACATCGTTCTTTCCTCATTCTAAGCCAACAGTTCACCCATTTCGCATTACCACATTCCATTTAGTACTCTTTTTGTTTCCATCTCTCAATACGCCTTTTTTGTAAACTGTTATCATCCATCTGCAATGATATTTTTTGCGTCTCTATGGTCCATATTTTTTGTTACTAGAATCGAAATAAAATAAAATTGGGCGGAGTAATCCCACTCCAATTGTGACAATTATGACTTTAGTATTGTGGATGCGTCTCAAAACATTTCCTCTCCTCACTTCTCTAATTTTTTTGTTTTTTTTTGTCGTTTTCTTCATTAAAAAGGTTTGTTTATTTTTGTCTTCTTAATTATTGCTAAAAGTAATTTTATTTTTGCTTTGTTTTTTATTTATTTATTTTTATTTATCTTTTATTCTATTTTTATTTTTATTAATTTTCGTTTGTTTGTTTAAATGAATATTAATAAATTATTAATATATTTATTATTAATAACCGAAAAGTGGCGACTTATTGTGTTTTCTCGGATTTTTTTAGGTGTCGGAAATCGTCGTTTCGTGCGCCCTTTGCCTTTAGAAATTATTCTTTCAGCGGGGAGCATCGAAAAAGTTTTGAACGAATTGAAAACACAACTGAATTTTGATTAATTTCAGTTTCTGAACCGTTCGCATCTCCGTGGCTTGGCAGTGCCATCGCTGCTGCGCCTCTTCTAGTCCGCGCACGAGGAAAGCTGTCTTTCCGAGTGATGCTTAGGACAGAAAAAGCATTTTCAGTTTAAGTTTCGATCGTTTGATTTTAATTTTCGATTTTTTGGTTTATTTTTTGTTTATTAAGAAAGAAATCAGCAGTGCATAAAGCTGTCAGTCAGTGATAACAAATTAGATCAGAATTGGGAGCAATATGGGCAAATAGGAGAAAATGAAATGGCAAAAAGTAAAACGAAAAAAAAGGAAGAAACAACAAAAAGCGATACTAACAATGGATGGAGTCCGCAAATTTTTTGTAATTCGTTGTGGATGACTTTGTTCAGATCTCTTCTGAGACTGAAGCACTTGTCCCAGCAGTTAACACTTCGAATGAAAAAATTCTATCGGCAATGCCCTACACATATTTACGCAGCTTAATCCATAATCTCCGGCAGTATTAAAATTCAAGTTCATAATAACAATTGGCGCAGTTCAGGTTAATATGGCGGAATGAAATCTAAATAGAAACTTAAATAGACAGATTTCATTCATCGTGAAGGTTATGTGACGTTAATTTGGATTTGTAAATAGAAGAGAGGCAAGGATTTGTGGGTCACAGGAAATATAAATTATATTTGATCGATTTAAATGTTTGCTAAATCTAGATATGGAGCACAGTGCTTTATACTCCAAATGATTTATATATTCGATGTAGGAAATTCTGAAAGTTTAAGCAAGAAGCAAGTTTTAATTTTAGTATTTACTAAAGTCCTTCAGGTGCTATATTTAACTGAATATTTCGTGAAACAGTTTATAATAAACAATTTATAACACTTCATAAACTTCAGTAGATTCAACAAACAGTTTCTCTTTTTTTTAGAATCTCGGATTAATTTTTAATTTTGATAAAATTATTAAGCACTAAATGTAAATATATTAATATTACTAATAAATATTCTGTAAAACTAAAACTACAAAACTATAAAACTACAATTCGTTCTTCTTGTAACACCACTAGCCAGCTTTAATTTGGCTAATTATAATTACAATACGAAGGTGAAACTCCATCTTCAGTTACAGGTTTATCACCTTCCATAATCACCATCCACTTTTAGTGGTTTATTTCAGTTGACCAGTGGAATAGTGGATCTTGGCATTACTACACCACTCTACCATCTCACCTCATTTCATGTTAATATAAGTTTTTTAAATTTTAGAGCTTTCAAAATTCGATGGTATCTGATTTGTAATTACAACTCTTAATACTACCCTTATCGATCTTTTTATATTTAATTTTAATCTCTGTCAAATTATTATGCCATTATGTTTTGCTCTTTTTTGCTCTATTTTTAATGTTAATACTAAATAATCTTAATACATAAAATTTTTATTAAAATTTTTAATTTTAATTCTTTCACTAAAAATCAAATTATCTCTTCAGAATTATGATTTTTATGAAATGGAAATTTATTGGACTGAAGATGAATTAAAACCATCTTCCGAGTTTAAAATTCTTATCGCTGTCAAAACAACAAAAAAGTACCACGAAACAAGAGTGAAGGATATTCTTGAAACGTGGTTTCAATTTGCAAATAACAAAGTTTGTTCTTCTATCATTATCACCATTACCATTAGCACTACCATTTCTAATTTGGCTGTCATTCCATTGTCGCCATTTAGTAGATATTCTTCGTCATTAGGAATGGAAATTCAGTTGGATTTAGAGCGCCATTCTCATTTTAGTTTTAATTTCTCGCTTAGTTAACAAAGTCTCATATCAGTTCTATAAAAATTATAAAAATTTTAATTTTATTTTTCTTATTTTCTTTAATTAAGCCAATAAAACTGAGGGAGAAGGTGGTCTACGGGCTCTTCAAATGTCATTCATCGTTCTTCATAACAATAAATGTACTCTCTGGTTTGTGAAAAAGAAATTACTAGATGATTGGAGCAATCTGCTTCCAATTTTCAAGAAAGATGATAGGACATACTGCGACAGTTATCGAGGAATCAACCTACTAGACGTCTCAGCGAATATTTTTGTTTTCCTTTTACTCAACAGATTTATGGAAGTACTGGACAGTAGGATGCACAGTAATCAGGCTGGATTCAGACGTAGGGGTGGTTATGCTGACCAGATATTCACATTAAGAAAGGTGTTGGAATATCGCTTCAGATATTTGCAACTCACCATCACCTGTTTCATCGACTTTGCGGCTATTTTCGATTCAATTGGTAGCCGCGTTTTATAGGGTGATGGAATACGATAGTGTTTCAGAGAAGATCATTCGAGTCATAAAAGCATTTTATCAGCGTACATTGGCGAAGGTTTATATGAGGAACTGAATCCTTTGATGATGTTCATCAAAGTTATGTTCTACAATCTTCAACTCCGCAATAGACTTGATAATGAATACTTGTCGGCATTCAAGAGGTGTCCAAATCAGTCCAGAGTATTATGTGTCACAGATCTTGAATACGCTAATGATGTAGTCCTTTTTGCTGACAGTTATAAGGAAATGCAAATAATTTTAAACAACATGTCAGCAACTGCAGAATTCGGATTATGTGCCAATTTATCAAATTTATCAAATACCTTGGATCCACTCTAATATCGAATGATCGAATAAAAATCTTTCAAAACAGTCCATGTAAGATATAAAAAAGATCGGCGGCGCCAAAAACGAGAAATATCACCGAAAACCATATTCATTTATTACCTTTATATCATTTTAAAATTCATTCCATTAACTTTGTTAATTCATTTGCTAAAAAAACTGGAAAAAATGTTAAATCCTGTTGATAATGGTTGATTTTCAGGTAAGTAATGCTCAGATATTTTTTATAACCGATGCGATAGATGAAAATTTAAATTTATCGACTAATTTCAAAGCATTATTGAGCTCTTGTGGTAATGAACACACAAGGTTATTTTATTTTTTTCTAATTCATTCAAATAAAAAATTGTCATTTCGTAGTTTATTGGATTAAAAACCAAACAAAGTTTGTATATTTTTTTCAAAATTTTATTCCATTCTAGTCAATAAAAATATTGCAGAGAAAATTTATGTTGTAAAATGAACTCTGAATTGGAATTATTTGTTTCGCATTTGCCGAGGTGAGATTTATCTTTCTCTTTTGGTGTCAAATCTTTTCGATATTTGGTTGAATGAATAATTATTTAAAGTTATTTAAAGTTTTAAAGTTATTAAGTTATATTTTAATCTATCATTCATTTGTTAAATGATGATTTTTTTCTAGTTGGGCCTGCCATTTCGATGACGATAATTATGTGAATGTCATGATGTTAGAAAAAAAGTTAAAAGAATTCAATCCGAAATTTGATTGGTATCTTGGAAAGCCATCAGTTGCTGAGCCTATTTTTGTTCATAATTCATACGAAAAAGTATTTTTTGCCATTTTAAATTTAATATATCTTTCTGCAAAATTATTAGCACCTCAATTAACATTTTTTGTTGCTATTTGCGATTTTTATTGAAGGTTGGTTTTCAATTTGCAACCGGAGGTGCTGGTTTTTGCCTTTCGCAATCGTTGTTGATAAAAATGCGTACTTATTTGCGAAATAGTGGTTTTGAATTGCTAGGCAATTATCTAGGATTGCCTGATGATGTTACCTTAGGCTATCTTATAGGTAAATATGATTTTTTCTGATCATGTTTTTTATGAAAGTATTTCTCATGAAGGATCCCTCTCATTACGCAATCACATGATGCAAACATTTCTTTTTTAATTAAAATTTGAAATTAGATTATTTTGCTTTTTTCATTTTCATTATTAATGGCAATTTTCCCACTCCTTATATCCTTTATTTTTCAACATTTTTGATAGAATTTTCGTCTCTGGTGCAATATTTGGCTTTTTAAATGTAGTATATGACATTTGACAGCCAAAAAAACTATATTAATATACTATAAATATCAAATATCAAATGTGAAAGAATCAAAATCGATTGCTTTTATTTTAAAGTATTTTAGAACATCTCTTAAACGTGAAGCTAACGGTTATCGATGAATTCCATTCGCATCTTGAACCACTTAACGTAATCAATCGAAGTGAAATATCTAGTCAAATAAGTTTTTTCATTTTTCTCGAACTTATACTTTTATTCATTTTATTTTTAATTCTTCCGGAAATCTCCACTGAACACAGTTAATCCGAATATTTCACTTTTTTCAGATTAGTTTAAGCGGAGGAAGTTACGATTCAGATGGAAAAAATTTGATCGACGTACCTCTGAAATTTTCTTCTGCAACCGATCCTCATAGATTTCGCTCAATACATTGTTATATCACTGGTCGTAACTGTGTTTAATATTAATATCGTGTGTTATTATAATTTAATTTTTATGATTTGCTCAAGATGATCTCAACTGTGCATTTATCTTTATCCTTTTTTTCATAAACAAATTATATTTAGAAATGAAATTGATGCCACTATATCAAGCCATATAAAATATAATGTTAACATATAAAATATCTTGTTTTCATTTTTCTTAGCCTAATTTGTTAAGAATTGTCTAATGCATGGTAAATGAAATTTTTTTCTTTTAATTGAATAACTAATTAATTGAATGTTGATATATATTATATTATTTGTAAATATATATATATATATATATTTAAAGATTCGAGAAAATAAAAGCAAAATCAAAAAATTAGGAGAACGCAAACAATATGTTCTAATTACTGAAGTTATTTTTTTACAGGAATTATTTTATCTTATTCCACTCCAAGAAAAAACTATTCTTATGAACGTTCGATTCAATAGTTTTTTGTGATGTGTCAGTAAAAAAATTTAATTTTCAGTTTCTTTTTAAATCAACTTATTTTTTGAGAATTCCCAATCCTCTTTAAATAGCATATGCTTTTAGAACCTTCTGTAGTTTCGAAAAGAATTTCTCTAACCCTCTAGTGTTTTTTTTCTCTATCTTTTTAAATTCTAGTCTTCATATCCAGTCTTGCACCGATGGCAATTTGTAAATATTATGATTTCTTAACAACTATCGAGGTTTCGATCTTTCGCTCAATGCTTGTTTGCCAAAACTCATAAGTAATTATTATTTCGAATTTCGATTATTTATTAACAGCAATTATTGAAACTTCGTTATTTAGCCATATTTAGTTAATTTGCCATGGCCTTTCTTATGTCGATCTCTTAGGCGCATCACTTGTTTGGTATTGATATTATGCAGAACTACAGTTAACGTTCCACACTCATAATATTCTTCAAAATTCTATATATCATAATATCGTTGTGCCAATAAACCAGTGCCAATTATGGCCTTTATGTTAATCTTCCACCCTTAAGTTGCACTGTTGCAGCATCAGAGCTCTTATTGCGAGTGCAGTTGCAAGTTATAAAATTGCAAAAGTCGGCTTAGGAGAGAAAGAGGGACTCAAACAGACCACAAATTTTCTAAAAATCCTTCTAAACCTTCTAAAAATTCTAAAAATCCTTTACATTATCCTAAGATGTGTCTAGAATCTTCTTGGAATTATAAATTTTTTTTTTTATAATTTTTTCACTTTTTTTCACTTAATTTTTTTCACTTCTGAAACCTCTGAAATTAAAGAAACCTCTATCAGTATTAGCATATCATATTTTGTGTGTTAAGGTCTGCTCTTTAGCATGTATTGTTTTAATATTATGATTATTTATAATATTACTATAATTTTTTTCTCAATTATCTCAAATTATTCGTTACTATTTATTATTTTATTGAGTTTTATAGAGTTTTCATCAGAAAATTTTTGCAGCAAATATGCGTGGAATGACAAAAAACTGAATCAAAGATTCATTTTCGCAATGCTATAGTTGAAATTTCGATTGGATAAATAAAAATCAGTTTTCTAATTACTAAATTTTATCAAGTCCTATTTACTTATTATTTACTAAATTTATATAAGATTAAAAAAGCATTCATTTGGTTCAAAAAATCGCATAATTCATGAAAAAAGAAATAAAAATATTGAAAAAAAACGCCGATAGTAAAGGAAAAAAATACTTTCTTACTTTTTTATAAATTTCATATTCTTCTTATTCAAAAAATCAAGGGAATCGTACTATGGTACTATGTATCTTCGTAGGCAGGGAAATTTTTGCTATCAGGCATCTTTTTATTTCCTATCTATTATGCCAATATTTTTATATCGATATTATACATTTTTATTTTTATTGCGTATATGCATTTTGCTTATCGATCAAAATTGTTATCAGTCATAATCACAACCACAATTATAGATAATCACAACTGACTGCCCATTATGAAATTCTTTGATCAATTAAATGAAAAGTTTTTCACTTGTCTTTTATCTTCGACTTATTCGTCAAATACGATTTTTTTAAAAGCAATTTTATTTTTATTTTTATATCTCGAATTTTTCACTTTTTCATGAATATTCATTTATTTATGAAATAAACGAGTAATTTATCTATGTTTCATCTAAGCAATTTTTTTTACAATAACCAAAATCGTTATTGTTTTTCTAGTTAAAATAATCGAAATTTACGTTTATTCCGTCAAGCTGGCAGGGTAGCCGAGTGCATGGCGGTTTACATTATCGTTCTGAAAGGTTCCACTGCTGTCCCCAATAGATTTGCTATTTAAAAAACTGGCGATCCCACCTTTATCTACAGCCGAATGACTTCCTGACGAAAATTTCCCACCTTACCAACAGCCAGCGGAATTAGCCTAACGAAACGGTGAGCCTTAACCACTCACTTCATTTATTAATTTAATAAATAAAGCTTTCAAATTTTTCATGATTATTTTGCGTTTTGCCAGTTTTTTTTTTACATTTTACAGAAATGCTTTTTTTTCAGTTTAACATCAAATGAAAGACGAAAAATCTTTTGGAAACACTGGTCTTCTTCAACCTGCAAAAGTCAATTACAAAACACTGGAGGAATGGTGAGAAACTGAAAATTTGTGAAAATTTATTGGAAAATGGTTTTCAACGAAGTTGATTTCTCTTTGCACTTAAAGTTAATTAGCAAATGCTCTCTTTTCAATGTGTATTATTTATATGTATTACAGAAAACAAAAATAAGCTAAATAAAATTTACTTGAACGCTTGCAGTTTTATTTGTTTGAGTTATTTCACTACTTCGCTATAAATATTCTATTCATTGAGGTCGAATTAATAGTGCATAGCTTAGCTAGTGGAATCAGAATTGGAACTGGTGAGCGCTTTCCACTTAGCCACCGTATTATTAAAAGAATTAAGCTTTTTGTATCAAATGAAAGGCTTAGGGAGCATACTTGAAGAAACGAAGGAAGAAAACTCAATTTTAAGAAAACAAAAATATGAAATAATGAATCTTTGAAAATTTCAGTCGAATTTTTAAAGTAAATGATCAGCGCAAAAAATATTTCCTCTTCTGATTTGTAATTTAAAATTTTCAGTAGTTATGATGATCCATGTATTTTTTCAAACATTGCAAATGAACAAGAAATGTCACCGTATGAAACGAAATCGGAAACTGAACAATGGACAAGTAAAGCGATTACCAATCGGTTTTTCCTTATTTTTATTTCTTTATTTTTTTTGTAAGAAAAAATAAAGAAAAGAATAGGACTGAGAGAAACATTAGTTCAACTTTGGAACTGGCCAATATTGTACTTAAATTTCCAATAATTTCCATATATTTTAAGAAAAAAATCTTTGTAAAATGGCAGGAAAAAATATTGGCGTAGACTGGCTGTTATCATTATTTTATTGCTAATGGTGATCCAAACAATTTTCGGATTCTTGAGCAGTAGTCTAGCGTGTATAACTGATGTATTTCGATTATCATCTGATTATCTTGGACAACATCGTATTAGTGAAAAAAATTCAGCATCGTTGAGACGATTAGGTAGGATTTTTTTCTTAGCTTTGATATATTTTATCTATATCAGGTTTTCAACCTTTTTGTGCCTTCCATATTTCCTCCCTAAGAGCATGTCGACTGGAAAGACTGTGTGGTCTTGGACGTTCGCAGTTTAGAGTTTACAGACCTTTACCCATTCCTCTATTGAAATCTTAAAATTCGAGCCAGAAGGAGAATTCCTCACCAGTAAAGAACATCTGCTATACATTTCAATAAAAGAATTTAAGAATTTTCGTGCTTTATAATGATAAAACTGTGGATTGTATAAAATTTAAAAGTCGACTTCTCGAATTCACGATTCACGATTCGTAAAATTTGCAGAAAATATTGGTTTACTTGTCATAGTTGTTTTAATATGGACTAGCAATATCGCCATTATTGTGATATCTTCAAATCGCTTATTTTATAGTGATTTCTCAATTTTTTCACCATATTTACTCGTTTCTGCAATTTTATCATTTACGACGAATTGTATTTTAATTTTTCTACATTTCGCAATCGGTGAAAAATTTTTTTGATAATTTAATGTGAATAAATTTAATTTTATTATTGTGATTCAGTAAATCGGAGTGATTAAATGATTGGAGCTTAATATTTCTGGTTAGACTACACTGGCTGTGGTAAGAAATTTATATGGGAGTTGCTTGACTACAGAAATAGGCCAGAACTTGGAATTCATAATGATAAGTTGACTCAAGTCAGAAATAGAAGACTGAAACTATGACGCCAATCGAAGCAACCATGTCACTCGACCGTCTCTGTCTCCGTACATCGGAATCGGATCTTTTTGAAAAATCATTTGAGAAAAAAGTTTTCTCTTTTTTTTATTATGAGCAATATAATTTCAGTATTTTTACTATAAATAAGCAGTGAAATGAATTTAATACTATATTATACAAAAAAAGATATTTCCAGCAATAAAAAAGCTATTTAAGCATATCAACCGAGAAGATATGTTGCACTTGGTGATTTTATCGATATTAAAATACGACAGTTAATTCATTTGATTGGCAATCATGGAGTAAGCCTTATTTTCGTTTTGGAAGCTATCATTATCAATATTCAGGTTAATTTTTAACATCCGCCATGAAGCAGATCTTTAAATTATATTATTTTCGAATGAGTAAAGAGATCAAGAGCTATGTTTGCTTGCGTTAGTTCGACTGAGGTTCGATTCTTGACCTTAAGAAGAGTTTTTTACCATTAAAAAATCCAGGTGGCTAGCGAGTCACCTTTTTTTCTGTCGAAAAAGTTTCTATTTCTATTTCCAGCGGAATTAAACTAACCAGAAAGTACTAAACGTTTGGAAAAACGTTCCACATTTTATTTTATACATGTTGTATATCATATATAAATTTAAAATTCCGTGTACCCAATCTTAAATTTATCGGCCTATAAGATTAAATCTGTTTATCGCTTCGATAGCATTGTTTTGCTGTTTAAAGATTTTCATCCCTAAAGTTTTCGTAGTCATCCCTAACTGCTTCTTCCGACAGTGGATTAATTCGTTTAAATTGATCTTCAATCTATTTATAACTTTATTTCTGTCTAAATATAGTTTTGCCCGTAACTGCCATTCATAGTGACCTTATTACGCCATTTCATACTTTTGTATAACTCGAGAAAAGAATAAAAAAACTGATAAGTCGGAGGAGAGAGATCCTCTGTGCCATCACAATCCTGCTGCATTCTGTCGTCTGTCCGGTCAATATTACTGCTATCGCTACATACAATATTTCCATATTGTTTCCTAATATTTACGATAAAATAATTTTATCCGATGTCCAGCGCAACCATTTGGCAACCCAGAGAAATCACAAATTTTGCAATCGTGGATGGGACTGATGGAATTCATACGTATTATCTACTTATTACTATGATAAAGTGAATTCAGTTCTGCACATTTTGAGATGTAAACAAATTCTTCCACAAAATCGTTTTCTTTTTCTGTTGATCTAAGTCAAAAGGCGCATGGAAAAAGCATCAATCAGGAAGCCGTGGCACCATTCTACGGAATAAAATCCACCAAGACAACGACAGCATATGGTGGAAAGGCTCACAACAATGCTCACTCAATCAGCAGTCATTCCATCGTTTTAATCTACGAATTGAATTTTCAAGTGAAGCAATCACTGCAAGGAAATCGAGTTTCTTCGGCCGTTGCTTTTATTTCTTTGTTTAGCCGCAACCGAGATCTCTTCGAAGGTGATGCAATTCGCGAAAAACAAAGATGTGCATGACTTCCACTGATATCTAATGGGATATCCAATGTAATGGGATATCCAATGGGATATTCAATGAAACGATGAGTAGTAATCTTAAGCTCACTGAAGTCAATTTTTGCATGAAATTAGACCTCCCAAAAGACCTAAACCTAATGTCATATTTATCGGTTGATTGTCGGTTGATCGGTTAACGTCATTATTCATCATTATTCAAGAATATGATCGGCTTTTCAGCTCGATCGACAGATTGATCGAATAAAAAAAAAAAATATGTTCGAAAATAGTTCAAACAGTTCAAAAAATCGAAAAAATCGAATAAAAATCGTTCAAAACAGTTCATATAAGATATAAATAAGATCGGCGGCGCCAAGATTGAGAAGTATTACCGAAAGCCATATAAACTAAGCACCGAACCACGACAATCATATAAAACGATAAAACTTTTCATCTTATGTGCAAGAAGCGATAAAATGCCTCTTTTTATAGACTCATTGTGGGTTGAGCAAGTGCCCGATTTTAAATACCTTGGATCCACTCTAATACCGAATGGACAGGCAGAAGATGATATTAATAATGATATTATAACTCAGATCACGGAAGCTAGAAATGCGTTTTTCCGGTTGACGAAACTTTATGGAATCGTCGTGAAATCACCATAAAAACGAAAGTCCGCATCTATATTGCCCTGATCCGTTTCGATCTTACTATGTGGTTCTGAAACATGGCCAATGAGAGTGGAGGACATCAAGAAGTTATCTGTCTTTGACCACTCTTGTTAGCGGGTTCACCGAGTGGATAAAATCTCACATGATCGTATCCACCTTCATTCAAGTACTTCCACTGATAATATTATCATAGAGCGTCGCCTTCGCTGGTTAGAGCACTTCTCCGTCGTCCACCACAGGAGTTGACATATATTTCTTACTTGCTAAACAGTGTGATGGATGGCGTCAAAAGTGAGGTGGGCCAATCAAGACCTGGACTGGCACGAAAAGAACGTATAGGTGAACTCAGTATATGGACTTAGATGATGGAAAAAAGAATGGCTTCTATTATTGCCGACGATGGCATCAGACCATACCGATTGGAAAAATCTTACCTTGTAGTCAGTGGAGCCAGCCTAACCAGTAATGGTGAGAGCTGTTAAAAGAGAGAAAGAAGACTAGAAAGAAGACTATATACAATATTTTATGTCATAATATTTACGACTGCGACTTCAATAAAATGTTCCGAATAACCATTCGGCAGCTCACAGACATAACAGAACTGAAATTCCTACATAAAATTTCTAATATTTTAGAAAATTTTACGAAAATCAAAATAGTTATACAACTGAATAAAATTGAACGAGAAGCTTGTAAACTATTTGTTGATTTCTTCTTTCCATTTTCCGTTCATTCCATTCAATTTTTAAATTTTATCAAAAATTTCTAAACGCTAATTAATTTTCTTCTTTTTTCACAAAATTTATTTCATTTGCATTCTTCCATAGTTTTTATTAATATTCAAAAAGCAAAAGAAGAATATCTCAATTCAAAAGTATTTCTGAAATTTATAAATGTTCTTTACGAAATAAATTTTTTATTATTTCGTGCACACTCCGCTAACAATTGAGATGATATTTTTGTCAGGTTTGGGGACGGAAATACAAGTGAGCTCCCAGTACTACCAGAATAACAGATTTCAAGAAATATTATCTTTTTAAGTTAAAATAAAAATATAAATTTGAAAAAACATCGCTTCTCAAGGAGAAGAACCGAACCATTGTAATGACTGAAATAATCTACACATTTGGCCACATCGCATTCGACAGACGATGAGAATTGCCGAAATTCACGTATCTCCACCTGAAAAAATTTAATTTCACGAAGAAACACTGAAGATTTTCAGCCAGAATGGACTTTTTTGGATCCAATAACAACGTTTGTGTTAATGTTTTTAATTTTAACCAACACGATTTCCATTTTGAATGATTGTTATGCAGATTTGAAAATCATTGGTGCAGTAAAAGAAGCTTATCAATCGGTCGAATAAAAAACGTCATTCAGAAGATATTATTAGAATTTCAATTCATCAATTTCTTTGATTATTAAATCATGATTGCCGAATATGCAGTAAAAACTCAATAAATTTTTATTTTTCCGCATTATTTTCAACATAGCAATCTATTATTTTTTCCGTTAACCCAGACTATCGTACTGGAAAACAAGAATTCGTCTCCTGTCCGCGGTACCAGTAAACCTGTCGTTAAAAAACCCGCGTGATGCAGATGACCCATTTGTAATCTTTACTTGTGCGGCAATAACTTTGATATTAAAAAAAAAAGTACAATAATCAAAATGTTATGTGCAGGATGCAGCAAATTATAAATCCCAGCTGAACAAATGATGTTTCATCAACATATCACGAACACTTTCTTTTAGTAGTTGTGAATCGAAAGGATTTTTTTGAGGATCGCAATAAATCGAATTCAATGCCTTAATTGCTATTATTATTATTTATTATAAAACAAAAAAATTTGAAATTTATTTGTTAAATAATATATTATTTACTAAAAAAATCTAATTTGATTCGCAAATTTGTACTAATTCGCAAAACGCTCCTTCTAAAACCCTTATATTTTACAATGGATTCTTTCTGAAAAAGAATAATTTTTATATTCAAATCGAAACATAAAGTAAATTATAAAGACAAAAAGCCACTCGAGGATAATAAAATAAGAGGATACAGGCTAATCCACGGCATCATCCCGACTATACTTTTAATAATAAGACCAGCTCTAAGGTGCAGGGAACGAATCCAAATGCATTTATAGCACCTAAATAAACTTCAACCATACGTAATTTATTCGAAGTGTTTAAAATAGATTACTTTTTTTTTGTGAATCAGATCGAAAGATTTTTTATTTTTATAAATAGAGGCTATCTCGTAATCAATGCGGAGATTAAAACTAAGTTGTGTGAGCAATTTAAGTTCACATTTGATCTGAAACAAAAGATTAATAAAAATAAGATAAAATTCAAAATATTAGCAAATTAATAAGCAAATTAATAAACAAATAAAACTACTAAATTTCCCTTAAATTTTCCACAAACTGATTTATAACCTGTCGCCAAGCTGGTGATCTTATAAATGACCAAGCATGATAATATTTCTTTCTTATTGAATCCTGAGATGAACAGCTGCAAAGCAGATCAAACCATAAATGAAGGCATTGTTCATTTGCAGCGAAAGCGATAAGTGAACGGAGCTTCACATCCATTTGGCTATTAACTATATTGTGAGATTCGTTTATTAACTGAACGGCTTGGAATAAAAGTTCCTCCGGAGTTAGAATCTGAGAATGTTTTGATGATATTACTTACTATTTTTATTTTAAACATATTACAGATTTTATTGTAATTTTAGACTCTGTGTACTAACTTTATGTAGAAAAAAATTGCACATCAATTGTGCTTATTCGCTACTTTCGGATTCCATCGTTAATTGCATAAAAAAGCCAAAAAACGATAGAGCAACTGAAATGAAAATACCTTGCCATCTTGATCCAGACTAAAAGTACTACAAAGAGTCAATCTTGAATGGACTGCTTTATATCGATCTCGCACGTAATCTTGCGCTATATCTTCTAGAAAATCAAAATTAGAAACCTTTTAGAAAACCAATTTGAACTCCACTACTATAAAACGAATTATAGAGAAGAAACCAAGAGATATTGTAGAAAATTATTTCATCTACCTATGAAAATCCATGGATGCGTTGCCAAGTTCAAAACACCAGTTCTTCGAAATCCATGTTCCAAAATAGCCTTTAAAGCAGTCGAAAGACGTCCACGTATTTTGTCGGTAATTTCCGGGTAAACTGCTTCATCTCCAAATATCGAATAATTCTTGCCTCGTTCATCGACAACCTTTAATTCCAATTTTCTGAATTGGTACTATAGTCTTTATTCTCTATTCACTTTTGCCCATCATCCGTTTCATTTTCTAAATTTTTTTTTTAAAAAGTAGCGATAAAAGTTAGAAATAGTGGATAGATCTAAAAATAAATTTTATCTCGTTATAAGAATAAAATGAATTGCACTGTAAAACTATTATAAATTCGTAATAAGAAGAATGAAGACAATAAAAAATTAGAATGAACCAGAGTCAAAAACACCGCATAGTGATTTGTAAAAAAGAATTTAATCCGCAAATAGCAGAATGGTCTGTTTTGAAAAAAATTGAAAATAAAATTAAAATTAAATAATAATGATTACTTTACCTCAACGAATTTGGCCGGAAACCACCCACGAAGGCCATTAATTTCTCCAACCCAACAGTGTTCATCTTTTTCACATATAATTGTTATAAGATCATTCTTTCTGAAAAATAAAAGCCAAAATATAGAGAAAAATTCAAATTTAATAACATCATAAGAATATGTAAACTTAAATTTGAAAAGTTATGCAATTTAAATTTTTTTAATTTTAAGTACAATTGAAAAAAATATAATAGAACATTAAATTTGAAAGAAATTCCTCATCATATTTGATAAAAGATTTGAGACCTGAAACCAAGTTCATCTTCATCCTGACGTTCAAAATCTAGAAGAGCTCTGGCACGTCGATAACCTCTTCGCTTTGCATTCAAGAATTCATCTTCTTCACTTTTATTATTATCAAATGAATAATCTGCCTAGAAAAATTTCAAAAAATTTCAAGGTAAAAATTAAATATTTCGTTCTATATTCCATTCAATCTTCAAATCTTTTAAGATGAACCAAAAATAATTTTAAAAAATAAGCTAAGAAAGAAAATTTCCGATTACTGATTAACCTGCAAATTAATGGCCTTTTCAAGCGATGGATCACATTCGATAAAATAACGACAAATACTGATAACAGCATCGCGCAAATCAACAATAAGTTCAGTTTGGCGAATGTTTTTCATTTTATCATCGGACTGAATGATAATCATTTGCAGAACTATTTGCTATTCGTATGAATGCATGAGGATAGAACCTATTAGAAGTATGGGAAGACAAATCGAAGGCAAATTTCTCCACTTTTCATTAAGGTACACAAATTACGACTGCCCTCAATATCAACATTTTTACAGTTTTTATTTTTACAGTAATCATAATCTTGAAACAAAGATATTTCGAGCATTAACTGCTCTTCAAATCTACCTATCTCAGTTAAATAGAGAACAAGGATGTGAATGCGGAAGATCTAGAGTAAATTTCGAATAAGGACCAATAAGAAAAAAATTTAAATCGCACCTGCTCTTTAGATACAACAAATAATTGTTCAATAATACTCTTTGAACGGATAAATTCTCGACGTTGTATCCGTTGTTTAGGTAGATTAGTGTTCTTATTTGGATTTATAATTAACCCATGATTAGCTAGCAAAACTGCTTGATGTCGTCGCCTTGAATTCTCAATCAGTTCAGAAGTTATCGAGAATTCAAAAGACGTGCAAATTTCAATCAAATGTTCTAAAAATTATGGTTCCGAACGCAAAACATCAAAAGATTTCTTGAATATTATTTGATTATAATTCTTCAATTTTTTGTTCAAATTTGGAATTCAAGTTTCTAATTTTTAATTTAAGCCATCTGGCATTAATAATAATAATAATATTTTAAAATTAAATCCGAGCAAAATACGAAAGATACAAAAAATGATTTTTTATTAACTAAAAATAAATAACCTGGACTGGTAATGCTTGAAGGTATTTGCGATAATGCATTGAAAAGTTCGGCTGATATATTCTCTGCGGAATTCAGTTCCAACAGCTCTTCTTCTTTCATTTTCAGCATAGATATTATCACCTAAAAATTTGGTAAAATAAAGTTATCTAAAAATTCAATGAAACAATCTTTGGCAAACAATCTCATTAATTTTGATTTTTTTACCAAAAATTATTTATATCTGTGGTTTATAGATTTCCTAGATAAGCCCAATTTCAATTGATCAGATGCTTGCGATACCTTTATTTTCTTTTTATAGATTTATTACCATGATGTATGATGAAATTTGAAGTGGAACAAACCCTGAAAATAGTTACTCCTCCAACGACAAAAAGATAATCCCATACTCTAAGTAATACTCGTATAGTGAATACAGATGCAAAAGCAGTTAATAACCAGTTTACACTAAGCAATGACATTTCCACATCGTTATCTTTTAAAAGTCGATCAACTTCAGGCAAATGAACAGCCATCAATTGTCGCACAACTCTTTCATCTGCCTAAAACTTTATAAGCAATCAATGAGAGCATTCGATGGATATAGCACAGCCGAATCTAAAAAGTCTCTTTCTCTTCTATATTTCATAATAAAATAGTTAAATAGCTAAATAGTTTAATTAAGAAGAAATAAAATTTGGAAAGGAAGAAATATTTTACTACAAAAAGGAATTTTGCTGATTTTAATCAGTTAGAAATTACTTGAAACCTCAAAAATAAACCTGAAGTCCAATAAGAGATTTGCTATAATAATTGGAAGGAAAAATATCTTCGATGAGAGTAGCCATCATCCAAAAAGTGGTTTCCTCGGAACAAAACAATAAAAGCGAAGCAACGATAACACCCATTCCTTGGCAATAACCTATGTCGGGAAACATATATGAAACAGCACGAAGAACAGTCCGCAGTGAATTTATGCCTCTACTCTCTTTTTTCCAAAAACATATATTGTTAGGTAATGTTCTGAAACAAAACGATTTGAAAAAAATGAGTAAATTCTGGAGCTATATTCAAAAGAAAGCAACAATATTCTTTGAAGGACAGATCTAGATTCTTACTTCAATCTACTTGAAGGCAATACTTTTCGGAAATTCCAAAATAATTGTATCATGAAATTATAAGTTTTTTTATCGTGTGATTCGTTTTCGTTTGGTCAGTTTTTTCATCTTCATTTTGTAGGGTAATTTCATCTTTTGATTCATTCGTAACGTCAGTGTTCAACGTTGGCTTTATTCGTGCTGGCAATTTCACAGCAGCCTTTTCTTCATTTTTTAATTCGCTATATTAATATCTATATTTCGCACGTCGTTCTATTATATTGCTCTCAGTAATAAAACAACTTAGAACTAGTTGTATATTCTAAGTCCAATTCGTCATCGACGACTGTGTAAGTCACTCCTTTCAAAAATTTTCTCTATCTGAATTTAACAAAACTTTTCACCACAACACTACAATGTAGTCAAAACATTATTCCAACCACTGAGTGTTTCGCTTAACATTGATATCGTCCTAAAATTAACTGATTCAGTTAATTTTTCGACTGAAGTTGTCGAAATCAACCGTTTTATTATTTTCAGCAACATCCCTGGTACTGTGATCACAACCTGGTTAAGCTTTGTATACTAATACTAATAAGCTTGAGGGGATGAACTCACCTGAGAAGATCTTTTTCAATTTGTGCAATTATCGATGGATGATCTTTAATACTTTGTTTAACGACATCAGCATAACTGAAAGAACTTGAATCACGTTTCTTGATAGCACCACAAAATCTCGGCCATAGAAAGGGTCGTAAAGAATGAGCGATTCCAATTTCTCGCAAAAGTTCCATAGTTTTACTGCTGTCAAGCCGATTTATATCCACTTTTGACCATGTTAAATCGTCTTCAACATTATGTGAAAATTCTATATGTGCAACCCAACGAATGCTGGAAATAAAAACTTTTAAAACTAAAAACTAAAACTTATCAAAATTATAATAAAATTTTCGAAATAAGCTGGCAAAATTTAGGACAAAGGAGGTGAATTTAACCGATCTTGAGGAATTTCGATAGTTTTGTAATCAACAATAGATGCATCCTCGTCGATACGAAAACCAAATTCATCGAATCTTTAAATTAAATTTTATCGTTACTCACCAACATCTCCAATCTATTATAAAATCAATTTTTCATCGCTTTTAATTATTAAAATCGACAAAAAACATAAACTCCATACAATATAAGAAATATAAAATGGAAAATGAAATTCCAAAAATTTTTTTAGAGCCTTTATTTGCAAGAAAACCAACGGATCTAAACTTCGATAATTTTATTAATTTGTTTGAAATCAGTGTATAATATAATTCACTAGTCGATGGCATTTTATAGCACAGACAGGAATACACCCCGCGAATATAGATAAAATATGGCAATGAGTGGCGCTTGCCACCGCATCTTTACATGATCCCTATCTGTAATCTCTATTCATACTATATCGTCACTTGACCCCTAACTATTTCTATTCCACTTATTTGTTTATAATTCATTAATTTCGAATTATAATTTGTTATAAAATTTTAGAAAAAAGGAATTTTCATTTAATTTTCAGTGAATTCAAATTCGATAACGTACGATGCTTTAGTTACTTCAAAATCATCTGTTAATAGTGAAGAATTAATTGCTGAGAATGGTTGAAAGGAAATATGGAAAACGGATTGATGTACTGGAATATCATTTTCATTGAAACCCTTAACATGTAGTCCGTCGTCGAAATCAGTACATTCCGCTTCATCTGCTTCAACTGTTTCCGCATATTTTGCATCTTTTCCTTCAAACATCGTTTTGATATAATTATTTTATTTTTGTTAATTTAACTAATTAAATTTAATTTAAATTAATAATGCGGAATAGCCAACGGCTTAGATTACTGTGGCGGAAGACAAAGGTTCGGTTCCAGCCTCCGACTGGAGTGAACCTGGCATTAATGATTTCAATGATTTTTACAAGTAGCGAACCAATTATACGTCTATAATCATGGCAAAAATTTCTGACAGTACTAAGAGCCAGAAGAATTAGCGCATCCCGAAACGACTAACCAATTATTTTTAATTAAATAATACTAATAATTTATAATAAATAATACTAATAAATATCAATAAATAATACTAATATTAAATAATAATCATTTTTCCACATTTATTACAGATTTATCATAAATTTTATAGATTTTTCTAAAGCTTGCATAATCTTTCCAATAAAGGCAAAACTAATCATTATAGCCAAGCCAATCTCATTCAAAATTTTCATGCATGCTAATTCTTCTGCTAACAGTTTGTGCCACTGCTGGTTTGCCTGCTACTCACCTGCTACTCACGTTATTAGGACTCTTCTAAGAAGCTTCTTATCTGATGACATTCAGCAAATGAAAATCTTTCGTTTATTCAAAATCTTTCGTAAAAAATTACCTTTTTTATATTTTGCCATTTAATTAATTCATTCGTTTGTTTGTGAGGATTTAAGTCGTCAATTATAATTATCTACATAATATGATTAAACAATAATTAAATAATTTCCACAACTTTGATATTTTGAAATTTTATTTTTAATGTGTTATTTAATGAATATTTCTAAAATAACTTTTTTTTTTTTGAATTTTGAGAGAGAGCTTTTTAAACAATTATTGAAAAGAAAGAAATGAAAAATGGTGATGGCAATAACGAATTTACCAAATTTATTTTCAGAAAATATTGATTATAAATAAATATAAAACTAATAAAATTAATAATACAACATAAATTCATAAAAATATTTAAACTAAATATAAAATGCAATTAATTCCAAGTATTTTTGATATTTACTTCTAAAAAATGGCAATAAACAGTCGATCAACTGAAAAATATAGTAAAAATATAAAATATGCACGGATTAATGAACTTATTAGAAAGAAAGAACTCAAGCTTTTTGGTTTTTTCTGCACTGAATGGAAATGGATGGTTCCATCGTTGTCGCCTTATTTTCAACAAGTCTATTAATTTAACTGTGGGTCTACAAAAAAATTTTCGACGCCAATTAAATTCTGATCCATCATTTTCTGATACGGACGAATAAGCTTACGAAGAATAACTTAGATTCTTTAAGGATTAGAAGGATAAATGATAACAAGATTTGATCGTTATTTAAAAATATTATTTGTCTTTAAACGCTAATGCTGCAAGAGGCGGCGGAATAAAATTACGCAAACCTATTTGTAAACCAAAATTTAGGTTGTAAAACTTCATTCATTCTATAAATTACTACAAATTATAAATACTTTAAATATAAATTACTATAAATTACTGGAATAAGCGTGGTTTTTGCTCCAGCCATATCTGCTTTTAAGAGTAAATGCTGAAGCCAAGGTTCTGCGCCCGGCAAGAGTAAATCCCTCATGCATGTTGAATACAGGGGATGCTGGCGGTTCGTCTATGGCCTATCACCAAAGATTTCTATCGCCAAAAAATGGCAAAATTTATCCGACAAGCCAACGGACCTATATTCTCTGTGTCTTTTTTATGTATTTCTTTCTTTTCTTTCTACTTTTTTATTTGTTCATTGAGTTCATAGGCCTTGGTTATCATAATCTTTTTAAAACATAATAAGCAAGGCCAAGCTTCTTTATCGTATCACAGCCATAATACTGCCTATGAAATTACAATAAAATTGGCTAATCAAAATGAAACTGCGCATTTCTTAACATTCCAATTAATTTTCCAGAACAGGGAAAGCCAAAGATTTATTGGACCATCCAATCGACAGTTACGACGGTCTATTATTTCTATCAATCTTTGCAGTTATTATTAATGAGTTCTATTCAAGAAAGAATTAAATTCCTGAATGATTTAAGCCGTTAGGAATACCTCATAAACAGCTTTCTACGCTTTTTTATACTTTTGCTTCATTAATCGTTTTATATATTGCTAGCTGAAATAAAAAAAATTTTTCATCACGCCATTGTTTAATAAAATTTTCAATAAAAAATTATAAAATAGCATATAAACATAATATAAAATATATAAAATAATGAGAATAAACAATGGACAGCGATCCACGCGGTACTGGCGATTCACTTATACTTCTGTCGCCAAGTTTGTCGGGTCCGACAAGCCACCAGCGGACCAGCGGAGTTAACAGGACCAGAAATGGTGAGCGCTTACTTAATACTAAAAAATCAGCAAAAAACCTTCCGTAAAATAATATCGGAAAAAATCGATTTAGAAATGGGAGTTCTCGATGGGACCGAGAAGGAAAGCATCCGCAGTGCATTTGCGATAAGCTCACATGAAATCGAATGTGCCAGCAATGCTCGTTACCACACATACACTCGCATACTTTCAGAGAACCATTTCAGTAATTCGTTGGTGAGTTCACCGGTTATTATAAATGCAACTTGTCTGAATATGTGCCTTACATATGAGAAAAGAGCAAATCATGAACGCTGATCTGATCAACTATCTCGCTAGTTGCCAAGCGCTGTATGGAGAACGACGAGGACTAATTAGTGGCATTAAATCAGCACCGCTTCAGGTCGGACGCCTTTACAGTCAGAGGAACCTAACCAGCAATGAAGCAAGCTGTTCGAAAAGGAACTTTTTGCTCGAAAATAAAAAATGCCCGAAAAAAAGAGTTAAGTCGCAACCGAAGTGGTGCTGGCTCAGTACATTTGTCGTATATCTCGTTGAACGTGCATCCCATAATAACAGAACGAGGAGAGAATCCAGCAACGCTACACTTATAGACTTAAATACTTGTAGATTAAATTTATCTTAAATATTTCGCTGTAAAAGATCCAATCAACTCTTGCAAAGAAATCTTTCTTTTAATCATTTGCTGTTGTGGAATGTTGCCTTTAATTATGGAATTTTTTAGCGGAGATTTCTGAGGGGGAAGTGAGGCTGGAAGGCTTGTTATGGTGACAGTGGTGCAGCGAGGGAGAGCGAGGAGCTAGGGAACACGTTCTGGTGACGGCGAGGGTTTTTCTTTTACTCTTTTTTCTATTTATAAATTAAATGGCTATAGAAGTATGCTACTTTTTTTTCTTTTTGACGCTGAACCTACCTCATTTTTCTCATTGTCCATCCTTTTCCCTTACATACTTCTGTTTTTTCATTTGAAATTAACATATCGGTTCTTTTACAAGTTTATTGTTTCATACAGTCATATTTTTTCTTACCAATAAATGAGTTATCCTCTAAATCAGGTAAAGCTCAGGAAAGTGGAAGCCAATAAAGGATATTTCAACTGGCGATGTACGAAGGGAAGGTTGAGCGTTTTGGTCCTTCGATTAAGCAGAAACATTCGAACTTATAGGATTCGAATCCTGTCGTACCTTTTCATGGATAAATTTGTCATTAAGAACGAAATTTTTATGATTTTGTGGCCTTTTAATTATATTGTTTTATGAGGCGAATGGCATCCAAGTAATCATCTGGTGCTGATTAGGTCAAAAGTGATGAGCGCAGCTTAAGAAAACACGCTCTCATGGATATCTTCCAAAAAATTTTTAGATTTTTCAGGTTGATGTGTTGAAGATTATTAGCCATATTAAGTTGGAAATTTTTTTTTTTATTTCTCAGATCAGTGGAGTTCTGATAAAATTTTTTTAAACAGTGGCGGATATTTTTTTCTTAAATCTTCATTGATGAACAAATCGATATTTTTTTAGTGGAAAAAAGCAATCTAAATAGTAAAAAAGAACAACAAAATTTGATCAATGATTTCGTTTTTCAAAAAAAATTTTTTATTTAAAATTTAAAAAAAATTTAGCTTAAAAAATCGATTTAAAAAAGTGTTGCTTTTTTTAAATTTTTTTTGTTTTAATGTATATTTTATAGTATTATAATATATTTTGTAAATTTAATTCATATTTGTTTGTTAAATTCAAATTTTTTAAAATTTTAATGGTAATTTTTTTTTTCAGCTCCTTTTAAAATTTTTTTTGAATATGAAAAATTATTAACGAAAAAAAATGGATAATGAACTACAAAGCGAATCACCATTAAGCGATGATTGGTTAGTTCCTTTTTTTCCTTTTTCTCAAGTTTTTTTTGATTTTCAAAGGTTTGCATATTTTTAATAATGAAGATGCTATGACAGAGTGAAATTAACGTGAAATAATTTTTGATTTAAAAAATATGGGGAAAAAGTGGGGAAGTTTTAGAAAAAATTTAGAATAAGAAAAATTTTAAACTTCAATTTACTTTTTCTACTTCCTTTTTTCATGAGTTCATATATTTGGTTATGAGGAAATAGTTCTGGTTAAATCTGGTTCGTCGATTGGCTGACAGTGCTGATGCTTTTATTTAATATTATAATAATTTTTTGTTTGCACCTTTTAAATTTAATCCTTTTACTTTACAACGTACTTTTTACAAAATTTTAGTTCCAGGGTTCAAGAAAACAATAAGATATCGAATGTATGGAATGATAATGCGACTGGATCGAATGATGCTCTTTCGTCCTCATTTACATCATCGACTTGTCTTAGTGAGGTTCAAGCAGAAAAATATGGTCGCACCTGGCTTGTATGTCTTTAAATACAATTCATTCAGAACCAAAGTTGTTTTAAAAAGTATATCATAAATAAATAGTCCATAAATAGATGCTTAGCATAATATTTCTTCTTGTTGTTTTTCCTTGTTCCTGATGAAGTTTTTTATGAGTGAATTACCTTTTAATTTTTCTTATAAAATTCTTGCTGATCCATTATTCCTATAGCTATTTTTTCTTTCTTACTAATTTTTGATTTTGGTTGATTTTTCGAATAAATTGTTTTCACTTTTTGAAATTACGAATACAGATACGAAAGAGTGGCAAACCATATTTCATTTAACTGCATTTGATAGATTTTATGAAGATTGATGAAATAGATGTCAGTGTTGATAGATGTCAGTCAATAATTGTGAATATTTTCTTTTCTTAGAAATTTCTATTCCAGAGCTATCTTGGCGTACAAAATAAAGCGGGCATTGCTCTCGATTGCATTCCTATATATAATGGCCCAGATTCGGATTTACTTCAACAAGAATGTATGAAACTAGCTGCCCGTGTTCCTTCAAAATTCTCACCTGGTGATATAGAAGCTATAATCTCGGTTTTTTGTGACAGAGAAGAATGTAATTTTGATCCGAATTGGATCTATATTTTGGAGATGTTGATTTCTCTGCCTTGTAGCTTATATCAAATTTACAATATGTTTCATGCAATCAATACCAAATTTATTCCCAGGCTAGTTTTTTTTCCAGAAATTAGAAATGATTATTATTTTTTGTCTAGATTTATATAAATTTATATAGATTTATTTTATTTATATAGATTTATATAGATTTACAGGAAAATGTATGAGGAAAATTAAGAAACAGGGAAATAGCTTCCTCTTTTTTAATAAAAATCAATTTTTCCTATTTTTCATTTCTAATTTTAAAAAAATTTAAAATTCTTTTTAAATATTGCCATTAATCATTGAGGAAAAGATCATCATATAAAAATGTAAAATTAGATTTTATACAATAAATGCAGTGCAATATTTCTTTTTATCCATTTTTAATAAAACGTTTCTTTTAGGTATCTTGATAAAAATGCTGTTTGCTTTCAATTAATGTATTTGATTTTGCAATACCATGAACCGAATTTATGTGCTTTCCTATATTCGCGTAAAATTAATACTTTCGATTTTTCCTATTCACATTTTTCTACACTGTTTGCTAAAACTGTTAAGAAAGAAATTCTATATATGATTTGGGATAAATATTTTGAAAAGGTTCTTTTTTTTTAAGTTTTTAAAGTCTTTATTTGAGTTTTTTTCTTGTGGAACTCCATTCAAAGCATGTGTGGTTTATATATAGCTGTTTGTGGCTAAAAAAAATCCATTTTAGGGTGATCCATTTTTGCTATTCACTATGGTAATGGTATTTGTTATCAATCCAGCTAGAGAACTTATGAAACTTGAAGACAGAAGGTTGGTTTATTTGCTTATTTTTGATATTTTTTACACTTGAAAATTTCACTTTATTACTTTAATAATATATTACTCTAGTGATATAGCCCTGAATATGGAGATAACTGTACGAATAGTCCACAACAAATAATTATTCCACCTTCTTCATAAACAATCAATTGGATATGGCAATGAGATGGGATACGTCTATCAAACGTGCTTTGTAGGCTGTAAGGAATTGTTTGAGATTAAATGCTATCTTAAAAAACCATGTGCCATCTTTCATCCCAAATATTTGTTGAAACATTCGTCCAGCCACATATTTACAACTGCGAGCGTCCAAAAGAACGAAAATTAATTTCCGTCTTTCAGAAGTCCAATAAAACTCCCGGCGAAGACGATCTTCGGATTGAAATCATCAAATATTATTCGACTCCTTCACAATTCACCTTCAGTGGATATTCTCTTGTATGGAGGAAAAGGTTGATACCAGATGACGAGAAAAGGAGAAAACAATCCTTCCAGTCTCAAGGAGCTTGCAAGAACAAGTTATTGAAAAATTTGATGTCTCAAGGAAATTTTCGCCTCCTTTCTGCTGAATAGACAGTAATTTTATGGCAAAGATAGCATTATATGCTGATCAAGCTGGATTCAGATCGAAGCGCGAAGTACCTACTGAAATATTCATGCTAAAAAGAAGTGAACATAGCTTTAAATAGCGTCAACCCATCGTCACTTATTTTATTGATTTTGCAGCTGCCTTCGACTCATTTGATAGATCGGCACTCTGGAATGTGATAGTCTTCATTCTTATAAAAGCATTTTACCTACGAACATCGGCACATCGGTTTATGTATATGAGGAAGATGATCCTTTCGAAATAAAAACTAGGGTCCGCTACGGGTGCTTCCTTTCTCTTACAATATTCAACCATATGACTGATACTTGATGCTGGTAAATTATCTGTTTTACCGATTCATCGCGAGGGAGTGGCAGATTTTAAATCTACTCAAATGGCCAAACGAAGTTGCAGACTCGCACTTAGAAATACGTTCTTTTGCATGACGAAATGTGTAGAATCGCAAGAAATTAAATCATCAAAACGGAAGGTGTATGTGTTTGATTGCTCATTCTGTAATATTATGCAAAACAGTAGGACCAGTAAGAGTGGAAATTTATCTTTCATTACTGATAATTATTTTGCATTTCGCAGAATGGATAAAATCTCACACCCACTGTCGTTGCATCCACATTTAGTCAAGTATCTGCATTCAAAATATCAAAAAGCGACATTAACTCTGGTTTGGTTATGTTCCTTATCGTTTATCATCGCAGGAATTGATGCATATTTCATTATTTGCTATTGCTATTTACTAAACCCTGTGATGGATGGTGAAGAGAAGAATGAATAGCGAAAAAGAGCAATTATGATCTGGACTAATATAATCAGAAGAGATTTTGAACTTATAGGCCACCGCCTATTGATATATGGGCTTTGACAGTGGAAAATGGAATGACCTCCGGCATGGTGACGGATCATTCGGCTTATCCTTGTAGCCAGCGAAACCACTCTAATAATAGGAGTAGAAGAAGATTATTTTAAACTTTTTCAGAGAAATATTGAGTATGATTGATTTTTCATCGAAAAGATTCGCGCCATTGGATGTTGACGATTTTTTTATTATTTCTGTTTATTTTTTGAATCAGACACCATCTTCGATTAAGCATGTATGTTTTATCATGGTAAAAAAATAAATCCAAGATCTTCAGAGATGACTTTAAAAATTACTTTCAAAATTTTTTAAATTGTATTATGTTTCATTTCGTTTTGGGTTTTAGTATAAGGATCACTGATAATTGTAAGAAGGTAAATATTTGATATTTTCAGTCTGTTTTCTTTAATTTGAATCTGATTGACTTCATTATTAAATTTTCGTCATTTCAATATCTATGAAAGATAGTGGTAGTAAATTCTGAAGGAATAAAGACAACATTTTTAATAGGACTTTCAACACGAACTTTTCGGATCTCGTAGTGATCGCGAAACATTTTTGGAACTGAAACAGTTGCTTGCTTTACCAATTGATGCACGTGATCTTATTCGATCCGGTTTTGATGAAAACGCAAATAAATCCGTAAGAAAATATTTTAATTCTCTGCTTAATTTTCATATTTAATTGTGGTGTGTCATTTGATTCCACATTTTTAATTTAGGACCCAATCAATTTTTTTATTATTGATGCTCGTCCTCATAATCAGTACACTGCAGGGCATATCGAAGGGTCATATAATTTGGATTCTACTTTGGTATTTCTATTATTTTTATTTCTATTCTATTATTTTTTTATTTCTACTATATTTTTGTTTTTATCATTGGCATAGAATTTTGTATTAATTACTTACATCGATAATTTCATTGATTTCAGTTTTTTTAGTTCGTTGACGCTCCTGAAAAATACAATATAGCCGTTTCGAGTTTAGATGCCTATCGTCATTCTTCACACCCAGACCATCACCTTCTTTTCATGGGATCAGGTCGAGAAGAAGTTGATTCTTATCTTCATATGATAATTGCAAATTTTTTACATCAAGGTCGAAAACACATTTCCATTGTTGACGGAGGATATAGAGGTGACGCATTATATCAATTTTTAATTACTATGAAATAAATTATATAAGCCCACTTTAATTGATTCATATTCTAGATGTTTGGTACGTATTTAAAATATTAATGAAAATATTAATGTGAATGAAAGGGTAGAGAGGCAAACAGCTTATACTCTTAATATCACTTCGTTATGTTTTCTTAATACTCCTTTGAATCTTGCTGTCTAAGGCTCCATAATTCATCCTTAATTATCCGTACCTTTCCAACCCATGATCCTTGCCACATTTTTAGATATTCACCGTCACATTACTGTTTAATTTATAGTTGTAGCAGCGGAAAAGTGCACAGTCATATTTAATTCAAGAAAATAAAATGTTGATAGATAGATTAAGAAGCCATAACTAAGCTGGTTTAGGTTAGATTATTGAAAAAAGTATAGTAGAGGAGATAAGGAGTACTTGACATTGTTTGAAGAGGTATTTTATAAATTATGGTAGGTTTGTAAGGGATTTTAGTGCTGGGATTTATGAGATCAATTAAGTTGAGAGGTTGAGATTAAGAAATTTTTTTTTCAGGGAAATACACTCAATTTTATTGTGAAAATTATTATAAATTTTATATTAGGTTTGTAAGGGATTTTAGTGCTGGGATTTATGAGATCAATTAAGTTGAGAGGTTGAGATTAAGAAATTTTTTTTTTCAGGGAAGTACACTCAATTTTATTGTGAAAATTATTATAAATTTTATGTTAGGTTTGTAAGGGATTTTAGTGCTCGGATTTATGAGATCAATTAAGTTGAGAGGTTGAGATTAAGAAATTTTTTTTTCAGGGAAGTACACTCAATTTTATTGTGAAAATTATTATAAATTTTATATTAGAAATTCTTAAATTCTGATTTTTAACATTTTTTTAGCCGTACACAACCAGTTGGCTGCAAATTTAAATCGTTTAGAGGGGCATCAAACAACGTTATGTATAGAATGTGACAAGCCATCTAATCTTATAGAAAGATCATCGAGTCGTAAATTACCAAACGTTGGCACTACAAATTATATAAAGGCTTTTAAATATTTAAATATTAGTGAATCGAATGTACATAAAGAATTTGAATAAATTTTCTCTGATTCTCTAAAAAAAAAGATAAATAATACATTCTGTATTTTAAATTCTTTTACTTTTGTCTGAATGATTAATTTACATATTTTAGTTTAAATTGGGTAGTATATTTGGTGCAGTAAGAGCTAAAGGACCATCACTGACTAAAAAAATACGTTCTATGTCTATTGGATCTCCGAATAATTCCGATATTTCTATTCTTCATGTGAACGCTAAAGAAAGACACGGTCGAAGATATCGAAATGAACGCTCAGTGTTTACTCTTAGCGATTCTGATTCTGATTATGAAAATAGTATAAATATTAAAGCTGCATCGGAGGAACCTAAAGTAAGTTCGCATATGAAAAATAAAAGTAAATAATAAAAAATTACTGAATTACTGTCACTGGAGTCACTGAAGTTTATCATATTTCATTAATCTTTAATCATAATTTCAGTTAAAATTGGATGAAATATTGGCCGAAACTTATGTAGAGGATCATTTTGCGGGAATGGAGGTTTGGTCTGATGGATCAACATCTTATACTGTTAAATGCTACCTAGTTTTAACTGGTACCCATATCCTTGTGTATCATCAGAGTAACAGCGTAAGCGATATTCTTCTTTATTTTATTTTATTACCTTGTTTATGTTTTGTTTTCATCTTTCATCTTTTTCTGATTATAGATTATAAATACTCGTAAAGTGAGAAATTTGGAATTTTTATATATAGTATGGGAAAAGTCCAACGTTTTTATTCTAATACATCCCATTTATGTTTGAAATTTATTCCAGTTACTCGAAAAAAACCCCTAATGCGAACTACGGCGATGTGAAATGTTTAATGACTTAATACATATTTTTGAAAATTTAGTTGATTTTTTCGTTTTAATTACTGGAACTATTTGTTACTTTATTATTTCAGCCTGACGAAGTTATTTCTCGTGGAAGGCATGCATATGAATCAGTTTTACGACTTGCTAGCAAGAAAAAAATTCCAGAAATGTTAACATTCAAATTTGGCTATTGCATAAGCAAGGATGATTATAAGGTATTTTCTTCGCTGGATTTCACATTCTTTTAATTCATTTGATGATTTTATTTCATTTCAATAAGCTATATTAAAAAAGCTTGATGAAAAGCATTTTCTGCATTTATATTTCAGGTAACCATAGTTCGACGATTTATCATACCACGAGCTGGTGATTGTGCGAAGGCTGTTAAATCTAACATAATCAGATTTTGGCCTGATATGCTAGGTTAACTTGTGAAATTTTTAGTGAAATGTTATCTAATACTGGTTCTTTATAAAACAAAAACAGAATATTGATTTGTTGTTCTGGGGATTTAGCAACTTTGTATTCTTTTCATTTTATTTTATTTCATTTCATTTTTTAATTTTATTTTGGCGATAATCTAGTCGAGCAAGCAATATCTTCCCCTTAGCAGAAGTAGTAAACAAGCGAATATAGAATAAAACACTTAATGCAAAAAGAAATCCTTTTTGACTGAAATTATGAAGGAATACAAACAATTTCACTAATTATTTTAATTTTAAAATATATTTGAAGCATAAGAAATGGTTAGTACTAACCATTTCTGATTAGAAGAATACGACATTTTTTCTAAAAGAATCACGAATGTTTAATAATAAACTTTGTAATGAAAGATTTAGGTCAGGAGGCGACGAATTACAATACATAGCAAGGTAATTTAGATTGAAAATATTTTGATTTTAATTTCGCGTTTGATTTTTTTATAATTTCATCCCATTGGTTCTCATTGCATTCATATTTAATACTAATCATATTTTATTTTCTATTATATTTTTAATATATTATATTTTTAATTTATTAATTTATTGTGCTATTCATTATAATTTGAGTTAAATAATATTACTAAATAGAATTTTGAGCTTAAAAAATCAGATCTAGATTCTTGAAGGAAAATGTTAGATTAAGTTGGATTGTTGAGAAATTTTCCCGATAAGACGATAAAAATATGCAAAACATAGAATCGTTCTATACGGTGGGGAAAATTTATATATTTCAGTTTCAATAAGAAAAGAATTAGGTTTTTTTTTCAAACGGATATTATATGTAATTAGCCTTTTATGGAGGTTAAAGCTCCAGTTTTCTTGAATAATTTTTATCTGGGATATTATTTCTAAATAATGGGAATGATGGCACTTCTATGTGGATGATTTTGCGATCGCGAGAATTTATGTATTATTGAATAATTATATATATCATTTTAATTAATAGATTTATCAGTAATGAATGAATGTTCGTGGAAATTGTATCTATTTGCTTTGGGGTAGGACATATTATTATACCTTTTTATTTAGTTGTAATATTTCTCATTTAGTGGGTAATTAAAATTATGCTTCGGATCGAAAGTTGTTATTTATTTATCTTTTCTTGATTTATTTCGTATTATGTAATATAACTTTGGAATCATTCCACTACTTTTTTGCATTTCTTTCATTAATGTTCTTTCTTTCATTTTCTATGAAATTTTCCATTTTTGGTTGCCATAGGACCATTGTTTTTATTTTAATAGCTATCGAGTTAAAAATATTTTTACGCATTGCTATGAATTTCATTTTTTTAGTAAATCATTTGGCAAAATTCATTTTCCATTTTCTGCTTGATTCTGATAGACTAGTTGACTTATATTCTTTTCCTCAAAAGTAAAATGTTTTTTGAAACAATGTTTCGAAAAATTGCTCTCTTTCAGATTTTTCGCTCATTTGAAGAATAACTAGGTGTTCTCATGCGAATATGCGATTTTTCTTTTTGTTCTTTCGAATTTTTTCCGATGAAAAAAGAAGGATAAATTTATTTAAAATATGGTTTTAACCGAATCGTTTTTAATCGTTCAGCATCGATATTTTGCATTTAGATTTTTAGCTTTTCGAATTTGACAAAGGTGCCATCATATTTCCTTAAAATTATCGTTCATATCAATTGGTAATGAATTCACGCTAAAGCCTTATAATATTGTTTGCTTTTATATTTTCGGAAGTTTGGCTTTTCGCTTTTGTCTTTTTTATTTCAGTCAATTTTTTGTTTTTTGTGAGATGGAGGTATTGAAATGGAAATATTTAACGAATTTTTGTTTCAAAGTTTTATTTTGTTTCTAATTTTCTAATTTTGTTTTCTACGGTTGTTACAGGTGACAACAGTTCTGTGGAGTACCACTGTTAATTATTCCTATCAAATAAATGGTTAAAATGGCAACGATTGGCCGAAATCAGCTTCTTTTATTGCTGTGGTAGATTTTTTTGGAAAAAATCGGCATTGGCTTTCGAAAACCTGATTTTTCGTTTTTTTTTTGATATTTTTCAATCGAGTGTTATGAAAAGTACAGACCATATTTCTGCGTGATATTATATCGATTGGTGATCGAATTTTTCGTTCGAAATTCATTCCTTTGCTCAAGTACAGTCGATTATATTCTCCGCATCATCTATAATTTAATGTTGTCATTGGAATTTTGAAAATATTATTTCGACATTCGTTAGGCTCTTTCATCATTGCTATTTTTGCGCAGTGACTTTCTGTTATTGATTACTTAATTTGTTCTGGTTTTGTGAAATATAAATTTCCAGAATTGTCGTTGCCGAAGCAATGGGAGAAGTTCAAATTGAAGATATAACCGTCCCTTGGGGTGCAGTACCAGATCCGCTCGATATACAAAATGGACATTGGCGTATGGCTGTCTATCAGGATTGCGAAGAAGGCTTTGGTGGTCAGAAGTTGTATTTCCTTTATGATCCTGTCGCTGACGAAAATTCTGGGACAACGTTTGCTTTCATTGCCGTTTTGGATTTTTTTTTTACTTATTCATTTATTTATTTTCTCGAAATCATGAATTCAAACAACTTTCTTCAACTAAAAATCACTAAAAATCAACCTATTGTTTACCCATTTTTTCAGCGGCGGTCGTAAAGGTAATTGCGGATTGGTTGTGTTTGATTGCAATAAAAGATTCTTTATTGGACATATACCACTCTATCTGGAAGGTAATTATTATGTTCATTTTTAAGTAAGTATATTTTCAAATTATTGCTTTCATATGATTAAGCATTAAAAATTTATTATAAAATTTGTCGCAATTTGAGATTCCATTATTTAAGGAATTGTTAAGTTTTGTTTCACGTTGAAAGTGCCTTCTCCAGCTAATGGATCATCTTTTATTATTGTCACTGAAAGCGATAGAACTAATGTTGGAGGTTCTGTCTGTGTAAGTTCTTATTTCTTATAAAATGCTAATATTCGGTTTCGGTTAAAATATAGTCGTCAGTTGTTTAATTTTTATTTTATATTCCCAAAAATCTTTCATAAGTTTCTTTCGATAGCATCTGAAAAAAATTTTATTCAGTTGCTTTTATGGCGATTGTATCTCGGAAGCACTGGTATGGAAGTTTCCAGTCCACCAGTAGCATTGTTAAATAACCCAATCTCTTTATTCGGTGATTATATCATTGCATTGCGTGAAGATGTGCCAGAGTTAGTTTTATTGACATCGCCTGGATTATCAGTATGGCGCATTCCTTGTCTGAATCCTTATCCTTGTGATCCCATCGAAAATTTCGAAACGAACGGCGATCTTTCACATTATTATGATGCTAATGTCAGCCAAGGGTTCATATTTATTTCATTATTTTTCATTTATAATGCTTTTTATATGGATAATTTATAAATTGTTTAAATAATTAGGCTTTGATTTGACTTTAATAAAATCTCATTTTTCAATAATTTGTCCTTTTTCTCGTAAAAGATATTCTTAACTTTTGTCAGAAATATTTACCTCCATTCTTCTTCTCCGGATGGACATTACGACCCCACTCGGATCCATTTTCTACCGCTTACTGGAATAGAAAGACGAATAAGTACTCAGATGTGTCAAGGCGATTATACTCATGGCTTTCCATGCGCCCGAAAAGAAGTTGGGTTGAACGCAATGTCTGGTATTTATTTTTTCCAATGATTTCCGTTGACTAACCTATTGAAACAGTTACATATTGAACCAAAAACAAGAGTAAAACTATAAGAATTTGTATATGTTTATCTAACCGTTTTAAAAAATGATGAATTCAAGCAATTTTCCTGTTACTTTTAGTATAATTTAAAGTGAATTAATGCAAATATATGCTTTTTCCATTAGGATACATTTTGTTTACTGGCGGTGAAGTTGGGAATGTTAATGGCGTACAACGACTTGATGACTGTTGGTTATTAGATCTTACAAATTTCATGTGGAAAAGAATTTTCCCAAATATGCCTGTTCCCCTCATCGAACCGCGCATTTCTATTGCTATGTCAGGTACTACTTTTTCACCATTTCAGTTAATTAAGGGTTTTTTTAAATTTATTTATTTATTTATTTTCTATTTGGTTTATTTGGTTTAGTAAGTTTTTTTATGTTGACCACTGTATTTTGATACTTGGATGCTGCTAAGTTGTATTTATCAAAATTTCATGCCATTAATTAATTTAAGGAAACGTGTATGTTTGGGGAGAAAGTGATCAACCATTTCCTGGAGTACAGCATGGTACACATCTTCGAATCTTGCGAGTTAAAGGAATGGTTAAACCTAAACTACCTTCTTATAATGAAGCTGTGAACAATTTAGATATTAGATTTAATCCACCATACCCAAATCCATCCATATCTCAGACTAGCATGGCCTCCAGCTATGGTTATAGTCCGGCGACTTATGACTCATCATATCCGTCATCTCGTCCTGCATACTCAGCGCCTCAAAATATCCCGCAACTTCATTATGGACAGACAAATCCCGGCATTGGAGGTAATCATCAACCGTTTTATCCGCCTTCGAGCGAGCAACATGCTTATTATCCTCCAGAAGATAAAAAAAATTGCTGCTTACAGTAAGAAATCAAAAAGCAACTTAACCAGTATAACCATTATCTTTATTCATTTTCACTATATGTGGATTTCGTCACATTTGCATCTACTTTTACTGCTTTTATCTCTTATTCTTTCCAACATTTATATTTTATCAGTTATCAAAAATGTTTTTATTCAACATTCTGCAAGAAATTTTATTTTATTTATTTCCATCTTAAACTGTGAAGAGATTGTGTCAATTTATATTTTATTCACTATTTATTTATATCTGAATTCATTTTCATTTCTCCTAATCCATGTTTCTTATTATTAAATTTTTCAAGAAATGATTTATACTTAACTGCAGAATTTTAAAATATCTATTGATTTTAATTTTGTTTTTTCCATAAATAGTGTTTTGAAATAATAATTTGTAATTTTTAACATCTAAAATTTTAAATTTATATAATATATATATATATATATATATATTAAACATTTATAAATTTCGGATATATATGTACAAATTTTGAAGGAAAGAGCAGTAGAATCGCAATTATTTGTGTTCGGCCTAATTATTTTTAGTTGTAAGTGACAAAAGGGAAGAATGAAAAAAGCGAAATACAAAATAGGAAGTCCCATAGATTCCTTTTCAAAAGGAACATTCATAAAACGCCAGAAATGCACCAGAAGCATTGTTAGTTATAGGTGTGAAATATTAAGCTGTATAATGGAGAAATTAATATGTTAAAACTTTTTGCATAGTTTATGATGGTTAACGTTTAATGTGATCTGCGGCTTTTTAAAACTAAAAATGTAGTGGTGTGGACTTGAATCGATGTGTTTTTTTTTAAAATTCGACTCGTAACCGAGACACATAGGAATTATTCTCTACTGCAGGTAAGTGTTGAAAAATATTTTGCATGTGAACAGATGTCGCATATAATAATCTTATAAGAGAGCATGTGTTAAGGAATACTATTTTTCATACTATATGTTTTATTATGTTTATGTTTTAGTGATTCAAGTGGGTGGAAATGCCTTCACAGTTAAACGGCATTAAAGGACTTATTCGAATTCCGATTTCCGAATATTGGGAAAAAACTTATATTTGTTTCTGAATTTCTCCATTTAATTTGGGAATAGCAATAGATTGTAATATTTTGCAGATCGGCTGCTAATTTCTGTTAGATATAAAAATAATGGTTACGAAAAAATCTAATTTTACGATGGCGAAATCTCGGATAATCACGTTAAATATCACGAAAATAAATTCTTGATTTGGTACGAAGGTGTTTTTCGCTTTCATAAAGCGCATTGTCAGTAATTTTAGGTATAGTTAAGATTAAAGAGTGAAAAATTGGCCAAAGGGGTTTCATTTATTTCCTATATTCTCTGCCAAAAATTAAAAAAGGCTACTTGGAGCTCATGAGGGTATTTAGCTTGGTCTCTGTAAAAATATCTACTGGTAGTTGCAATTCTCGGTGAGTTTCGGGTCATGCGACAGGCTGTGGGTTGGACATTTCTGATCTGCTCAGGGAGCGAAGATTTTCTAGTCCAAAACTTAATTCTACAGTTTTCTAAAATTTTTCAAAAATTTAAAAATTAACGAGACGAATTGACTTGAGGAGCAAATATAGTTTAATAGTTAATAATAATAGTTAATACTAGTTATTCAGTTCAGATGGACTTTAGATTTTAGATTTTTTTTCAAAATTTTCTAAAAAATTTTAAGTATTGAATTATTCATTTATTCATTTAGGCTTTATTTTAGTTTGAATTTAATGTTCAAAAAAATTTAATAAAATTCTTTTAATAGTAAATTCTAAGAATTTTTAGCTATTTTGAATTACAAATTCGTTTAAATTCATTTTCATTTAGGTCAAATTATTTTTAATTCATTTTTTCGGATCTGATTAATTAAGGAAATTTCATTTAATAACGAAAGAGAGGATTGTTGAGCCTGAAGAAAATTATTATTTAAGAAATTGGGTGCTTCAGTGAATAATGGAGCAATATTGAATTATTATTTTTTTGTTTTCAAGTAATTCCTTGGCTAAGTGGTTTCACCTCAATAGACAGTGGAGTAAGCCAAAATTAAAGTAGAAATGGTTAAGAAATTTTTTCTTCTAGACTTAAACTTAAACCGAAGCATAGCACAATAAGATTTAAAAAAAGATAGATTACGGGAATGCGATTGCTTTCTTGTTGGTAAAAATCAACATTTTTTACTTTCGCAGTTTTCTGAGAGTA